CCGCATTCATGAATGCCCAAGGTGCCACAGAGCAACGCGATTCACTAGCACAGGCGTTGTACCACGTTCTCTTTTTGTGGATTGTCGAATCTATCAACACAAAGATTTGCTACAGCGATGGTGACCCAGCCAACTTTATCGGCATTCTCGACCAATTCGGTTTCCAAAACTTCAAAGAGAATGGCTTTGAAGAGTTTTCCGCCAACTTTGCCAATGAACGCATCCATCAATTCCTTATCTATCAACGCTTCAACGATGATGCCAGCCTCAATGCACTTATGGTACGCGATAATGTACCCTTACCACGTATCCTTACAATGGACAATGCCGGCTGTCTTGATTTGCTTGTTGGCAAGGAACGTGATACTACATCCACCAAGGTGGTCCAAAAATCAGCAGCATTAGGTCTTGGTGGTGTGGTGGGTCTTATGGATCGCGATTGTGCACGTTATCAAACAGGAGCAACCGATGCCACGGATGCCAACATGCTTGCCAACCTTCAACGTCAATTCGCTGGTCATTCATCTTTCAGCAAGAGCACGCAAACTTACTCGTTTGGTATCAACCACTTTTCAGGCACCGTGCATTACACTGTCGATGGATTTGTGGAAAAGAATCTCAACACGTTGTCACCTGATTTCGTCACCTTGTTACGCGATAACAGCTCCAATGCCTTTGTTGCTACGTTGTTTTCAAGCACTGCCATGGCAACGGAATCTCATCCCAAGGATGGTCGCACAATTGTCAAAGCTCAACTTTCCAGCAAACCTACACGTGCCCCTTCGATGCGTCGACGACCCACCAACAAGCGTCGTGGTGCTGCTGCAGCTGCTACAGGTGCACCTGATGAAGCTGATACCGGTGAACCTGATCCATCCAAAGAAGCTGAACAAGCTTATCAAGACATGCAAGTGATGACAGTGATGGATCAATTGTATGTGACACTTCGTGACCTATGTACCACCATGGCCGATACACGCATCTACAACATTATCCATTTACGACCCAACGACATGCAAACAGCTGACATGGTGGATATGAAGCGACTCAAATCACAAGTCCGTGCCTTTTTGTTACCTGATCTTGTACAGCGGTCCGGTCTCGAATACGCCAACCATTATGCATTTGCCGAATTCCTTATGCGTTATGATCGACTCGTTGTATCGTTACAAATTGATGGATCCAAATCAGAACGTAGCATGGTGGAATCTGTTTGTGCTATCATGAATTGGACCGAGCAACAAGCCTATATCGGCAATGACAATATTTGGCTTGCCTTTGACGTATGGAAGGAACTCGAGGATAGTTTACGTGCAGCTGAAAAGGAGGAACGTGCTCGTATGAAAGCAGCCATGAGCGAAAACAACAATACCGATGTCATGAGTGATGCCCCTGGTGGTGTTGGTGCCATGGATCCACATTTTGATCCCCATTATGAAGAAAGCAACGATCGTCTCTTACCACCCGGTGGTGCTTATCTCGATCCACAACACCCACCCGCTCATATGGCACGTGCCTCTGTATTCGACGATAATGGCAGCTATTACGAGAGTGATTTTGGCATGAAACGTGAAGCCGAAGGAAGTCAATGGGGTGAAGAATCCGAATGGGGCATGAAAGGTCTATCTGAAGGGTAAGTTTACATCTCTTAATACAAAGAATCGACCACTCATTTTCTTTTTTATAGATTTGGCCCCAACATGGATATGAGCAAAATGATTGAAGATTATTCAGCACCTCAAAACGAGCAAGTTGAAGAAATGGAGATTTCGGCTGTACGTGTATGGTGGGTGCGATTCGTATGGGCCATGACATGGTGGATTCCAAGCTTCTTATTGAGAACGGTGGGCAAAATGAAGCGTCAAGATGTTCAATTGGCATGGCGTGAAAAGTTTACCTTGTGTCTTTTGATTTTCATCTTTTCGGCCATTGTCATTTTTGTCATTGTCGGTCTCAGTCCCATTCTTTGCCCTGGTACAAAGGAAATGTATTCCACTGCCAACGTACAAAACCACAATACGCCCGATGATATGTATGTCAGCCATCGTGGTGTCGTTTATGATATTACCAACTTTGCACGCAGCAACCACGGCTCAGCATCTTTACCAGCCACCAGTGATACCATGCAAACACTCGCAGGTCTTGATGTATCATGGACCATTCCACCTCCTCTCACAACAGCTTGTGCAGGTCTTGTTACATCCCCTACCGTCAGCATTCAGCCAAATCAAACGATTGAACTTGGTCCCTTTGTGCATTATTCGGGCGATCAGCTTCAGCAGACTTCAATCACCTCCATGAAAGACCAAAAATGGTATTGGAACACCTTCTTGCCGCAAATGAAGCTGTACAAAAAGGGTTCTATTGTGGTGGATATGAACCTGATTGCTGACGATTACAAGGGCTGGACCCGTTATGCCATGGCTATCAACAAAAAGGTGTATGACTTGACGGATTACTTTACGACGGCTGATCGCTATGCTTCTGGTTCCACTGCTGGTGATTACTCCTTTTTGGATGATGCTGTTGAGGAGATCTTTAAAAAGTTCAGCGGCACGGATGGCACTGATAACTGGAACAAGTACACTGCAGCCCTCGCACCGGATGTGCTTGCCGCCAACATGCATTGCCTTAACGAAATGTTTTACATTGGTGATGTCGATGAGCGTGAATCGATTCGATGTACCTTTACCAATTATCTCTTGTTGGCATTTGCCTTGGTGATGTGTCTCACCATCTTGGTCAAATTCCTTGCCGCTTTGCAATTTGGCAGTGCACCTACGCCTGAAGATCATGACAAGTTTGTTATTTGTCAAGTCCCTTGTTACACCGAAGACGAGGAGTCATTGAAAAAGACGATTGATTCTTTGACGGTGATGAACTATGATGACAAGCGCAAGTTGTTATTTATCATTGCTGATGGTATGGTTATGGGAGGTGGCAACGATCGCCCTACGCCTCGTATTGTATTGGATGTGCTCGGCTATGATACCAAGAATGACCCTGAGCCGCTCATGTTCAAGTCCATTGGTGAAGGTAGCAAGCAACTCAATTATGGCAAGGTCTATTCGGGCTTGTACGAATGCGAAGGCCACGTGGTACCCTATGTTGTCATTGTCAAGGTCGGCAAGGCATCCGAACGTGCCAAACCAGGCAACCGTGGTAAACGTGACTCGCAGTTGATTTGCATGAATTTCCTCAACAAGGTCCACTTTGATGGTGAAATGACGCCACTTGAGCTGGAAATGTATCATCAAATCAAAAACGTCATTGGTGTCAATCCAAGCTTTTATGAATACGTGCTCATGGTGGATTCAGATACAGAAGTGGATACGAATGCTCTCAATCATCTCATCTCGACAATGCTACACGATGGCTCTATCATTGGTCTATGTGGTGAAACACAGCTTGTCAATGAAGATCGCTCACTCACGACCATGATTCAAGTCTACGAATACTACATTTCTCATCATCTTGCCAAGGCTTTCGAATCGCTCTTTGGTTCCGTCACCTGTTTGCCTGGTTGTTTCTGTATGTATCGTATTCGTACGCCTGTCAAGAATGAGCCCTTGATCAATTCACCTAAGGTGATTGGTGATTACGCTGACAACAATGTTGATACGCTGCACAAAAAGAACTTGTTGCATCTTGGTGAAGATCGATATTTGACGACGCTCATGATGAAGCATTTCCCACAATACAAGATGAAGTTCACGCCGCATGCTTTCTGTAAGACCGTTGCACCTGATCGTATTCGTGTCTTGGTGTCACAGCGTCGTCGTTGGATTAATTCCACCATCCACAACTTGTTCGAACTTATCCTCTTGCCCGACTTGTGCGGCTTTTGCTGTTTCTCGATGCGCTTTGTGGTGTTGATTGATTTGATCGGTACATTGACACTTCCCGTTTCGGTCGTTTACTTGGTATACTTGATTTATGTGATTGCCGACAAATCGCAACCACTTCCCATCTTGTCGTTGGCCATGCTTGCTGGTATGTATGGTTTACAAGCTATCCTGTTTATCCTCAAGCGACAATGGCAACACATTGGTTGGATGCTCTTTTATATCTGCGCCATTCCCATCTTTTCATTTGCATTGCCTATTTATTCCTTCTGGCACTTTGACGACTTTTCATGGGGTAACACGCGTATTGTGGTGGGCGACAAGAAGCAAAAGAAGATTATTGTCAATGATGATGAAAAGTTTGATGACAAGATGATCCCACTCAAGAAATGGAGCGTCTATGAACAAGAGTTATGGGAAATGGGATCCACTGGTTCACGCGAAACAGGTGTTACGGGCCACAGTTATCGCAGCTATTACTCACAAGGTGGTACTCCTATGGGTGGTATGCCACCAAACATGATGGGTGGTGGTGCTGGTGGTGCACCCACAGGTACTGGTTCAGTTATTTATGACGGCCGCAGCATGTATGGAGGTGGCTCAGTGATCTATGATGGCGGCAACCGAAGCATGTATGGTGGTGGACATAATGGTAGCCAAGACTTTATGGATGGTGGTATGCGACCTGGATCAAGAATGATGCCACCAGGCCCAGGTTCAGTTATGGGCATGCCAGGATATACAGGATCGGTGATGGGTGCACCAGGCTATACAGGCTCCATGATGGCACCTCCCATGCCTGGTTATACAGGCTCCATGATGATGGCACCTGGTGGATATGCAGGCTCTGTCATTGGCTCCGAATACGGTGGTGGAGCAGGTCCTCAAGATCATCTCATGGCTCAACATCAACAACGTGGAAGCTTTATGCCTCATCAACAACAGCCCCCATACCAGTAAAAGCTACAACATTGTTCAATTATTCTCCTCCTCCTTCTTCTCTTTTACATATAGTTCTCTCTCTTTCTCTTTTTTATATTCCCTCTTACCCAAAAAAATACTTTCATACATCCATCACACGCAATCACACACACGCACCAACAACGCATTAGTCCTCTTTCTTTTTTTGTGATAGTACTAATAGAATTTCTTTGTCTATTTCTGCACTTTGAACTTGTCTGGTACAGGGTCATTATCTACACCATCATCTTGTTGTTGTTGTTGTTGTTGTTCTTCTCCATGATCGCCTTCTTGCCATTCGGGTCGTTCATGATGCTGTTGTTCTTCATCTGATGCTTCACCGGATGGATGGTCATCACGCCATTGTTTGTCGGCTTGGATTTCCTCAGGGGTCCAACTAGGCAATTTGCTTTGCATATATTCGGTCAAAGAAATCAATCCATCGCCATCCATATCAAGGTCGTGGAAAGCTCGGTCAATAATGGTGCGAATGTGCTTGGCTGAAGCGTCGACATCACGTTCAAAGCCGTACAGCGCCTTAAGGTCATTGTCATCCCACTGTCCATCGCCGTTCCTGTCATGGAGCTTGAAGAATGTCACCTCATCCGAGATTTGGATCTGATGGGTCTCTGTCATGTGTCTACCACGCACACGTTAGACTACTTTATAGAAGCCGATAGTAACATCCCCACTTACTGTTCTTCATAGTTGGCAAATGCTCCAGCTTTGACGGCGGCAACCAATAAACCAGCAGATAAAAGTAAAGAGAGTTTCATCATGTATAGAGTAAGGGGCGGGAAGAGAGAAGGGGCTCAAGATTTCAGGCTGTGTTCTTTGCATGTTCGCAGTAATGATTGTCTCAGCTTTATTCTTTAAGCCTTACTTGCCGACGACATCCGCTTGTTATACTATGAATCCCTTACTTTTCTATAACCACTCACTTGTGCACCCAAACACACAACCCAAGTACCATCTTCCATAGCACACCATCACCATTGTGATAGACAATGCAACATGTGAATAAATCAAATCATCATCACGTATAGCAAAAGGTGTCAATTTACATCATATGATCTGAAAAACATTGTCTACTATCAGGCCCCAAGCATCATCCTTTCTTACTGAAGCCAATCCCAAGTGAGTGTTTTTCAACCAAAAAGGCATTCTGCTCGGCGACCTTCTTGCGCCACAGGAAATGCAATTATACGATTAACGCTTCATGCACTTTCAACGTTTAGATGCACTGATAACTTTCGGCCTATCATCCATACCATGGTAAACTTGAAAACACTCTACAAGGGGTATCATAGGTGGACCTTACTATAGCATGTTGTGGTAGGGGAAGGAGCGATCCATGCACTCGCCACCAATAGCATAGACCCGTCAAGTCCCGCGCTCATGAATCAGTTACACAAGCAAGTCCTTCTGCATCTTTGACTCTATTATGGTCTAGCTACAGTACTTGACAATGAACAACAACTACCCTTCATATAGCACCACGCTTGCAGCATAATGAAAACATAAAGACAGTCATATCTCAAAACTTTACAATGAAGCCTGGGGTCTTTAATAGAACGAAGTTGCTCGCCAAGGTCAAAGGAATCCTGTATGCAAGTCTCACGATCGTGGTGCCCAATCCCAGATTTGGCCAATGTCGCTCGACGACGTCGAAAAAAAGTTCAAGAGGTCGACTCGGTCCAATTTGGCTGGTGGCGACATTGGGTGGATCTGGGAATGGCCACGATGAACTTCATACTTTGACACAAGATCGCTTTGACCCCGACGAGCAGCTTTGTTCGATTAAAGACCCCCGGCTTCATTGTAAGATTTTGAGATACGGGTGTCTTTATGTTTTCCATATGCGCTGTAAGCGTGATGCTATAAGAAGAGTGGTCTTTGTTCATTGTCAATTAGCTAGACCTTGACAGAGCAAAGATGCACAGGGGCGTCTTTGTGTACCTCAGCAGTTTTGCATGACTGGAAGGACCAATGGATGATACTGTAAACATTGATCAGCATTAGCTCATAATGGCAGCTAATAGCCTCTTCCTCCCAATCCCAACGTTTGCCATTCCATTGCATGTGAACGATTCTCCTGCTCCAGCCCATCATTTCCGTCATTCAACTTTCTTGATCCGAGCTGATTTGACTGAGCTACGATCAAAGAGAGATTACATCAATCCACACATCAGCATACATTCGAATGTCTCAGCTGATTAATCCTTGTTCGGCCGTAACTCAACCAAATCAGCTCGGATCAAGCTACTTTAATCATGGAAATGAATGTCTAGAGCAGGGGCATCGTTCCCATGCAGTGGATCTCGCAACAATGATGATTGGATAAAAGTGGCCGTTAGCTAGCAATACATGCCTGTTCCTAGATGATCCATAAAGTAATTATACATTGACCCTTTCATTCATGCAAACGTAGCTGTGTTACACAACACGACCCTCTGCATCTTTTGCTCTGCCAGTGTCCACCTACTTGACAATGAACAAAGACCACTCTTCTTATAGCATCACGCTTACAAACATAAAGGTGTCTGTATCTCCAAACTTTACAATGAAACGTGGGGTTTTGAATAGAGCAATGGGCTCGGCTTGGCCAACAGCACCTTGTGTGAAAGTTTCACGTTCAATGTCGCAACTAGCCCAAAAAATATTTTTTGGTCGTCGTCGTCGAAGAGGTCGACCCCCAGATCCAGTTTGGCTGGTAGCGACATTGCGAAATCTGGGATCGCCCACGATGAACTTCATACTTTGACACAAGATTCCTTTGACCCCGACGAGCACGTTGATCTGTTAAAGAGCCCACGTTTGATTGTAAAGTTTAGAGATACAGGCACCTTTATGTCTTACATATGCTGTAAGCGTGATGGTATATGAAAAGAGGTCTTTGTTCATTGTCATGTAGTGTCACCATAATAGAGCCAAAGATGCAGAAGGACTTCTTTGTGTGACAGAGACAAAACTCAGGGCTTGAATCAATGCATGATACAAATGCAAACTTAATCCCCTGTTTTAACTGTCAGCTAATAGATACTTCCTCCCATTCCGAACTGTTTCCTGATCCAATTCATGTGAACGATTGCCCTGCTCCAGCCCAGCATCTCCATCATTCAACTTTCTTGATTCGAGAGGATTTGACTGAAAAACGCTCAAACACAGAAGTATCATCCAATATCAGAAGAATCATTTTGCAAAGTTACTTGTAAACTGCCAGCTAGCAACCCATTCCTCCCATTCACCTTTGTTGCCCAAACCAATGCATACGAACGATTCCTCTGCCCTAGCCCAGCATGCCCATCATCTAACTTTCTTGATCCGAGATGATTTGACTGAACAATGCTCAAACAAAGAATGATCATCCAACATCATTTCAACTCATTTTAATTTCCACTTCTTCCACTCTCACTTTACCGTTCTCTTCCTCCCATTCTCATCTGTTAACGCATTGAAGTATACAACTACCACCTGCGAACGATTGTCCTGCTTCAACCCATCATGTCAATCCTGCAACTCTCATGATCCGTTTGTCTTTGACTGAATGGCCAATCCATGGCGTGCGCACACCCTTCTTGTCGCTCTTCTACAGCACACCAGTCTCTTGACACAACACACGCTCTTGCACGCTCTTCTGCCACAACCAATCGTAACGGCGATCATTCCAGCAGCTGCTGTCAGCAAGATCTTTACTCGATTGTCACAAACAACGTTTACAACCTGTTCACTCTACCATAGCACACGCTCTTGCACATTCCTCTGCCACGACCGAACGTAACAGCAGTTGCTTTACTACCTCGTCTCAAAAAGCGTCGTTTACATGTGGCAACCTGCCTTAGAGCCCCTTTTTACGTGAACAGCAGATAGCCATTGTATCGAAGCAGCTTTATTTACGTGTAGCAACTTGTTTCAATCCGTACGGATTCCTATGGATGGTGCCATACCAGCTATCGAGCACGCCATACTACAAGCAATCTTCATCTGGATGAGCTGCAATGAAAAAGGTCCAAGAAAGAGATGTATCAACAGCTAGATGGGAAAGGATCAGCAGCAATCACATGATGACTCTTCAACCAACATATTGGATTTGCAATGGTTATGGATGGGTGGATGCAATCAAGTGCTGTGATGAGGAAGAAACCTTGGAATGTTGCTTTGGTTACTTGACGCGTTGTCAGCAGGATCATGTCACGTCGATACGGCGGAGGATGATGATGGATTGGATGGAATTGACGAAAGGGCTTTTATCCTTGAGGAAAGCTGGTTTACAGCCGTGGATGATATTGGAGTACTCGAGACAATGCATGCAGCAGCTATTTTGCAATGATGAATGAAGGATGCTTATGTCGGCAGCAACCAAGAATACAATGACACATTCCATCCCCTGTTGACTCTATGTGATTCACCCGTACCTTATCCACTTTGCAATGTTGTTCCTTTATTATATACACTTGATAGAGTCCCCACTGCCATGTACTATCTTCGACTATTTCATTGAATGAAGATCGGATTCATTACAAGATTTAGAAGGGTTTCGTACCATCAGCTCATATGTGCAGAATGTGGATCAATTGGTTGGTTGGTGGATTGAAAGGGGGAATAGGTCGAAGGTCGGAAAGTGAGGTTGGACAATTTACATCATCCTGTCGAGTTGCTCTTGTCCTTTGTCACAACGTTGTTATTACATTTACTAAAGCTTCCTAGCTCACATGCTAATAAACGAAAGGCAGTGGCGATTCTCAAATGTTTGTATTGCAAAGATAATGAAAGGCATAATAAAACAAGCCAAGGTGCCACCGTTGTATGTAACCCAACTACCCAACGTATATAGTATAATTTATCCATCATCCTCTTTCAGAGGTTTCTGCTTTGGTACTCAAGCATACTATGTTTACATGAACAAGCACTCTCACTACTACAATATCAAAGTTGGGTTTGCATACATATCATTGAGCGTGGAAGCTATTGTATTCCGATCCATTATGTTGCAGGTTTAAAGGTAATAGCACTAACACCATCCTTGATCATGCTACCACACACGTCTCCACATTCTTTTAAAGCAGCGAGTTGATATCTCGTTTGCTCCACAATAACCGGAATGTGTATCAGAGTTTGCAGCATTGTTTTAGGATCATATCGCTTTGCGCATGCACGCCATGAAAAATGGGCCATAATGTTGCTTACTCAACAACAGGAGTCTCAAGCACCAACAATACGTCTTTCAATTAGCATCGTCTTTTCATGTCCAATGAATCGATTTTATTTTATGAATCCTCTCACATCTAACGCTACCTTTATCGTATGCTATACTTATCCACATAGATTAGCAAGCCTGATTGCAATTGATCCATATCCACAACCTTTGCAGCAATCCAATCCTATATGTTCCACTTTTTCCATCATCCTGACGTTGTCCTGTTGCTTGGCAATAGTCCTCACGAGTAGCAAAGTGACATACGCATTCAAAAAGGTGGTGTACAATATAAGTGGCCTTGCTCGTGATCCTTCTTTTTTTCCATCCACAACCTTACCCGAATCCGTTAACATGTTTTTTCATTTCATCCATCATCTTGAAATCATCGTGTTGCTTGTAAACACTCCTCAAAAGTAGCAGGCATAGTGGGAAAGCGGGCAAACAGTATAACAGGAAAAGCAAGTTGAACCAAAGACGTATTCCTCCACAAGCGATAATCCACCTACCATGTGTTTAACGGTGTTTGTGGTTCTTTACAGCTTCTCTTAGCCTGTTTGACAAGTAAAACTGCTTCGACATTGTGTTGCCGTTGTCAAGTAAAGTCAATTGTACCAGCAGAGCTTACAGCAAACGATCAAACGAAAAGGATGCCCTGAAACAATAAGATGTTCCTCCACAAGCGAAAACGACCAACCAAACGCACTCCCGTAGTTGTTCACAGCTGCTGCTAACTTGGTTGACACGTAAATTGCTTTGTTCTTGTTGCCAATCTTGAGATGAAAGTATGTAGACGATCAAACGAATAAAGTGTTTTGCAAGACCACCATTTGCGCCCAAACCAACTTTTTGCCACAATGTCGTTTCTTTTTATTCGATGTTGAAGCTGCCAATGTTGTATCTGTAAGGGGTAGTTCCATTGGGGGGGGTTGCCTTGGTTCCATTGTGGTTGCCATGGCATCTGTGTAAAAAAGTGCAGTTGCCGGCGAGCTTGAGCGTTGTTCATGGTCTGATTTTCACGTGAAACACTCGAATGCAACGTCACTTAGCAACAGCCATGGCCTGCCGGTCGCTTTCCTAATGAGGATAATTTTTCCTTATTTGGGCAATTTCATAGTATACCAGCGCTGAATTTTAATGTATAGTGAGTAGTAACCCGTCTCTTTGTCCCAGTGGCAGAACCCCGAACTTCGGGGCTGGAGGCGTGAGTTCGAATCTCACCTCTTAAATTTGGATCAATACAGAGAAGATTAGCATGGCCCCTGCACAAGGATGACACTAACTCTCTGAGAAGGATTAGCTCGAAGAGCGATTTTTTTTCAAGTGTTGTCGCTGATGCTTTATCTTTATAATGCTTTTCTCCTGCTTTATGGCACACAAATTACTCGAATGGAGTCGAATGGACGTGTCATGGCAACAAGCTTTCGTGTAAAATACAAACTCACTCGGGTTCGCAGCTTACAGATCGCAGAACAGCCTACTTTTCCATCTTCTTTTTATTGACAATGGTGAATGGAATGGGGAACAAGAGCACAGCAATTGCATATTGTATGACTCGAGTATACAGAGAATACACGCATTCCTCGTCAAGCAACTTGTTCCTCGATTGCAACAACGCTCTCTTTCTGTATCTGAAGGCATCTTACGGTTGAATGGAGGCGACTTACTTGGCTACAGAAAAGCACCCTTTCGATTGCTACTCTTGTAAGATCTGGGCATGCAGAATCAGTTCTCGCTGCTTCACGCATACAACGCACACGCATTCGTACATCACACGAACCACAACATGCTCTCAAGTGTCATACAGCAAGAGGAACAACTCGATCACACTTTATAAGTTGTTTACGCATGCATGCAAGGTCACAAGTATCAGCTCCATTGTCGTGGTATGAGAACATCCTTCTATCCATTCCTTATCACTATGGCTCAACAAGTATGCTTTCATACCTTCCAGCTCCCATTTGATCGACATGATATGAGAAGGTCTGTAGCCAGATGATTCACCGTTCGCTTATGTCTGCTGAATCCGGACTTGCTGTTGGTGAGGCAATGGCAAAGGTAAGTGTAAGGCAATCAAGCGTTCACGACGAGATGACAGCGTTATATCCTTCTTCATTCGAGTAGCCCGTAAAACTCCCATTGTCATGCGCTGTATTGTACTCTACTGTAATTTCTTTTCTCTCTCTTTGCATAAAGCATAACAATTTGTACCACAATCTAAGGTCAGCTTGAGTTTCCCTTGTTCGGCAATTGCATGTATCATCACTCTTTCTTTATTCAATTCCATCCTTATCTTCTATGGCTTCGGTAATACTCGTTTTACTTTACCATTCTACTTTGAATTGACCCCATTGTCTAGATCTACTTTGACGACTATGCATTCCCGAGCGAATTGTATGAGCGCGACACTGGCGATTTCCACATGACCATCAGGACCTTGCTTGATTTCACACCTCAGATTCTAAGAGAGTTACCCAAGGAGCCCAAGGTTAGATATCATCATCAGAGAGAAGAAGGATACGTATTCATGCAAGGGAGATCACTAACCTGATGATGATAGGATAGGAAACCTCTTCGAATTCATTTGGAAACGGCTTCCTTTTTACAACGCAACAGTAGACACGTTGAACGATTTGTTCATTTTCTCGTCGACTGCTGTATTGAATATTTTGCTCGTACAACAACCTATCGTCATGATGAACAACAACAACAATACCATTATACCCGGTCATCATCTTCATCTTCAGACAAGGAGAAACAACACCGCAGCAGCAGCAGCAGCAGCAATACTAGTAATAGTACGACAACTGACAAGCAGAAGAAAAAGAAGGATGATGAGGAAAATGAAAAGGACAACAACATCAACAAGAGCAATACGATGACCAAGTCGGCTGTTGCAGCAGGTGCGTTGGGCTTTTCATTGTATTCAACGTATCAAGCCAGCACAGCATGGGGCCATGTCAATTTCCAAAACCAGCTTGAGCGATTACTGGACCACGTGTCAGCGGCATTAAAGAGCACCAGTATATGGATCAAGGAACGAGAAAAAATGGAGGATCCAGTGCATGACATGATACGTCAAGATGTTATTCGCATACGACAACTGGTTCATCACGTCGAACGATTGGATTCTCGAAGTTTACGAAAGAAAGAAGCCACCGGATGGTAGGTTATTGCTTATGTATGTACACATTCCTTTTACTCATCAACATCTTTTATCTATCAGGGGCATGGGCGTGGTGGGTAGCCTTTCAGCAGTAGGAGGAATCGCTTGTGGTAGTATGATGGTGCTGAGTGGAGGTGCTGTTGTCGCTCTTGGAGGTGTACTTTTGACGGTGGCTACCAAAGGAACAGCAAAATCAGAAGAGGGTGCAAGGGCCTTGTTGGAAGCTGAAGTACGTCGATTACTCAAGGACATTGAACGAGAAGGTGCCAGCAGACAAAAGATAGTTACCGAAATGCTTGGATCCACTGAAAGCACAACCAATTCACCTCTTTTGTCCAAAAACAGGTAATGTGGATCAATCCATATGTTGAATAATATACCATGCTCATTCATCATGATAGTGTAAAACAAGAACCCTCATTCACTTTACCAAAACAAAAGGTCCCTGAAGCCTAGCAGTATTTATTCCCACTCATCTATTTTTCAAATACACAATAATGGATACATATGAAATACATCAGCTCCTTTGATTTGTGATTGTACATAGCCTTGTGTGCTTATGAAGATGTATACATCATAAAAGAGACATCTTGAAAAGTATCAGCGTCACGTCTTTCTTCAAGCTACATCAACTCTGTTATAAGGGTATCCTCCCTGTTTGTTCATCCAACCCTCCAATACATTTCAATCATGCGAACAACGTATTATTTAAAGACTTGTTTACAAAAGGAGATGTACATAGTTTTTTATTATCGCATATCAGCGTACAACTTTCGCATCTTTGGATCGGCAAATTTGCCTTTTCTTCTACGGCCTCCCTTTTTACCCTTTCCTCGGCGCGCCCGCACGCTCTTTCTAGCAAATCGTGTTTGTAATAAACCTTCCATCTCATCATCACACATGATACATCCAGTAACAGGCGGCTTGTTTTGGTTTTCTCGAAACTCGGCCTTCAATATCACACCACCACAATCCTCGCATAGTTCATCGACAATCGATACATCTAATGTGTGTGTGTGCATCAATACCAAATACTGCAACAGCATCATCATCATGACATCGCTTACGTTTGATGGTATCCACAAAGGTGGTGACAATATTGCATTCGTTACAGCTTAATTTCCATCGTGGTGCCGAAGTAGCGTCCAACACAAGTCGACCTTGGCATGGATCAGTCTCTCGTTCGGATTCAGGACATGGGCCTACTGCATTCGTGACCATGGAATGGGGACATGTTGGATGCAAACAATGATTACAACCCATGCCTAACATACATACATGTATGCATTAGGAAGTTGTCAAAGAAACGACCCCAGTGACACTTTACCTTTTTTGGTATCCTCAAACGGTGGATGATTGTAGCAATACGGACATATGGGATAGCCGGTACCTTTGGATCCAGTCGAATAAAGCACAAGCTCAAAATCATCCAATGGCTAAGTAACACCTTGTTAGAATCTATTGATCATTCCTCCCATTGTACATGGTCACTTACACATCGCAATTCTCGATAGAGCTTGATATTTCCATTCAATGGCAGTGAATACGTTTCATCGCAAGTAGCACAATGCAATCGATTTGGTTTCAGAGCAATGTACTTCATGTATCGCTTGCATTTGCCACACTTTGATAGGGGTCGTCCTGTTGCTGCCAATGCCGAAAAGGTTGCTTCAAATAGCTCATCCATGGCATCAATCTATACCCATATCATGTTAATTTTGCCACAAGATCCTCATCCAAGCAACTTACATTTTTGACAAAGTAGGCAAATTTGCGTTCAAACATGTCCAAAAAGTACTCCAATACATCACGCTGTGGTGCCTTGCCCATGGCAATCAGGTTAAGTTGTTGTTCCATATCGGATCGCATCGTGGGTAAGGATAACTCTGGATCGATTTTTTCTAGTATAGTCAAGGGATCGTCAATCGATGCTCACCGATGCTTGTTGCAATAGAGAGAGAGCCACTTACGATATCTATAGGATGGATAAGTTAGTCAATGTATAGATCATCCTTCATTTTAGTCATTCACTCACCCATGAATCAGCACAATACCGAGATTGGTGGGAACAAGTCGTCGAGCAGCTCCCGTTACCTACTCTCCCCCAAGATGATCAATACGTGTTCAACCACCACCAAAATAGTCTTGCTTACCGCCACATAATTGCGTTGACAAATATTGTTGATATGCGTTGGAATACTTGCATCAGTGCCGATACCATTTTGTTCCTAAACGCCAGATGTAAAAGGTCAACAAGCGAGCGGAAAGAGCGAGGGCGCAATAATACATACCATGAGTCCAATCAATTCAGCTTCTGTCAAGTATTCAGGTGGGCTTGTTTTGCCTTCAGGCAATGAAAGTGATGCGATCGGTATGGATTCACCCTTGGTAAATTCTGGAATATACTCGTCTGCTTTGCTCATCCTATCCCCCCCCCCCCAATAGGAGAAAATAAGTGAATGTTGGCAATGATGACATAGTAAGATACATACCAGTGCATGACTGAAGCAAATCCAGGAGAAAAGACCTGAGATCCTAATACACAATGGCGTGTCAATCCACAAGCCTATTCCTTAACCTCTCCTATACAAACCTTTGCAATGAAACTTTTCATTTCCAATGGCAAATGTGACGCTGGTCGATGTGTATTGCATGTTGGGGCTGATCGAACCAATAAAAGTTCTTGCAATAAAGTCATATATCCGCCAGGCATCACCATAAAGATCACCCTCTTCAGCTACGCGCATAGGTGTACTATAGGTTGGATGTCAATAAAAAGTACAGCATATACACATGTTGAGCCAACTTACATAGGAGGATGGTCTCCAACGTCTGTGCCACTGGTGGGTTTGGTATATCCATTTCTTAGCAGCTCCTCGCAAAATTGACCCCTGGATAAAAGAGAGGCGGATCAATAAGATAATAATTCACATCCATTCCAAGGTTGTCTTACCAGTTGGATTGGCGGGATTGCTCTTTCAGCACGCTGTCAAGATCAAAGTTGTCAGGATACTTGGATGTCTCCGTTCTTGGATATGAAATGTAGCCTTGAGTATAAAGCCGTTCGGCAATGCTCATCTATAATTCACATGTCAAAAGCTGCTAGATACACATATCCAAGTACTTACACTTTCACTAGGGCTAATACCAAGTGAGGATGAGCAATGTTTGAGAAGCTCGACCTAATCATCATCATCATGATGTGAGCTACTTGTTGGATAGCATATCAAGAAACTTCACTTACGGTGTTGAGAGCATGGGGTCGTTGCTTTGATTTACGTTTGGTCTCAATATCCACGACGGTTGCATATTTCTCGTTCTCGATGGTACCAAGGAACAAGCTGGCAATGCTTCTATCAAAGATGCGTTCACGATGCCAATTCAACTTGACAGCTGGATTGCCATGTTTTTGAATGGTGGCGGCAATACTCCAAAAAGACTCTGGTTGAAAACTCTGAATACGATCATGGCGCTCAACGCAAAAGGATAAAGTGGGCGTCTGACAAGGGCCATAGCTGATCACCGTAGCATCCAAATTGCCATATTTGCCTTGGAAGAACCGGGTTTGGAAGCGAGTGAAAGCGACACCCACTTTGAGATCGAATTCTTGGCGTGCATCCACAGCTTTGGCTTCATTCTCGTTGGGTTGACCCAGGTTTTGCATGGCGCGTCGTACATCTTGTGCTGTGATGGCTGAGAAGCGAGCTCGTAGCACGTGATCCATGCTCTTATGCTTCATGGCTGGCAGACAATTGTTGATCACTTCAAAGCAAATGTTTTCACCTTCACGGTCGCAATCGAGCCACAAGACAAGATAGTCCACACCCTTGGCCTCGTTGTGCAAGTGCTGCGTCAGTCGCATTTTGGGATTGGCTTCGTTCTTGCGGATCTTGCCACTGAACAGCTTGATGGGATCCAGATCCCAGGAATTGTACTCGGACGTGAAATCGACATTGTACACATGTCCTGTCACAGACGTAAACTTGAAATGCGCATTGGGATCGTCGCGAAAAGGGCCTGTCCATTCATGCACGGGTGTCGTTCGCTTGTGTGTTTCATACTGAATTGAATGTTAGCTTCATGGGTCACACGCATCGTGGTCTCCACAGCACTTACACGACCTCCAGGTGCCAGTAGTCGACTCAAGGCATCAGCCAGCGATGGCTTCTCTGCAACCTATTGTCCAACGTAAGACATTGCTCTATATTGAAAGTGTATTTGAGCTTACCATCAAAACGCGCATAGTGGGATAAGGTGCACAAAGAAAGATCAAGCTGGGAAATCATCCTGCAGTGTGCGACCAATGTCTTGACGCTCCAAGGTCCGTCGCCAATGCGAATAGCCCACTGCTCACTTTGATAGAGTCGTCTAATCCAATATTGATCCATGGACACTTTCAGAAGAGGAATACCAAGGGACGTTTTACACATAGTTGTAGCTAGTTGCTCATTCTCTTGCATGATTAAATGATGATGCTTGCTATTATGAAATCATTGATTGCCATCCATGTGTCATGCTACAACTACCCTTTTTACCCGGAGATGTATACATAGAAGCCTTTTACAAAGCTATTAATGTGTATCATAGCAACGTGGTTGCTACCTGACAACGTCGTCTTTGTAAATGGGAGATAGAATAATGTGTCAAAAGCCTCATGTGTGTGTTGTTCTTATGATGATCCTCGTGTTCAGGGAACTACACAATGTAGCAATTATTAGCTCTGCATACAATAATGCATTTAAACAATGACCCCCAAGAAAGGAATGATATGGGATGATGGCGTGCGTTCGTTGTTTCATTACACTACAGCAGCTAGCAGCAGCAGCAGCAGTAATAAATACACACTGACATATCCCCCTGATTGACAAATAGTGTGCGAGCATCTAAACATCACCTCCTTTTCCATTACTGTTTATTCCATCTCCCCCCTTACTGGATATTTTTATGTTCATTCATTCATTTATGATATTCAACATTCTTTCTTTTTCCTTTATCGTTTCAAACCTTTTCAATCACCACCTTCTATCTTTTTCTTTCTCTCACATTGTGAGCCCATCCTTTCCTTGATTATATATTTACCATCATGCCATCATGGTCAACCCATTCCTCTCCTTCTCTTTTACTAAAGCTATTACAACTTGCCCTGAATGAATCCAAGCCAAAATCCAATACGCCACGCCATGAGAGTTTCTGGACGACCTTGTACATCATGAGCACCCAACTTTTGCGAAAGTATTGGTTTCTTGTTGGACTTGCCATGGTGATATCACTTGCCGTTGCCTTTCCCGATGTTGCTCGTTATGGTGGCTATTTGCATGCTGAATGGACCATCAAGTGGGGTACGTACTACGCAAAGAGTATCTATGACATGAGCTGATCGACAGGACAATAATAGGCGCCGTCATTCTTATCTTTTTCATTTCGGGCTTGTCTCTACGTACACAAACCTTGGCTGAAACGGTGCTACGTATACGATTACACTTTTTGGTGCAAATGATTAGCCTTGTCCTGATTCCTTTTTTCGTATTTGGCTTTGTGCTGCTCCTTTTCAAAGCCAATGTGCATATGGATTCTTTGCTATTGATTGGATTAGTGATTGCTGCAAGTACACCCACCACCGTATCCTCCAACGTCGTCATGACCAAAAACGCAGGAGGCAACGAAGCAACAGGTAGAGGAAGCGCTTTGATGATTTAACACCAACCATCATACTCATCATCATTTTATCAACAGCATTGATGAATGCCGCTACGGGCAACTTGCTTGGTATCTTTGTATCGCCTGCCCTCGTTAGCTTCTTTCAAGAGCCTTTGGTGGATGCCACACCTGAACCTGATAGCGTTACGAAGATCGATGGCCAAGTGCATTTCGCTTCTGTTCTCATGCAATTGGGTTTATCGGTATTACTGCCCCTTGTTGTGGGACAAGCCGTACAATGGATAGCACCAGTCACCGTGGTTCATATCAAAGAAAGATGTCGCCTTTCCGATATCAGCAGCGTTGCATTGTTATCGCTTGTTTGGGCCGTGTTTTCCAATGCTGTGTATGCTCATTCATTTGATGCGGTCAAGGCATCCGATATTTGCGTGGTAGCCTTGATCAATCTTTTGTTTTATGGCATCTTTTGTGCGCTCTGCTTTTATTTGGCACATTACTTGCCGTTTCCACGTCTACGTTACTCTCGTCAAGATACCGTTGCTGTGATGGTAAGTTCATTTAACGATACGGTATGTAGAAAACAATGGCTGATTTAATCATCCTACTACTAGTATTGTGGAGCTACCAAGACGGTTGCCATGGGCGTCCCTTTGATCAATGTCTTGTATGAAAATGCTGATCCAGGCACAGTTGGTGTTTTGATGACCCCACTCCTCCTTTACCACATTGAACAACTCATTATCGGGAATATCCAAGTCGATTTTTTGAAACGATGGATCCAAAAAGACGAGGAAAATAGTAGTAGTAGTAGTAGTAATATGGATGATTATTGTCATTTCGACGACGACGATAATGATGATGGAAGCTCCTCCTCCGATCTCACATTATGCGACGAGTCATGCAAGGATCATCATGACGTGTATCAAAAAGTTTAGAAAAGATAACCTTTTTTTTTATTATCATAAAGACAGTAGCAGGACCTCTGTCACACACGCACACACATCAACATGGCTGCATTTAAACATTGAAAGGGAGAGAGAGCTAGAAGTGTACGGGTAATTTAATGTCTTTGGAAACATTTATAGAGTGGTCCCACACCAACCATGTTCAAGCACCTCATGTTGCTATACGCCAAACGCCTCATGCTGGTTATGGGCTCTTTTGCGACACAGCGGTATCAACCCATGGAGACAATGCTCTTGTCACGATCCCCAGCACATTGATCTTGTCAGCTGATCGAGCGCGTCATGACCGACCCGACCTCGTTGAGATCACCGATGACCGTACAGCGTTACGACTCTTTTTAGCGCTTGAAAAGCACTCGCCCACCATCGATTTTTGGAAACCGTATCTTGGGATATTGGATGCAAGCATGGAAGACTTTGAGCAGCAAGTGGAAGGGACATGTTTGGAGCAAGCGATGCAAGCGAAACGATTGTCGTTGGAGAATCAGTTTGCTGTATTGCAGCCATTATTTGGTGATGCATTGACATTGGAGTACTGGATATGGGCAGATCGGATTGTACGATCGCGTGCTGTGGGTGACACATGGATGCTGGTGCCATTTCTGGATTTTGCCAATCACTCAAACGAACCCAATGCACGCTGGGAAGTGCAACCCAATGGTGATATGCAAATTGTGCCCTTATCTAGTACGCTAGCTGCTGGTGACGAGGTCTTGTTTTCCTATGGTGCAAAGTCCAATATGGAGTTGCTATTTTCTTATGGGTTCACGCTGAATGACAACCCCGTTGAATCCTCTGTCAGAATTTCTGCAGCTGGGTTCTTGGATGATCCCGCCAAGATTGCATGGATGCGACAATTGAATATTCCACCCACATTGACATTGACAAATGAACATGGCAACAACGATGATGATGAAAGTGACAAGATGGGATGGAGCGCTCAATCGATTCAATTAATGTACTTGATCGTGATGGATCCAGAAGAAGATGCATTGACATTGGCACTTGATGAACAAGATGAGACCACCATCCATGCTTGTGTAGGCGACACACAAGTGGAGAATTTGAATGATTTGGCACAACAAGCAAAAAGGTTACCACAGCATCCTATCTTGTTGCTACGTATTGTTATGCTCCTTCTTGATGCCACACAATACCACTTCGACGCTATCACAGATGCTATGGCTCGTATCAAGGTATTGGAGATGGTCGACCGGTACAGATCAGAGGAAAAGCTTTTATTACAAAGGACATTGAACAAGTTGACATTATTGCGAGACACATTGGCTCAAGACAAGGTGGTGTTGGATTATCTCTCGGCACAGCAACAAGAGGATTAGACATTTGTGTGTGTGTACATAATATTGTATATACTACGACGATGATGATGATGAATAAAAGAATCCAGATCCAAGACCTGGAGGTACAGGGGGTGCATCCATATGGCCATGGGGTACTTCAATACGATCACCAGCAATCTGCAATAGTTTGACCTTGATGCCGATATCAGCGAGTGAATGAAGATAATCGGATGTCTCCTTGGTAGATATACCCTTGTGGAGCAGCATGCTGAATCCATCTTTCCATTCGGATGCCTGCTCTCGTGATGCACATATGAACTCGGCTAGTGGTAGATGCTCTTCTGAAAATAAAGCAAAGGATGGATTGGATGATGTGGATGATTCGCCACCGCTTAGTGATATAGCTGATGATCTTCGTTGGAAAGGTTGGATAGTGGCGACTTCACCAAGATCGACTTTGTGTGGAAGCGATTCGAAGGTGTCGATAACGGGTGGGTATCTTTCAGTGAAATCACCATATTGAAGGTACTTTTTGCTTGGACATAGCTTGTAATATCGCCATCGTCTGCCAACTGCATGGATGCTGCTATTAAGACTGGAAGTGCTGCTGGCTGCTATAAATCGATGACTCGTAGGATATGGAAACCAAGCGCCTTGTAATAAACATCCAATGCGTTGTCGTCTAAGGAAATCGTATGATTGTCGATTCAATCGACTTCGTAAATTTCTATAGAGAAAAAGATTAGCCATGGGTCATTGTTGGTAGTAATGGGAAACCACTTACCGGATAGCGATTCGGCTACACAAATCATCAGCCCATTCCAGCTCTTTTAACCTGCGATCACGAATAACGGCATACGGTGTATCGAGCATCAAACGATCGAATTCAAAGATATCCCTTGCTCCTTCATCACCCATCATGGTTGCTCGAAGCTGACTCCTCACCAAGGCTGATACTTTGGAAAAATCACTCGTTGTACCATTCATTTCTTGAAAGAGGCGCCAAAAGCATTGCAATGTTGTAGCATGGACATGATCAAAATGCAGCAAAAGAGGATCAAAGTCAACTGCCGAATCTACAACAATATCATACGTTGAGTATTTTTCCATATGACGATGATGATGGGTCAACTTACATCCTGTACTGATATTCCATTGACTACAAAGCAATTCAGTGACTTCAATGCTAGCCTTGGCAAAAGGACATCGTTTATCATCAGCTCGATGGACTTGTTCCAATACCATCTACATACAACATCATAGTACACGTATGAGTCTCGTTTCCATCCCTCGAATACGGAGAAGCCTATCTGCATTTCCACACTAACGTACTTTGGCGAACAAATTCTGATTTTGGTTGGCAAAGGCGTGCATACGTTCCAGACCAAACACACCCACTTGTCCAAACTCACGATGAGGGGTCTCTGACTTGAAAAGAAATGTCAACTTTTCCTTGCTGTATTTTTCTTTATGCAACCCCATCCCATCCTAGCAACGTACCGAAAATCCAAGTTTTCTCCATTTCTTTGCACCTGATACTGAGACGTGTTGTACTTTGGCTATTGTCCATATCGTTTGCAGCATTTGTACGTGGCGTGGATGTTGCATGGAGATCTGAGTCTTGCATCGTCTATTTGCATTGTGGACAATCGCCGATTGAAACTTGAGTAATTGCTCCCTGACATCTTCCGTGGGGTCATTGTTCATCAACCGCTGTCAAAATTGGGGAGAAGAATATCATGCAACGACGACGATGAGCGTCTACTCACAACACGAATCACATCACACACACACACATACATACATGAACGTATTTATAGGCCTTGTGTCGATCCATCAGCTCCAAAAGTCGACTTCGATGTTCATCAGGCACATGTTGAAGAAGGGATACCAAGAGTGTTAAGCTGTTCAAGCAAAGGATGTAATCCGAACTTTGCAAACGTTGGATCAAGACGCTGACAAGGCTTTCAGGCTGCTGTTGCATCACTTGCTTGTATCCACAGGTGGCATTCTTGTTGCTGATCGTTTGAATGAGGATCGAGGTGGCTGGTCGACAAATGGTGGCCAGCGTCTCTGAGACGACAATGTCGGCAATGCGAGCAACGAATGCGTCCGTGAATGCGTATCGAATCACATTGTCATCTTGTTCAATGAGAGCCGTAAAGGAATTGAGTGCATAGGCGAGTGTGTTGCCGCTGACCTTGTCGATAATGTCACAAAGAGCTTCAAGACCACCTCGTTCAAGAAATTCGGTAGCGAAATCAGGTTCCTGGAATAATAAAATCAATCAATCAATGGATACAGCCATGATGATGGCCTTTTTATACACACATTACCTTGAGATACTTTTGCAATGAAAATGTGACCAATTTGAGGACCTTTTCATCCTTGGAAGAAGGCCATCCAGCTGTATTGGCTGCTGATAGGCATACACCTGACATACGCCTCACTAATGTCTCGGCTTCTTCCAACGGAGGCACACTAAGGTTCAGTTTAAGATGCTCCGACATGCCCGTATGTGAAGAAAAGGGAAAAAAAGGAAGGGAAGGAAAGGGAAACCCACAAACAGGATAAAAATGCCAGAAAAGAAAAGGGGAAAAGAGTGACATACAAGATGTAGTTCTTTCTCCCAATTTGGTCGCAAGGGCCGTGCGTGTGCTACACTGTCCATCATGATCCTGCATTAAGCAACTTGGCGCGTTGATGCATGAAACCTGTTTCATTGCTAGTTGTTTGTTTTTGTAAGAGATCCCCGATCATCCACGACGTCAAAAATCGTTGCTTCATGGCTGTCAATAGATCTATGAAACACTTGGTTAAAGAAGGAGTCCAACAATATACAAAGTGATTGACAACATGTATCATTTTAAGGAGTCTCGCTATGCAACATTGTTTGATCCAACATGTTATGTATTAACAAGAGGTGTAATTGCTCTCTCTCTCTCTCTTCTTTCTTCCTTCTTCTCCCACCCCCAGGTCCCCTTTCAGGAAAATCAGGGAGATGGATTTCCCCAATTTGAGCCATTCAATGCCTGTTTGCTGCTTTTAGAAATGAACATCACACCAATTACACCTCTCTCCTCCACCCCGTATACTGTCAATTTGCTACATATCGGCATGGATTACTTTGTCGTTACGTTAACCCTCTTATTGACCAATGTCGTATTATAAGTGCAATGTGAGAAGCAGCTATCATCATGCCAGCATTACGAGTGACAAAGATGATGCCATTTATCTTGGGATACTAAAGTTCTTATGTAAATCCAGATTTGATCAAGTTCTATAGCTCAATGTTTTGTCATTAATTGGCCCATCCCTAACATCATACGTGTTTTCTTGTTCAAGGATAAACAGGTAGTTACGTACCTCTACTCTTGATGAACATGTAAAGATACACTCATCTCATCATAATGGTGGTAGTCATTTGAAATCAACATCAAATACTGAAATACGTGGGATGTTTTACTATAACAATGTACGTAAGAGGAAATAGCGATGTTATTAACTAGTTGATCAAGGAGGGATCTTAAGAAAATCGCTTAATATTAAAAGGGAAGGAAGGGACGCTCCCGATGTTGACGGTACTCTGGGACCACTGCCTTGCACCATGGCAATCGGCAAGAATAATAAAGGAAAAGCGTCCTTCAGGCAGGAGACAATCAATGGTGCTATTATTGTGCGTGTGTAGAAGAAATCCATTAGCCTGACAACATCATTTCATGAGTCACTTGCCTAATTAGCTGCTGCAAGAACCCAAGATTTGTTATGCAAGTTCTTTTTCTTTTCCACTTGAACCCAGACAAAGGCCATGTATCACTACCATGTTCGTCTTGTCCTGGTGACCTTGGATTCCAGCCATGTACCTCAGCACCTGTTCGACCCATTACCAGCTACGCTGCAATGTGCAAAAGACACGCATTCCTTCAAGCACAAGTTAAAGACAAAGCTTGTTCGTTCTCACAAATCGCGTGGCAAACCACGGGTGCCAGGCTCCAGACCCAATGCACCACCCACACCCATACGATCAGCCAAGCAATCGCACCCACCTCACTTGACCGATTACCCTGATTTCCGCTTGGGCTCAATATCTGTCGAGTCGTTTCGTACCAAGGGTGATAGCAAAGTACAGGAACATTGTACTACCGATTGTGGATATGGCATATTGCATGTGTATCGAGACACCCACGACAAGCAACAACAATCCTCCAATGCGTCACCGCACTATGCGTGTATCCTTGCCGTACCATCATTTATGCAACTCGACGACCTCTTCCATTTTATACGTGATACCCATTGCGAGTACCGTGTGATCAGGTAATACATACCACAATGCTCCATGGTAGCCATCTTTTCTCACAAGGATCTAATGCTAGGGATCATGCGCCAAACAAGTACACCGTTATTCTCAAGTTTAATACATCAAAGGAGGCACAAGACTTTGAACAAAAGTACAATGGCAAGCAATTCAATGTATCCGAGGTATGTATTTTCATGCACATCCATGATGATGATGATGATTCCCCGCCTCATGTGATCTAATGGAAAGAAAAAAATGTAGCCTGAAATATGCCACGTTGTCTTTTTGGAAGAAGCTCCCATACTCGATGCCATGGTGATTGACAAAAAGTCGCTGCCGCTCTCATTACATGACACCCTCAAACATGATCAACAACGCCCAGATCGCCATGAATTACCCACATGCCCTGTATGCTTGGAACGCATGGATGACAATACAACAGGCCTACGCACCATTGTATGCGAGCACAATTATGAATGTTATTGCTTGAGTAAATGGGGAGATACTGAGTAAGTAGTGGTGGCATCATCCTTGTCAACAATCACAACCCCACTCACATCTTGTAGTTGTCCTACTTGCAAGTATTCTCAAAAGCCTGTTCCTGAAGGATCGAGTGGAAGCAAGCGATCTGTGCTCAAGCCAGTAGCAGAGAGTGATGATACCAATGAGTGCTTTGTGTGTGGAGCCACGGATAGCTTATGGATTTGCATGGTGTGCGGTCACATTGGATGTGGACGATATCAGGATGCACATGCTTATGATCATTACATGGAAACCAAGCACATCTATGCCCTTGAGATCGAGACGCAGCATGTATGGGATTATGTTGGAGATGGGTAAGGTAACATTCCAAAAACACATACATGACGATGCTCACACACACATACACGCATAGGTACGTGCATCGACTTATACAAAATACGGATGGCAGCTTGGTAGAACTTGAGAGTTCGGCAGCAACAGGATCCGATGATCGAAGGAAACGGGTCACATCCCAGGTAGCGTGGGGGGGGTTTTTAGGATGAACAAAGGCATCTTATTCATACGTCGTTTATAGGACAAGATGGAAATGGTTTCCCAGGAATATTCTCAGTTGCTGAATTCACAACTTGAGTCTCAAAGGATGTACTACGAGGAACAAGTGTCACACATTGAATCACAAATCTCGTCGTTGAAAGCCCAGAAAAAGAGCATTCATTCGGATATCAACAACATCAAGTTGGACAATGAAAATCAACAGCGAAGGAGTGATGAATTGGACAAAGAGTTGGCGGATGTTCAACGAGAAAAAGCAAAGCTTGAGCGGCGGCTGGAAATGGCAAAAGCAAAATCAGGCGATATGGAAAAGGAGTGGAAGGAAGAAAAAGAGGTAGGATGGAGCATGAGAGAGATTTGTTCAAAAGGCTTAACCTTTTGTTTGTAGATGATGGATTCGCTGAAACGGAACAATGAATTGCTGAAAAAGGAGCTTGATGAGCAGGATCAGCTTGTGGACACCCTGAATGAGCATATACAGAGTTTGATGAAGCTTCTCGAAAGCCCAGATGACGTGGCCAACAAGCAAACCATTGTGGATGCAGCTTTACGCACTGTTGGACTTGTGAACAAATCAACGTCAACAAACCAAGCATCATCATCATCAACAACAACATCATCATCATCTCGGACACCGGGGTCTCGAAAGAAAGGAAAGAAAAAAGTGACTCGATGATCGAATTCTATACCACGCCCATGCTAGTACTCTATAGATCTTGGCAAAAATATATATTTACATTTGCAAATGGTTCATTTTGGATGCTAGTGGTTTTGAGGGATATGCAATTTCATCTTACAACAGGAGCTGATGAGAATATGATTATGGGTACATATGAAAGGAAATACAAGATGCTGCTGCAAATGATATATGGCTAATGATGCATGCATGAGTGGAAGGAGATGGGGGTATTGTATCATGCGTACACACTTTAATCGTCGTCAATGCGCCAAGAGGACACGGATCTTTGTTCGCGTAACTCATGTCTCGACATTTGTTCCTTCTTTTGTCCACCACGTTGCACATAAGGCTCCAGTCCTTTGCCAAAGTTACTCATGGTCCACGCACCCAGTACCGCCGTCGCCTAAAACGAGTTAGGTAAGCATCACCAATACCATGAAAAAAAAGCATATGATCCTTACCAGAGCAAACACAATACCCATGATGACTAAAAAAAGAGGGATTGAGTTAGCCTAGCTATAGCAGATATCAAGTAGGTAGCATACTTACCAAAGGCAATCCAAGTATACCATTCGTTTTCGGGGAACATGGTTCTCCACAACATTAAAATGAGCGAGAACACCACCGCGAATTGGAAGATGATAAATAGCAACATGCGACCATGTTGCTCACCACCCGCCTAATAAACAAGCACGTACATGAGTACATCATAACGCGTCGAGACGACATCTTAAAAGCTATCTCCTTACCGCCATTCGTCCAAAGTATAAGAGGGGTAGTATTAGAATGGTGACGACAAGTTGAATGTAACCATCCCAATAAAATCCATCATCAAGAGCAAATTGCACGAGGTAAAAGAGGGATACAAGGAATTCGATGAAGATGTCAATTTTGAGCGTAAGGACAAAGAATTGGAAAATCCGATACATCCCTGATGATACACGTGATGGTGTTGTGGTTAATATCCCCCATTTTTCTGTATTCCTCTTTGTCTTACAACTTACTTTGAACAACGACATCGGGGCCAATCTTTTTGTAAATCACCCAGCCAAACTCCTTCACAACGAGATAAGATACGTAGGCGAATACGAGCGCGTAAAGAATAATGACGACCGTGAGGACGATTTCAATGTAAAAGGCGGTTTGCAATGGTGTTGTATCAATGGTCAAATCATAATCGGTATTGAGACGATCCAATCGATCGAGCCATCGTTGGCCATCCATGACTTCAAGACCACCTAGAATGGCACAGATACCATTGAGGATGGCGAGAACAATGATTTCAGCAGCATTTTGATAGACCGTCTATAAAAAGAAAATTGCATGGTTACATCTCGGATCTTTAAAGAAAGCGGAGAAGGGAGGGGGGAGTAGGCTCGCTCAATTATGAAAATGGGGTGGGTCGAGTCGAGAAGTGTGTAATAACAACTTACAGCATCAAAAGCCATACCGACAAACCAAACTTGAAAACCAATAAAGGCAATGTTCTCCCATTTTATACGATTCAATCGACTCAAGGCTGCTTGGATACCATCATGGGCATCGGTCGTGTGGTCGTTTATGCTATGCGAATAGGAGGGAGACGTAACAAGGGAAATGTTGCTGGCTTGTGCTGTATTTTGGCTGGCGATGGCTGATTGTAAAGCAATGATCATGATGCCTTGAAGCAAGGCCAAAGCAATGTATAGCTTTGTCCATTTTGACTGGCTGATGCGTTCGCCCTAAAGTGTGTGTGTGTGCGTTTGTGTCAATGGTAGGTTGCTCGACATGCAATAAACAAAGAAAACGTACAATCTTTTGCAAGGTTGCCATATGTAAGATGCGAGGAGCTGTGTGTATGAGGTAAGGGAGAAAGAAATTAAAAAAGAATGAGAGAGAGAAAAGAGCTTGTCTTCTTGCAATAGGATGGTCTCCTTTTTCTGCTACTCGAGGGGTAGTCAAGTTGGTGGGTCTGCCAAGAAAGGTAAAAGTTTGTGCAACGCTAGATGAAGCACACACACATACACGCACACACACTCACACACAAAAAAGTTACAAAAAGCGGCGACGACCCGGTTGTCTTGAATGAAACAGGTCCATCGGCCCCATTCTAGGCCTGTGTAACGCTCCATTCAGCATATGATTAATCAAGCATAACCCCACAAGGCAGCTAGCAATTAGCTTGTCAAGCTCTTTCTTTTTCCATTGTCCTCTAAAAAAGACGATCATTATCAAAGATGGGAATAGGTAAATGATACGCCATGGTGTCATGCTGCAGTGTAATACTCGTGTGACCAACCTTGTTTCCGGGATGGGCATCCCGATGCCGCCAAGATGAACATGGAACAGTCAAGGGGATTGCATAGAGTGATCATGATCATTGTTTACACCCACACAAATATGAACAACCTGCGAAGGCTATTACATGTCATTTGCATTACAATCTTTATTGTTTCATTTGTATGGCTGATGATGATGTAGTAGGCATATGCCGTATAGCTACAACAATAGAAGGAATTCATTATTGTCATTCAAATCGTGGGCTGATGATGGTGTGAGCTGTACAACATCCATGTGGATATGAATGACAACTGCTCGGATCAACCATGCATAAGATAAAGATCCTGCTTGCCAGGTTGTGTTACCCCCAGCAAAGTTTCTTTTTGCACCACGACTCGATTATTACCATCCTACATCACCTATCTTTGTTGACATCATTCGTATTGCCGTTGGCCCATTGGATCTTGTATTGTTCATTAGTAGCCTTCTGATGATGATAAAAAAAGGTCCCACGCATGGTAGTAGTATACCTATAAAGAAGATAGCTAAGAATGCGCTCTCTTTTTACGATCTTGCTGCATGCGTTATGTTGTTGCAGGGGACAAAATAGAGGAACAATGGATAAGGAAAATGGAATCGATAAAGAATAAATTGGATGTGTACATATACAACAACATCTCGGAAGGAGTGTGAGCGGGCAAGGGGAAACGTGAATAATGGAGGATGATCATCATCATCATCAACGTGTGATCATAATGCGAACAATAATAATAATAGCATCCAGCGTAGTCGTAGTAGTAGGGGTGCAGCATCACACCATTTCCATGAGGTGCTCCTGTTTTACAAATGAGCAAAGCCATCTTTTCTTTTCAATATCGTGCTTCATCTGCTATTGGGTTGGAGGTTCCTTATTGCGACACCTGTCGGTGGTGGCCCCTTTGCCTCTCCTCCAAGGGTCCCAGAATGCATCTTTTGATGCAATACGGATGTGTGTATGTGTGTGTGTCTCTTTGTGTGCATTACTTTTTTTCGCCTCCAACAATAATACGGCGAAGGTATGCATTGATCACGCAACAGCAGCAGCCATCATGTAACTACCATCAACCCCTGAGAATGCGTTACTGCATTCCATTGTCACGACATGATGTAGGGTGTTATCGCAAAAGCGGATACGTTCAATGGATGTGGATCATTACATAGACAAAGGCAGGAGAAAAGAAAGGAACGAAAGAAAAAGGGAAGCAAAAGCGAGGTCACCAAAACAATAGGCATCAACAACAACCTTTTTTTTCATTTATGACATACCTGCATGGATACACGATAAATCTAATCCTTATCGACGTCTTGCATGATCGGCTCTTGTATAAAAGAACATTGACCAACGTTTGCTTTCAATCCAATGACACTCGTTTTATCGTGCCAAATGGACATGACATGCCGATACCGGGCAAGGAGCAGTAGCAGCAGCAAAAAGTGAGACGATCCGGGGCTATGCTAGGAGACAAGGAGTTGATACGAGCTGCTATTTCTTTATATACCTTAGCAGTAATGCTTCATAGTTTGGTCGTACATGTAGTTACCATGGGCTTTTGCTGATCTTTTTGTATGCAAGGGCAGTAGCGCATCATAGCAGACGTAAATGAAATATTTATACCGTGTTGTTGCAAAGGCATGCATGTGTGTGTGTGAGTGATGTGTGCCGTGTGTCTCTAAGTTCACCCATTGGCCCCTTTGGGAGGCATTACATACATTTGGCATCTGGGGTCGGTAGCAGCGCAGGTCCCTTTTGCATTGTGCTGCATGTCTTTTTCGAGCCAAAGATCCAAGGAAAGAAAGATTAAACACAAACCATGAACCCCTCTCAACAACTGACAAGATCCAAGCGTTGTTCTTTCCCTCCTTTCATTGTCATCACCCCATGCATGCTTGCTCGTTTTTGTACCTCCTCCAATGGGGCTTGTGTAAAGAGCATATGCGTTTCCCCTCTCTCTTTCTTACCCTCTCCTTTAAACCAACCACCTCGAAACCTCTTTTTTAACGAGTGTGATCTCGAACAGCTTTTTCCCTTTGCTTTTTCTTTTCGCTTCTTGAGTCTCCATTTCAACTACAACAACAACACACTATTATTCAACAGACCTAATAACACCACCATGACTCATCTTAGTGACTACAGCTTTTTGCGTAAGCCATCATCATCATCATCCATCATCCACCCACCCCCACCTACCATGAAACCGCTCTTTGTCTTACGCGTTGCATGATTTACAGAACGAGCGGTTTCGTTGACGTATCTTTATTTATGGTTTACATATCGAATCTACACCTTGGATGGTTTTCAATGTTTGCATCCAAAGCGATTCAAGCAAGGCGAATTAAAGAGTATAGCAACGTTATTACTATTATTCATGATACCGTTTCAGCTGCTATACGGTATGCATTGGAAAGCGCGTACATTTAAAAAAGTAGCCCGTTGTTGACAAGGTAGATTTAGATTTGACATCCTGCAAGATCAAATATGAGGAAGGATTTGCAAACATCTTTGGTCACATTTTCACAAAGCCAGAGACCATGTGGACCAAAGCTGATCAGGACCTGGTTATCCCCACAGGTAAATGAATGATGCACATCATCAGCTGTTGCTTCTTGGTCAATGTGCTCACACGTGTTTTTTCTTCTTGATGACCTAAGATTATAGTTTGTGCGTTGGATTATCATTGCAGTGGTAAGCTTGACACCTCCTTTGTTACTCCTGATCCACCTTTACTCACACACACACTTCTTATTTACCCCACCCCTTGTTCTTCTATATAGTGGTACGCTGCTCCTTTTACAATGTTTCTGGAACTACCTCGCCAATTCGGTGGCCAAGGCCAGTTTCATGAGTAGTCGCGAGTTCTTTTTCTATATCGGCTGGTAGGTTTGAGTTAATAGCATCAAGCAAAAAAAAGACCAAATGGATACTAACAAGCCATTTATTAGGTCCATTGCAAGTGTCGTCATGTACCCCGTACTGCAATACAACTTCTCCCGAGACATTTATGATCCCACTTGGAAGGAGATTATGCCTGAGCTTTTATTTGGCATCGGTAAGCCATCATCATCGATCATATCAAGAAACGAAATCCTGATCCATGCAAATAGAACTTTTCATTGTTGCCATGCTTGGTTTTGTGTCGCATTTCCGTTTCCGCAAACTGCTCGAGAATTCACGTGAATCCACCAATGCCAAATCCATCATGCATAAGATTCGCTATTTTCAGGTAAATGTCAAACCTGTTCTTGTTAATGAAGTTTTGAAACTCACCCTTCTTTCCATGACAGGAATTAAACTTGATCCTTACCGTTGTGCTTATGATTGATGCATTGTCATTTATCATTCTCAGCGCTGATGGTCTTACAGGCCGCAAGTATCTTAACATGCACAAGTTCACTGCCGATTTCATGATTTGCAATAGTAAGTAGCAATAACCAAAGCGATGCATGAAGCTGCATACTCACAAAGCATTATTAGTCAATGTCACCTCCATGATTGTGTGGTTCATTGTTGTCCTTATTTTGCATCCCAAGCCTCTTACAAACCAAAACACGGCACCCCAAATCCAACAACCTGGCCACGACTTTTTGTCGTCTGGCAAGCCAGGTGATGGCTATACAGGTGCCCCCTCTACCATTATGACTCAACCATCACAAGCTTCAAGTGACTATTTGAATTACACTGGCCCTATTAATTACAATACTACATTCCAACGACCCGCTACAGGAACCGAAGACAACCATATTAGCCATTCATCCACCCCATCTACAGCAACGTTGGTATCCCATCATTATTCAGTACGCCGTAACAAGGATCCTCATGTGGCCGTATCCTTGCCTGATGCTGAATGGAATGGCGGCAAGGATAGCTCACCACGTCAAACATCCAATGACTCAATGTGGTTGCAACAAACACCTCGAAGTGGAAATCGTTAATTCCATACAACACCCACCCACCACATGCAAAGAGTTTCCCTCCTTTTTTTTTACCCGTTGTCTCATGCACATCACACACATTTATACATACAACCACATCTCTCTCTCTCTCCTCCTATTTACTCCAGTAGCCATACACTTTTTACCAACACGTATTATCTTGCGCCTTCTTTTTTTGTTATCGTTTAATTTGTCTTAATGTTCATTCAAGTAAAGCCAGCAATCCATTTTGTCTCTTGATGGACACACCCATGACGCCCTATATACATATATACATATCTCAATAGATACTACCATCAATGACAACAACAACAACATAGGATGAAAAATGAACTTGTTTTTATTGGGGGGTGAATCCTCTCTAAAAGGGAGTTGATGTAGAATGTCGATAGATTAGTAAAAGAAAAGAACAACCTAGGGAGGTATACTTACTATTTCTTCTTGGAGACACCAACGGTGCGACCACGACGACCAGTAGTCTTGGTGTGTTGACCACGGACACGGACACCCCAGTAGTGACGAAGACCACGGTGAGCACGGATCTTCTTGAGACGCTCAAGATCCTCACGAAGCTTGGTGTCGAGACCGTTGGAGATGGCTTGGCTGTACTTGCCGTCAACGACATCCTTTTGTCTGTTAAGGAACCAGTTGGGGATCTTGTATTGGGCAGGGTTTTGGAGAATGGTGACAATACGCTCCAACTCTTCGTTGCTAAGCTCACCAGCACTATGTAATATTATATCCTATGGTCAATCCACATGTACTCCTTCGCGCGTATGAGCATACTAACCGCTTGTTGAGGTCGACATCGGCCTTCTTGCAGGCAATGTTGGCGAAACGACGACCAACACCCTTGACGGAGGTCAAGGCAATGGTAATCTTGTTCTTACCGTCGACGTTGGTGTTGAGCAAACGGAGAATGTGCTGGAACTGTTGATATCAAACCAAGGAGTGTCGATTAGTCGAATGAGGGTCTATACATGAATACACACACACACACAAAAAACGCACCTGGTTCCTCTCAGGGACAACGAGCGACTATAAAAGGTGATATAGATATGTGAGTATTCATCCATCCATTTCATCCATCCTCCATCTCCTTCATCCATCCATCCATTGATCCATTCATTGCTTTCATTGCTCATGTAATCCACTATGGCCCATGCATGTATGTATGACAGCTTACCATCTTGTGCAAAAGGGAGGATTAAGCGGGATCCCACAACTGGCTCTTAGAAAATACAACAGCGCTCGAGTAATCAGCGGTGATTGGACACGACAATTATGCGCGCATCAGCTCATCCTCCCCACACGTGCTTCTCTCTCCTTTCTCTCTCTTTTTCATCCATGCTGCTCGCGTTTCCTACAACCACTGAGCTTCTTATTCCAAACACCTACACGACAGCCAATACCGTACCCATTGACCTCGTATCGCAACATGTCAACAACCTCCTACAAGCCAACCAACACGTAACCGAGGCATGTGTGTTCCTTCTCCTTTCCATTTGCATGTCCACTCATGTCCCCCCCCTCAATGTCGTAACAGCAGCAGCAGCAACATGAACAACAATTCGATGCATTGATAAGCACCATTCGTCAAACGCTCACTGTGGCTCAAGTATTTGATCCAACGGCCCAATACAACCTTCTCGACACAATTACATCCATCCTTGGGTCATATGACAATGATACATCTCATGTAAATGCAATGTAAAGTTATATTATTAAGACGACACTCATAGAATGCGTATAGTCATCAAGGTTGCTACGCGAGTTGGGATGGGATCTATTGGAATGGCTGGAGCCTTACTTGACAACTGCCAATGGTGATCCGGACATGTGTCACAAGGTGCGCGTGTTGACCTCTACGCTCTTTCGAAAGGTGGGACAAGCGATTCGACCCCAAGAAGTTTACATCTTTGCCAGTGAACAAATGAGCCTGATGAATTGGGATGAAATGTTGTCAGATGAGGAAACAGCTGTATGCACCACCATCCGGATCGTCAACTACTTTGGCGTCTATGGCGAAGGCAAGTACTTGTAGTAGTAATAATGCAATTTCGTGTACCTAATCGTGTTGCTATTTAGCCTTGAAACGCACCAATGATCCGAGCACATTTTTGGAAAACACGATCTATCCTTCCAGCTATTGCACCAACGCACTCGATTTCCTTGGAAAAGTAATGCAACAACATGCGTCATGGGGCGACTCTGAAGTAAAGCCGAATCGATGGGATCATGTGATACAAGTGATGGCGAATTCAATCCTCGACTTTATCGACCTCCTCACCACCACAGCTATGGATCAATTGAAAAAGCAAAACCTTGACCAGAGTATATTCAAGGTAAGAGAAGAGAAGAGGGACATGGATAGGAACGGTCACTAACATGCTTGGGTTTAGGTACTATCGCATACGCCCCTGTCAGAGGCCAATGTAGCCTTCAAGCAATGGTATCTCTCCACCTATTTACTCCTCAAGAGCTTTGAGACGATGATTGCCAACATGGATATGAGATTATTGGCCTTGTATACCCAGCGGTTTCCATGGAAATACAACATACGTCGCCCCTTTGAGAAGCCACCTCAGACAATTGACAAGTATGACAATCATGCAGCTATGGTTGATCTTGTGACACGATGCTCGGTAAGTAACGTGAATGAGATTTGAAGCCTTCGGCTCCTTTTTTTTCGCTCATTGAGATGATTAGAAAATCACACTTGCGCTTGGCATCACTTTTGACAGCATCCTTCAGTATCGTCGCGTACTCGAGAATCCGATTCATTCAGTCAATGATGATAGCAACATCAATCCACAAAAGTACCCACTCTCATACGATGGTATCATCACCTTGCTCGCCATATCACTCTACGATACCTATCTCGTGACTCAAGTTTTCGAAGCCGAGAATCTCAGCATGTTGCCCATGGTCCTACAGGAGCAATGGATTGGGTATCACTGCCTCGGTCCAATTTTGCAATTTATTGGCAAGTGAGTCTGGCATGGATGGTGATGATGACGACGGGAACGCTAATGGGGCAGCTTCTCTTTTTAAAGTGCTCAAGCATTGTGCCGCGTAGACAAAGCATTATTCATTCTTGTATTCCTTGCCAACCAAGTGGATGCATGTATATCAATTGACATGTTGACGGATATGAACCTTCCTGGACCCTTGAACAATGATACAAAATTCACATTGAGAGGCGCACTTCAGGTTTGTGTGTGCAGCATGCCTATATATATCGACTTGGGATTCACACAACAAATAGGTCATGTGCAACACAGCAGCGAACAATCCACATCCTGATTTACGACTTACGGCGTACCAACTAATATCCTGCTTTATCGACATGTGTCAAGGAGATGCACAGCTCTTTGTGTTTATGGATTTGTTGGATGAACAACACAGCCCACCTATGCAAGCAGCTGCTATTGGATTACTCAAAGAGCGTATCGTCAATGCATTTGATAAAAAGGTGGGTGCATACATATATACATGGATGGAATGCTCGGGATACTGATTGGCATCCAGGGGACGAATGGTAGCGTATTCAGCACACGTGTTATCACCGACAAGCTGTTTCCACGGATGTTCCGTAAACCAACATCAAGCACGCTCTCGATGACATTGGCCTATCACATGCAATTGTTGAACCTTTACTTATATTTGCTCATGCGTGATCGACAGCAGAAACAGGTAATCATCATCACAACATGGGTACACGGGGGGTGTTGATTGATGATGAATCTAATGCGCGTGCTATGTGTAGACTCGTGTGTGGGAAGGAGATGTATTGGATTGGGTAGAAAAGTCCTATATACGACCGCTACGAGATGCTATTGAAGCAGCATTGCAATCATTATCTGGAGATCAAGAACAAATGATACAGCTAAATCTCTTGCAAAACACCCTAGATCAAGTCATGTACGAGCGTAATAAAGAATGAAGATACATCCACTGCAATTGATACTACATATATACGTGATGGATCAATGTGATCAAGAAAAGGCCACGTACGTGGTGCATGCATGTAACACGCGTTTCTTCTTGCATGACGATGGTTCTTTTTATTCACACAAAGACAAATAGACACAATAATAGAATTGATAGGTGTTTTGTTAGGAGGGTGAGGTTGGGGATCTCGTAAAAAGTGATGCTGCATGTGTGCTGCGTATAGTGAACAACGTGCACACACTCCCATTTAGCAAGGCACATGATGTTCGGGTTGTGCGGCTAAAGTGGGGCAGGATTGGGCAAGCTTTACACAGCAACCTCTTTTTCCTTTACTCTACTACTTTTTTTTACAATGGCTTCTGAAAACGACTCCCCCTCGATCACAACAAGACCCATTGTCCAGTCTTCAGTGCAATCCAACAGCAAACCGATCAATGTCAAACTTGTTTTACTCGGTAAGATGGGGGAGGTGACTATGCCATGTTGGCTTGTCGTCAATCGAGCGCTCATGGCGTCTCTTTTTATTTGTGTATAGGTGAATCTGCTGTAGGCAAGTCTAGTCTGGTGCATCGATTTGTGAATCGCAGTTATGAGGATAACCGAGAGCCTACTATTGGAGGTAAAAAGGGTGGCATTGGGTGTATGTGTTGACAAAGGGTTGTCAGGGTCACTTATCTTGGCATAAAATAGCTGCCTTCCTTACCCAGCGAGTACAGCTCGATGATCGAACAATCAAGTTTGAAATTTGGGATACTGCAGGACAAGAACGATTCCATTCATTGGCTCCCATGTATTATCGTAACGCTCAAGCTGCCATCATTGTCTATGATATCACAAAGAGTGTATGTAGTGTACTTTTATGCTGCTGCTTTTGCTATACCTCCTTTTTGACTCATATCCTCCTCCTCCTCATATAGAAAACAATGACAAAAGCCAAATCATGGGCAAAGGAACTACAACGACAAGCCAATTCGAATATCGTCATTGCTCTCGCTGGCAACAAGTTGGATTTGGTGGAAGGCAATGAGGCGGATAACACAAGTGTCGATAGTGAACAACATGAACGTCAAGTCCCTGAAGAAGATGCTCGTGCCTATGCAGAAGAAGCGGGTCTGTTGTTTATGGAAACGAGCGCCAAAACCAGTGAGAATGTGGATACCATGTTTATGGAAATTGGTAAGTCATGGGGTGGTGGTCCCATTGTTGTTAACGAGTGTATATATGCTTATATACCATTGATGTAGCCAAAAAGATCCCATTGGAGCATCTTATCGCTGCTGGTCGAACCGAAGGTCGTGGTTTGAGAGGAGCTGGTAATGTCGATCTTATGCAGCCAGCTACTGAACCTCAAGGAGCCGGTCGATGCGCTTGTTAAATCATGTATGTTGTCCCTTGTCCCATTCCTATCATTCATGTTTTTATTTCTTATCCCCCCCTCCACACCACACACCCTCCAATTCAATTTCAACCCTACCCTTGACTTTTTGGTATACCCTTTCTATATCCTACGTGTTGTTCCTCCCATTATCTTTATTCGAAAATATACACATTTTTCTATCATATGGATGCTTATTACTGTTTGAGATTGGCAATGCGGATCTCGGGTTTTTGGTAATCAAACACGGTATAATATTGCTTGAGAAAGATATCGCCAAGAATTAAAAAGTCATGTTCCATGGAGGTAAAGGATGCCTGGCAGTTGCTATCGTCGTCTTTGCGGTAAATGAGTAATTCAGGAGGAAGCGTGAATACCAATCCATTCCCCATATTAAATGTCAGGGAAGGTAGCCGGGATAGATCACAATCAATCTTGTATAGTATTCCATTTTCTTGACGTTCTGCACCATAGAATAAAGCCACCCATTCCATCAACTTTTTCGGAAAGATGATGAGCGTTGTTCCTGTATCAATGATTGCTTGGACGTTTCGAGTAATTGTCGTATCACCGATTTGTATCGAAGGCACATCAATACTCCAATAGCCTACAAAAGGGGATAATGAGTCTTTTGGTATTTCAGCAGGGTTGCTTTTTACCTAGAGACTTATTCACTGGTATACTAGAGAATGGGCCATCCACATAATCGGCGTTGTAACCACCAAAGATAAACTCTAATGCTATGCGTAAGATAAAGCCTACTTGAAATGTGCCTCGACCTATATACATACCACCATCCTGTCCATGCTTTTTGTTTCCAAGGTACAAACTAAATACAGGTTCTTGTAATCGGTTTTGGGCAACCAAGTTATCCATGGGTGTTTTGATACTCTTTACGCTGGCTGCTCCAGAAAACGCCAACCCAAGTATGCCTTCACCAGGTCCTTGTGTCAAATCCTCTGATTGATCAACAGCCAATTCAATCATTTGACTCTCCACCTCGAGTTTTCCCAGCTGCAGCCGATCAATGCCGATAATTCCGTTGGCTGTAGATCCATCTCCATAACGGATTCTCCACTTTTCCTTTGTTGGTGTGTATGTACGGGATTTACTTGGATTAAACAAGTGGCTATGATCATTCTCACATGATTCACACATGGTCGATTCTAGAACATCATCATCATGTCAATCAACCTTGATTTGTTTGTATCAAAGTGATACGCACCAACATACAAGTCAGCCGATCCAGTATCCAAATTAAGCTTAAAGTGTTGTGGTGGAGTACCAATGCCGACTTGTACATAATACGAGACGTCGATAGCATAGCTGGTCACCGGGAAAATGGAGTATGCGTTGGGATCTTTAGGTAAACCCGATTTTACTATTGCTGGATTCTCTTCATTCAACATATTGGCGTAACGTGCATGGACTCGCATCATGGCTGTAGGTGTATCAAGACTAAATCCGGCACTGCGATGCAATGGTAAAACGACTTTGGCACCACCACCACCACCACTGCCACCACCATTCTCCGCAATGGCTGCAGCATGAACTATGTTTCCTACTAGTATTGATGCCGCTGCTGTAAAAAATACCACTATTGAGGAGGTGGCAAGGTGCATGTTGTATGAATTATGATGTTGGATTGTGTAAAGGAAAAGAGGTAGTTGCATTCATACTCCTTGATATCCCATTATTATATATGTAAATGTGGCTTTCTCTCGATTCAACATTGAGCCCCACCCCCCGTCATCCAAGGAGGTCGTTGGGTTCCACTATCCCCTTTATCATCCACAAGGAGATTGACGATGATAATAAATGGCAACCACACACACACACACACATACGCTGTCCATCCACTGTAAGAAAAGAAAACAACAACAACCCCAATGTCATGCCAAACAAATGATGATGAAGGTGTTTATAAGATTTGAACTCTAAAGTATTTCTGGAGCTTGTTGGCCTTGATACCCACTCGAGACTTGTGGTCTTCATGCACACGCATTTCCTTGAATGCCTCCGTATGTCGGACATGTTGAGTTTTGCCGTCTGTGATTGCGAGTCTACGTCGTTGGGATGATGATGAACGTGCAGTTTCGTAACCAGGCATGTCCGTGTATTGGCCAATGAGCTTGTTGATGAGCACAGATTCTCGAGTCTAATTCATACATATATAAGTAAGTCATCGCATGTCACATTGTATCCACACAATTCAAAAGTACATACATCTTCTGGCTTGAAACGCTGGTTGTAATAACGCTTGAGATCACGATGTCCAATAACGGCGCCACTGGGGAGAACAAGTGACATGTCATCGTCGGCAAGATGAACCTTTCTCGTCATGTTGGCAAGCTCGGTATCAGCATCCTCATCCTCTCCTCCTTCGAGTTCGGGATACGATGATGAGAAATCGTAAAAGTCCACCAATTCCATAGCATCCTCATCCGCTTCATAGGCAATCTTGCAGTGACCCTTATCGATCTAATAGCACAATACACATGTGTCAGCCCATTTCCTTCTCCATCTACAAGCTCGTTGTTCTCTTACCATATGTTTGCGTACAGCCTCCAACGATCTCAATTCACGACCCTTGCCATTACAGAAAAGACACGTATTACCAATAGAGAGCTTTTCACCCAAGTACTTGATCAAGCCCTTGAGATCCACGAGGTATTCAATATCGGGAATGAAAAAGCTGTGTTGGAGCGTCATGTGTTGCATGTTGTCCTCAAAGGTATCCGCATTGTGGTTACAGAATAAACATTCGGTCTCTTCCAAACGTCGAGCCATCTTGATCTTTTCATCAATCTTGGCATTGATTTCTTCCTCGGTCATATCTTCAGTGAAGGTCATGGACATGGGCATGTAAGCAGGTGGTTTACTGATAGGCGTAGATGAGGAAGTGGATGCATCATCGTGGCTGGTGGTAGTAGTAGTCGTAGTGGTGGGAGTAGGTGTCTTGTCATCCTGATTATCCGATGCTGGTGCTGGTGATGCTGTTTTCTTGGGTCGGGCAGCTTCCTTTGCAACGTTCTCCTTGTGCTTCTTGGATCGCATATGACTATCATACGAGTTTTGTGTGCCAAATGTTTTCCTATGCCACCCATCGACTATTAGTTCCAATTCGACACACTATGAAGAAAAGAAGATGATAACCTACTTGCATGCACTACAATGACCCTTGAAAGGCTCTGGTTTGTTCTCGGGGGCATCAGCTTCTTTGACAGCTATAACAAGAAAGGAATAAGCAAACTTCATACATAGCCCACATGTATGTGATCGAACCTTTTTGTTTTTGTTGGAATTGCTCTAGGCTCACAGGTGGCAAATCGGCCACTTTGCGTTTAAGGTTGTATCGATGCCAATCGCTACGATAATGTATCCGTTGACCTTCGGCAGACTCGAATGCCACTTGGCAAGCAAGACATGTGTATAAACCAGACGACGGGACAGGTGCTTCCATGGTGTGTGATTGTGTGTTTGACAGATCTCGAAAAAGACAAAAGAACCGATCGACTGCGGTACCCAGCAGAGAGCAGCAGCTTTTTTTGTCATTTTCAGTTACACCGCACCAGCCACTGCGGTGTTCATTGCATGAATGAACGACATCCCCTTACCCACCCAATATTGTATGCCATAGCTCGAACCATGCAAGCTATTTCTAGTACGTCATGTAAGGCAAATCTATATCGTATTTCTTTTTCTTTGCTATTGTTCCTAGTATTGAAAGAAGCTTCAAATCATCGATCATATAATAAAAGCTGCTCTTTTAATCATAATCATCATACTCATCATACTCATCAAGGGTGTCATTTTGGCTGTTAAGCTGATGCTCCTTCTATAACATGTGATGTCTTTACAATCAATGATAGCAAATTAGAATAGTGAAAGATAAAGGACACAACTAATCGTTAGGCATTTATTGAATTGGTAGGAGCCAAGATGAGGAGAATGGAAAAACATGCATAACTAAAGGCAAATGGCAGCATACTACTACTGGAATCGTGAGCACTTGATCGCCTTACACTTACCTTTGCCATTGCCTCACCAACAGCAAGTCCGGATTCAACAAACATAAGCGAACGGTGAATCATCTGGCTACAGACCTTCTCATGTCATGTCAACTAATGGGGCTGGAACGTATGAATGTTGAACCATAGCGATAAGGATAAGGAATGGATAGAACGTTGTCCTCATACTACGACAATGGAGCTGATACTTGTAACCTTGCATGCATGCGTAAACAACGTATAAAATGTGATCGAGTTGTTCCTCTTGCTGTATGACACTTGAGAGCATGTGGTGGTTCGTGTGATGTACGAATGCGTGTGCGTTGTATGCGTGAAGCAGCGAGAACTGATTCTGCATGCCCAGATCTTACAAGAGTAGCAATCGAAAGGGTGCTTTTCTGTAGCCAAGTAAATCGCCTCCATTCAACCGTAAGATGCCTTCAGATACAGAAAGAGAGTGTTGTTACAATCGAGGAACGAGTTGCTGGACGAGGAATGCGTGTATTCTCTGTATACTCGAGTCATACAATATGTAGTTGCTGTGCTCTTGTCCCCCCTTCCATTCACCAATGTCAATAAAAAGAAAAAAGAAAAAAAAGTAGGCTGCTCTGTGAGCTGTAAGCTGCGAACCCGAGTGAGTTTGTATTTTACACGAAAGCCTGTTGCCATGACACGTCCATTCGGCCCCATTCGAGTAACCGTGTGTGTTATAAAGCAGGAGAAAAGCATTATAAAGAAGATAAAGCATCAGCTACAACACTCGAAAAAAAATCGCTCTTCGAGCTAATCCTTCTCAGAGAGTTAGTGTCATCCTTGTGCAGGGGCCATGCTAATCTTCTCTGTATTGATCCAAATTTAAGAGGTGAGATTCGAACTCACGCCTCCAGCCCCGAAGTTCGGGGTTCTGCCACTGGGACAAAGAGACCGGTTACTACTCACTATACATTAAAATTCAGCGCTGGTATACTATGAAATTGCCCAAATAAGGAAAAATTATCCTCATTAGGAAAGCGACCGGCAGGCCATGGCTGTTGCTAAGTGACGTTGCATTCGAGTGTTTCACGTGAAAATCAGACCATGAACAACGCTCAAGCTCGCCAGCAACTGCACTTTTTTACACAGATGCCATGGCAACCACATTGGAACCATGGCAACCCCCCCAATGGAACTACCCCTTACAGATACAACATTGACAGCTTCAGCATCGAATAAAAAGAAACGACATTGTGGCAAAAAGTTGGTTTGGGCGCAACTGGTGGTCTTGCAAAACACTTTATTCGTTTGATTGTCTACACACTTTCATCTCAAGATTGGCAACAAGAACAAAGCAATTCACGTGTCAACCAAGTTAGCAGCAGCTATGAACAACTACGGGAGTGCGTTTGGTTGGTCGTTTTTCGCTTGTGGAGGAACATCTTTTTGTGTCAGGCAGCCTTTTCGTTTGATCGTTTGCTGTAAGCTCTGCTGGTACAATCGACTTTACTTGACAACGGCAACACAATGTCGAAGCAGTTTTACTTGTCGAGCAGGTTAACAGAAGCTGTAAACAGCCACAAACACTGTTAAACGCTTGGTTGGTGAATCATCGCGTGTGGAGGAATACGTCTTTGGTTCACCTTACTTTTCCACTGTTATACTGTTTGCCCGCTTTCTCACTATGCCTGCTACTTTTGAGGTGTGATTACAAGCAATATGACGACTTCAAGATGATGGATGAAATGAAAAAACATGTCAACGGATTCGGGCAAGGTTGTGGATCGAAAAAAGAAGGATTACCAGCAAGACCACTTATATTGTACATCACCTTTTTGAATGCGTATGTCACTTTGCTGCTCGTGAGGACTATTGCCAAGCAACAGGACAACGTCAGGATGATGGAAAAAGTGTAACATATAGGATTGGATTGCTGCAAAGGCTGTGGATATGGATCAATTGCAATCAGGCTTGCTATTGCATGTGAATAAGTATAGCATACGATAAAGTGAGAGGTTTCATAAAATAAAATCGATTCATTGAACATGAAAAGACGATGCTAATTGAAAGACATATTGTTGGTGCTTGGGATATCTGTTGTGTGACAGGTGCATGCGCAAAGCGATATGATCCAAAAACAACGCTGCAAACTCTGATACACATTCCGGTTATTGTGGAGCAAAGGAGGTATCAACTCGCTGTTGTAAAAGAAAGTGGAGACGTGTGTGGCGGCATGGTTAAGGATGATGTTAGTGCTATTACCTTTGAACCTGCAACATCATGGATGATGACGATTGTATTGCAATACAAAATAGCTTCCACGCTCAATGATATGTATGAAAATCCTACTTTGATCTTGTAGTAGTGAGAGAGCTTGTTCATGCTTCATGCAATCATAGTAAGGCTTGAGTACCAAAGCAGGAACCTCTGAAAGAGGATGATGGATATAGGAATACTGCATACGTTGGGTAGTTGGATGACATACAACGGTAGCACCTTGGCTTGTTTTATTATACCCTTAATTATCTTTACAATACAAATGTTTGAGAGTTGCCAGTGCCTTACGTCTATCAGCATGTGTGGTAGGAGGCTTCAGCGAATGTAATAATAATGTTGTGACAAAGGGCAAAAGCAACTTGACATGATGATGTAAATGGCCCAATCTCACTTTCTAACCTTCGACCTATTCCCCCTTCAATCCAGAAACTAGCCAAGTGATCCACATCCTGCACATATGAGCTGATGGTACGACGTGAAATACAATTTTCATTCAATGAAATAATCGAAGATAGTACATGGCAGTGGGGACATCTATCAAGTAAATATGATAAAGGAACAACATTGCAACGTGGATAAGGTACGGGTGAATCACATAGAGTCAACAGGGGATGGAATGTGTCATTGTATTCTTGGTTGCTGCCGACGTAAGCATCCTTCATCCATGATTGCGGCATGTATCGTCTCGAGTGCTCCAATATCATCCATGGCTGTAAAACAGCCTTCCTCAAAGATAAAAGCCCTTTCGTCAATTCCATCCAATCCATCATCATCCTCAGCCGTATCAACGTGACATGATCCTTCGTTCCTGCTGACATCGCTTCAAGTAACCAAAGCAACATTCCAGGGGTTCTTCCTCATCACAGCACTTGATTGCATCCACCCATCCATCATAGCCATTGCAAATCCAACATGTTGGTTGAAGAGTCATCATGTGATTGCTGCTGATCCTTTCCCATCTCGCTGTTGATACATCTCTTTCTTGGTCCTTTTTCATTTCAGCTCATCCAGGTGAAGATTGCTTGTATTGTGGTGTTCTCGATAGCTGATAAGGCACCATCCATAGGAATCCGTAAGGATTGAAACAAGTTGCTACACGTAAATAAAGCTGCTTCGATACAATGGCTATCTGCTGTTCACGTAAACAAAGGCTGCAAGGAAAGCTGCTGTATGTAGCTTGAGACAATGGAGTAAAGACCTCGCTAATGGCAAATGCTGTTACGTTTGGTCGCGGCAGAGGGGTGTACAAGAGAAAGTGTGGTGTCAAGAGACTCGTGTGTTGTTGTAGTGGGGGTGCACATGCCATGGACTTGCCATGCAGTCAAAGACAATCGGATCAAGACAATTGTAGGCTTGACATGATGGGTTGAAGCAGGACAATCGTTTGCAGGTGGTAATTGTGCTTGAATGAGGCAACAGTTGAGAATGTGAAGAAAAGATAAAGTGGGAGAAAAAGAGCTGGAAATTAAAGTAGGTTGCCCTGTGAGACACCTATGCATGAACACTGTACATTAAACCTTGATATTGAGATTGCCCCTATTGAACCTGAAACTTTCACACAAGATGCTCTGGGACATGCTGATCAACATTGTTCTGGAAAAGATCTCATGTTCACTTAAAAATATTGAATGGGAGGGTGCAATGTGGGATTTACTATGTATGCCGGAAATCGCGTCTGCGCGATCAACTTTGTTCTCATAAAGCCTTCACGCTTCGCTAAGAAATTTCGATAGGCGGGTACCTTTATGCTTTATCTATGCTTGTCGTATAGTAAAATACGTTCATGATAGTCCGTATGTAACCTTTTTCAAGTTAACCATGAAATGGCTAATAAGCCGAAAAGGATCAGTGCATCCAGAAGGATATTATTTAAAAGTGCATGATGTAGCTGAGACGTGGATTATTTCCTTGTTTCGCAAGGTCAGCAACGTCGATGAATGTTTTAGCTGATAGCAGAGAATGGTAGATGCTTCAAGATGTGGTGGCAACTAAAGCAAAGTACTCGACTACCGGGACGTGAAGAGGACGACGACGGCATGGGGTCATTGAGTGGACTAGCAGTGGTTCCCCCTTTCCCCATTTAGGTACTAAAGCCTTATTTGATTTCATCTTTTTTATTTATTTTTGAATGGATTTGAGAAGAATAAAGAAGAGAAAACGTAAATCTAGATCCTATTTGCATAAAGTCAATACCCACATGCATGTATGATGAGGTGGGGAATACTTACTTTTTAACGATCTGCACCACATCTTCATCCTTGAGAACGTGATCCTTGCCGACCTTTTGTGGGTTATGCTTCACAGAAGTACCCCATACATATGCACTATGAAGATTTGATAAGCACTCTGGATCGCGATTGAATGGGATGATAAAAAAAGCACTTACCACTTGAATTGTTCCAAAATAGCCTTGTGAATCTGATTACAGAAATCTTCCACTGTACACTTTTCATTTGTCAAGACAACAGGAGCATTGTAATCAGGCACTTGACCCTTGGGCTTGGTATAGACACGAACAAGATCCAATTTCTACATAGCCTCGTCAGCACACCAAAGATCATTCATTCATTCATCCATCACCATCACCATTTCCTACCTCCCACATGGTCTCCATCAACTCGTCAAAGTTCCATTCGTGATTGGCACAAATAGGGACAGCGTTGGGGATCTTGTAGATCAAGTCAAGTTCTTCGATCGAGATCTGGTCAATCTTGTTGAGGACATAGATACATGGGATATAAATACTGTGTTGAATGCGTTAGTCGTCAATTGAATCTCGTAAAGTCATAGCCATCATTTACCGGTTGCCCTATAAAACCCAATGTCAATCCATATTCATGCATACAAAGAGAACAATGAATCCTTCCTTTACGTACCTCGACAACGTCAATAAGGTCATCAATTGTAGAATCTTCCTTGAAGGAGATATCGGCATTGTGAATTCTGTATTCGCTGAGTACGGCCTTAACTTCATCGGCTGAAATGTGTGTTAAGGGAACGGTGTTGGTCATGTTGATACCGCCCTTTTCCTTCTTTTTGAAAATGATGGCTGGTGGCTTCTTGTTCAATCGAATACCAAATCCTTCCAATTCTCTTTCAATGATGCGCTTGTCCGTCATGGGCTTCAATACGTCCAGCACAATGAAGATGAGCGAGCAAGTACGTGCGACTAAAGGAATAGGTGAGTACGATGATGATGGTGTGGGTGGGATCCTTCATGCAACTTACCAGCAATGACTTGACGACCACGACCCTTGCCATCCTTTGCACCTTCGATAATACCGGGAAGATCAAGAATCTATCATGGGCCCCAATGAATGATTTGTTCACTCTTCTCATGTATGATCCATCCTCCACACTCACCTGAATCTTGGCACCCTTATGCTGAATGACACCAGGCACTGTTGTCAAGGTTGTGAATTCATAAGCACCAACTTCAGAGTGAGTGCCGGTAAGTTTAGACATGAGCGTAGATTTGCCGACGGAAGGGAAACCAACAAAACCAACACGAGCCACACCGGTTTTGGCAACATCGAAACCGACTATGTAAATCTATGCGTCAATCCATAGTGTCCAAAAAATGCTTGTGTGTATATGTATGTACATACCACCGCCACCACCGCCACTGCCAGCTGAAGGAATCAGGAGCTCACGCTTCAACTTTGCAAGCTTAGCTTTAAGTTGACCCAAGTGATAAGACGTGGCCTTATTCTTTTGAGTACGAGCCATTTCGGACTGCACAAGCGCACACACATTCGGTTAGACGTCGTTTTTCATTGTCGCATTGGTGTCTATGGGTTGTTTGCCTCACCTCGATTTCCTAATCAACGAAACAAGGCATGCGTTAGTACAAGGTATGGGAGAGCAAATAGAATGGACGTACTTTGATCTTTTCCACTACACTCATGGTTGTATGATTCGGGTTGAGTTGAAACTAAGGGAACAAAGCGGGTGGACAAAAGTTTGAAGGAACTAGTAGGTTGCTGTGACGACGCTCCGATGTGAGACCAAATCAACCATGGCAACTGACATCATCCCGGTTTTACATTTCCACACTCTCGGCAGCAATTGTGATCCCCCATCCCCACCCCCATTGGTGACCATAGCCTTATCATACACCACCACCACCACTTAAATTTCTTCCATGATCAATCAATATTTATTAAATCCCTGCATCGATCAAGCATCACTGTTTGTAGTAATGATTTCTAATACAGAAAAAGACAGCCTGATTTTACATAGTACAATACATCATCAGCTAGTGAAGGGAATATTGGTGTCGAACTTCCTTAAACAACTCCTCATTTTGAAGTGGCAATGGGCCCATATGGACAGGGTATGCTTGGACTTGTGGAGCCTGGAATGCACCTCTGGTACCGCCCACTTTGTATTTCTTGGAAGCACTCTGGAGGATCATGAAGGGCACAGATTCATAAACGCAGTGGGTTGTTGTTCCCTGAATAATACATAAGACCTCTTTCCTATGATCCATTTGGACATCATTCTATACACTTACAGGGTAGTTGACCATGATACGGTAGTGGTATAAACCAGAGGGATCATCAATGTCAAGTGGGAAGGTTGCTTCACCATGATTGTCATCATTATACAAAGCTACATGTGCACTTGTAAGAATACGGTATGCAGGCAACCCTTCTCCTTTGACTTACTAATATTCTCGCCAACAATGTACTGGTTATGCTGGGTGCTGTTAAGGATACGGATGCGCGTAATGATATCAGGTTGATGATCAATATCATCTTCCAATGCCCAATGGAGTTGTTGCAACGAGCCAGCTTCAAAGGCCTGACCAGGCGAGGTGGGGTAGGTGATGCGGAAACCAACACAATACTCTGGGTTGACGCGTGGTGGATTGTAACCATATTGTAAGAGCGCTTCACCTGTTTCGGCCCGAGGCATCACACTGGCCGCTTGAGCAAGGCCTAGCAAGGCGAGTAGCAAGGTCACTTTGAAAAAGTTGTTCATGGTATATAAAAAGAACCCGTTATACCACATCCATGATAGCAATCCACATAAGCCCTTTTATAGAGATCTGTGGAAACAGCGTTGTTGTATAAAGAACCAGAGATTTAAAGTAGACCTCCTTTATTGTAGTCCAAAGTAAATGTACCTCTCTCTTCGGTTCAGGATGAAATTATACGCGTTACGTGTACCTGGGTTACCTCCACAACAACAAGCGCCCCCTTACATTTACTTCAGCTTATGCACGATAACATAAAGAAGGATAAATTGTGGTATGGTATACATTACAACAATAACAACACCATCTATCTCCCTTGCAACAACATGCTATAGAAACCAATGCACACAAACACACACACGATACATGGGATGTCGTGTATATGGTAATCCAGGGATTGGAAATACGTCAAGACCACTTTGAAACTCTGTAGTGTGTTGTTGATCACGCGTCTCTGTATTTACACATTTACAAATTAAATAGGAGGATGGGGTGGGAGAAAAAAACTAGGTATTAGAGGGTTGTTGCGAAGGTGCTGATGATGATGATGATGATGATAATTGTAAAAACGGATGTTGTAGGGCGTCCTTGGCTGTGATCCTTTCGTTGCAGTCCACCGTAAGACATTTTTGTAATAGATCCACAGCAGTTTCCAAATCAGAGGATGACCATGTCTTTAGCTTTTCGCCATTGAGGTTCATACAAACTTGCAAAAGAGATCGAGGTTCGGGATGTAACGATGGGATGTTGGTTTCAAAGATGCGCTCTATGGATGGATGATATGATGATGATGATGAGTCCCCATGATCTTGTTGTTCTTTCATGACATACTCAATTTGGTAGCAAATGTCTTTAAGGCATTGGTGCCAAATAGACTGGCAATTTCCACAAGTGCATCGCCATCGTCATTGGCAAGAAAAAATGGATATCGTCCGGTGAGCAATGATATTAAAATGACTCCAGCCGACCATATGTCAATGGCTGTATTATCAAAAGCGTTAGTTTAACATTGCCATCATCATCATCATCATCATGTTGAAAAGTAACCTACCGCCCGTTTGATTGACTTGTCTCAAAAGAATCTCTGGTGCTCGAAAACCTTTGGTACCAGCCCGGTTTGCTTGAATGCCACGTCTAACATCCACACCCACCCCAAAATCAATCATCCAATGTCATACCACTCACACACCCACAAACCTTATCTCTATTTACCTTGGATCATACTTGATATAACCAATTTCTCTGACACCATCATCGGCTGTTGGTATATTTTCCTTGTTATTGAGTGAGCTGCTGCTTTTGATAAAACTAGCGGATCGCGTCAAAGCAGGAGGTGTTCGATGGTGCTGTTGTAATGGTAGTTGTTGTTGTTGCCGTTGTGGTTTGGATTGTTGATGCTTTTCAATGGATTTCTCTCTCTACAATAGGTGTGATCAGTATAAGAGAAAAGGCACCAAAGACAAGTTTGCTTCTTTACCTCGGCAAGACCAAAATCAATGAGAACACCTGAACGCCTCTGATAGCTGTAAAGGAAGTTGTTTGGTTTCACGTCCCGATGAATAATCTTTCGTGCATGAAGATGACTGAGACCTGTCAAGAGGGTACGCATGTAGCAACGGATATCATCTGCTGTCATTTTGCGGTGTATATCCTAATGATATGAAAGTGAGCTAAGGATACCCCATCCTTGACTGCTGCTGCTACTGTCACGAACCCTGAAATCTTCATGTTCGATAAATGGCATCACGATGAAAAATTCTTCAGCTTGACGAAATGCAGTGATCAGAGGCGCTACACAAGAACATCCACTGGATCATTGGGGTGTGTATGTGCGTGTAAGTTTCCTATTCCTTCAAAACACACAAAAGATGCATACCGAAGATCCTGTAGAATGGAAATCTCGTTGGCAATACGGGTAGGGCTGCTTATGCAATAGACACGTTTGAGTGCCACGACCTTGCTTGTTGCGCTGGGGATGGATTGTTCATCAGCATCGGAATCCACCAATCGATGAGCGTCCAATAGCTGCTGTTCCCATTGTGCATTGTTGTATTGCTCATATCGGACATCCACCGCTTTGTAGACAGTACTGAAGGTGCCTGTTGTCATGGTAACCACCAAATGAATATCTTTTTGCCATAGCGACCATGGATGCACACATGTATATATACCTTCACCAATCTTGTATTTGATATCATAATATTCACGCAGCCTTTTGACCTTTCTGTCAATCTCTTCAATTTGGGGATCTCGTTTCCTGGCCTTTGCTGATTCATCCTCCACTCTGTTGTTTTCTTTGTCCTTTTCTTGTTTGGATTGTGTCGATGGCTGCTCATCCGCTTTGGGTTGCTCCTTTGATAAAGGCTCTGCTACCAAAATAGCCAATCAGTATTACCATGCAAAACCAATTCAGGCACAAAGCATACCTTCACCACCAGCTTTAGTAGGATGAGTGTCGTTGCGTCCTCCTGATTCTTCAGCCTTTGGATCAATTGCTACAGGTTGTGTATCATTGCATTCTTCTTTGGATTCTTCGACCTTTGGATCAATTGCTTCAATCTTGGGATCTTCTTGGTGCAGCTTCTTTGCTGGATTATCTATGTTGTCATGCTGCTTTTCTTCAACGCTGTTGTTTTGTTCTTCTTCAACGTTGCTTTGCTTCTCTTCTTTAGCGTTGTCTTGTTGCTCTTCTTTTTGAGTCGACTGTACATCCACATGGACATCATCATTTGGCTGTATTTGCTGTTGATCATGCTGATCTGGTAATTCATGCGGCTGATCCAAATTCTCTTTTGTTGGCAATTGTTCAGGTGGTTCCTCTAATGGTTGTTGTTGTTGTTGATGTGATGGATCGTGTTGTAGAGAAGGAAGAGAAGGAGGTGGTGGAGGTGGAGGAGGAACTAGAGTTGTTTGAACAACATGTTGTTTGTGGCGAGTGATAGGAGGAGAAGGTTTAGGTGGTGTAAGCATGAGATGTTCCTTGACAGGACTAAGAATGGGTGATGAATGAGTGGATGTAGGTGTAGGAGCTGTTGTTATGGGTGATGCGGTAGGCTGTTGTGGTGGTTGTGGTGGTTGTGGTGGTGTGTAAATGGGTGAATGTTGAGATGATTGCCCTTGTTCTTCTACCAGTCGACGTTTATGACCTCGTTTCATATTGGATAAAGAACCATCATCCTCACTCTCCCCATCCTCCTTTTTCTGTTGTTGGCGTAGTAGTTGTTGCCTTTGTTGTCGTTGTTCTTGTAACAAAGCTGATAGTCTGTTGTTAAAAGTGTTTGTGAGCGGCATAGGTCCCCTCAGAGGTGCTGCTATAGGTGACCTTTGTCCCAAAGGCGACGATCCATCTCTAAGCCGTTTTCTGCTATTAGTGCGACGGAGTGGTGAAGAGTCTCTTGCATGTAAAGGGGTGGCTGACGGTGACTGTAAAGGTTCGGTGGGTGCATCCTGAAGAGAGTCGCTCATGTGGCTGGATGAGGAATGGGGGACATGACGATAAAAGAGCCGTAGTTGAGATGGGTTGGGATCCTGATAGTAGTTGTCGTACACCTCTAAAAGAGAGTTCCTGTCTTGCCGTAAGCGGCACACTCGTACTTCGTCATAGTCGTCAGTATCGAATCGTGGCGGGCGATACCGTGGTGAATGAGGTGTGGAATGGCGATGGGGAGAGGCAGAGGGTATAACAATAGGAATGCCTCGATCGTCGACGTTATGCGCGATCTTGCTAGTCCTCATAAAGTGTAAAAAAAGAGAACGAGAGAGATGCGTCGGCCTTGCTGAAGCAGATTTGAGAGTGCAAAAAGAGAGAGAGCGCGATTATCCACGACGTGACTGAAACAACATACCAACCGCCCGTTTTAGGTACGCTAAAATCCCACTAGAATGGGCATGGATAGCATCTCGCATCAGAGCCGTGATGCATATATACCTTACTTTTATCATGCATGATATTCCCTCTCTCCAATTATCAAAAGCCCATACCTACATAAAGTGCATAATACTATCCTTGACTTTGCGTAACATCGAATTATTAGTGATACACCAACAATCTACTACTACGACAAACAAAACCCGAATGCTGGCATATTAATAATAAGAGATTGCTACATGGTGAGGAGTAATCCATCATATGGTAAATGCCTTCAGGCACAGTAGTGCTTCCTCACGTGACCCCTGTATGGAGGATGGATGGTCCCTCCTTAATTGCAGTCGATGTTTTATTTCCAATACCCCCTTGTTGTTGGTCATGAAAGGAGACGTCCAACAGGTCAATCACAACCCTTTGCTTTATTATACATGGTTTTTGTCATCATTCACACGGCAAGTGACGTGTCAATTACATCGTCCTGGATACTTTTATTACATTTGCATGGCTCATTCTCAGGTGGAGATATCATAACTTGGTGTTTATGGAAAGGATCACGTGATACTTAAGGTTGCATTTGGGCTGAGCTGAATTTCAATGGGGTACTTGGCTGTCATTTGAAGCCACATCTACCGATCTACCGACTGCACCCCCTCACCTTGTATGCGCGTGGTTTCGATTGCCATCTCTTTCACTCGATCCGTGCGCTCGTATACAACAATGTCAGCGTCTCCTCCATCTTCACGCATTCAACCCAAGTGGCATAAGCCAAAGGACATTTCCAATGAACGCCCTGTCTTGAAGCTGTACAATTCCCTCACCAAGTCCAAGGTAACTTTTTTTTTCTACAATGACAAGGACGCCATGACGATCGATTGACCACCTCCTCCAATGTAGACTGAATTCGTACCCAAGCGACCTGGACACATTGGTTGGTACAACTGTGGTCCTACCGTATATGACGCTGCTCATATGGGTCATGCTAGGTATATAAAGCAGGATGATTCGCCCTATCTTCAACAACTAACGATGTACTCTTTTAGAACCTATTTGAGCATGGATATCATTCGACGTGTTCTCGAGTCTTATTTCGGTTACAAGGTCAACTTTGTACAAAACATCACTGATATTGATGACAAGGTATATACATGACAGCATACATACACCACAACACGTCGATTCATTTCATCCTTGTCGGATCAGATTATTCTTCGTGCACGTCAACAATACTTGTTCAATGAATTGAAGCGATCCACAACTCAACTTGATGAAAGCTTGATCCAACAAGTCGAATCTTCATGGAACGATTATGCGGCATCCAAATTGGCCAAGGTGGAAGGTGCTGTCAGCGCAGCTACTGCGGATTGGACATCATTTGAACAAAAGATGACCGCTGAGGAAATGGCCAAGGCTATCCTATTGGATGAAAAGTTCAAGATGAACTTTTCTGCATTGGTAAATTGTCAAATAGGGATGATGATGATGATGGTGGGTCATGGTGACTCAATTTGCCCACGTTTTCCGTTTACAGCAAGTATCACGCAAGGCATTGGAGGCAGCCAAGGCAGCTATCACTCAGGGTAAAACCGATAAGCAATCAGCAGATGCATTACTCGATGCTTCTCAAGATATCCTTGCTACATCCCTCGACAAGGCTGTAAGTTGAACACACACACGCGCGCACACAATGAAACCATGGGGCCTTACAAAGAAATTTAGAAAGGTCTTCAAGTGGAACATCCCGAGATTTTCCGTGATCTGCCAGCTTATTGGGAGGATATGTACTTTAAGGACATGAAGGAATTGAATGTAAGTGATATATACATAAACAAACAAATCATACGCACATGTTTATTTGGATTGCGTGATTTAGGTATTATCTCCCAGTGTCAAGACACGTGTCAGCGAATTTGTTCCTGAGATCATCCAATACGTCCAAAAGATCATTGACAATGGTTATGCCTATGCCGCTAGTGGATCCGTTTACTTTGACACTGCACGATTCGACTCGCAAGAGAATCACGACTATGCTAAATTGGCACCATGGTCAAAGGGTGATATGGCATTGATTGAGGATGGTGAAGGTTCCCTTGGTGCCAAGTTGGAAGGAAAGCGTAACCCAAGTGATTTTGCCTTGTGGAAGGCATCCAAACCTGGTGAGCCTGTTTGGGAATCTCCCTGGGGCAAGGGTCGTCCTGGTTGGCACATTGAATGCTCTGTCATGGCAAGGTAGGATGATGCACGCAAAGAAAAAAGGGCACATACTCACTCATTGCTTGTGTGTAGTGCTGTTCTCGGTAGCAATATGGATATTCACTCTGGTGGTATTGATTTGGCCTTCCCTCACCATGACAATGAACTTGCTCAGTCCGAAGCCTACTATGATTGCCATCAATGGGTCAATTACTTTTTGCACGCCGGTCATCTTCACGTCGAAGGTCAAAAGATGAGCAAGAGTTTAAAGAACTTCATCACCATCCAAGAAGCCTTGAAGACTTATAGTGCACGCCAACTTCGTCTCTTTTTCTTGACACATCAATGGCACACCAAGATGGACTTTAAGCATACCGGCATGCAAGAAGCAATCCAAATGGAAACTACCATCAAGGTAAACTCTATGACAACTTTATATACGCTCTCTATATTAAGTATTTCTTTTTTTACAGAATTTCTTTGACAATGTGACCGCCTTGGGTAACCGTATCCGATCAGACGGCTCTCGAGGATCGATCAAATTGGAAAATGGGGATATCACACATCGTTGGAGAGAACCCGAGGATGAGCTATCAAGATAGTAAGTGTGGAACTTTTTGTCATCAACAATGCAAGTTGGCTTAACATAGGATGATAGCTTCCAGGATCGTGTGGATGGTGTTCATGCAGCCTTGTGCGATTCTATCAACACACCTGCTGCCATGGATGAAATTGTGGCCCTTATCAGTCAAACAAACAAGTACATGGCACCTGGTGCCAGTGTTGTCAATCTCGAATTGCTTGAGGATATTTCAAGCTGGATTCAGGGTACCATGGAGGTATAACACATGCACACATTTATCGTAATGGCCTAAAGAGTACTCATAGTGTTGTGTATGTGTATAGATGTTTGGTGTAGACATTGGCAAGAATGCTGCTGCCTCTGGAGACAATGTAAGTATACATTTATTTTGTGTATGTGTATGTATCCTATTTACTAATAGAGTGGGGGGTGGATAGGGTGAATTCTTGATGCAATGCTTGCGTGAGCTCTCTTCTTTCCGTGACCGAGTGCGTCAAGCTGCTCTTGACAAGAAGGACTTTAAGGAATACCTCAAGCTCTGTGATGAATTGCGTGATGTACAGTTGGCCGAGTTGGGTGTTGCATTGGATGATCAAAAGGATGGCACTGCTTTGGTGAAGTTGTTGACGCCAGAAGAAGTGAAGAAAGCACGTGATGAAAAGATGGCAGCACAAGCAGCCAAGGCAGCTAAGGCAGCAGCTGCTAAGCAACAGCGTTTGCAAAAAGGATGGGAACGGTTACAAAAGGGCAAGCAATCCCCTGAGGAGCTTGAACAAGAACGGAAAAAGGAGAATGCCGAGATGTCCAAGAATGCTCTAAAGAAGCTCGCAAAGGAATTGGACTTGCAAAAGACCTTGCACAATGACTATGTAAAGTACAAATCATTCCTCGACTCAACCGGAAGCCAAGACAACCTAGCCAGCTATGAATCTTTTTTGGATCAGGCTAAATAGAAAGAGAGAGACGTTGTTCATTATAAAAAAAAAGAGTGAAAAGAAACGAATACACTATGTACGGATAAAAATGAGCAAAAGATATGATACAAAATGGGGGGGTATTAGCGTCGTTGCCAGCGAGTCGGTAGAGAGCGAGCCAGTCGTCCTGCGAAACTTTGGTCTCTTTGTTGTACTTGTTCTTCTTCCACTTGCATTTGATTATTATTGTTGTCTTGAGTCATTCTTGCAGGCAACACCATGGTTGATCCATGACCCTCCTCATTAGCTGCTGCTGCTGCTGCTGCTTCACGAATTTGACGACGCATGGTGCGTGGTAACGTACGTAATACCCAAGATTGATTTAATGCCTCGACTTGTTCAGGAGACATGGTCGGCCCAAATGCGGCAGGAGGCGGGGGTTGTAATTGCTGATGTTGGCTTGTATTATTATCATCATTGCTGCTGCTGGTAGGATCATTCTCGGGTTGCTCCGTGTTACCAGGAATATCGAGTGAACAATCATGCTTGCACAAAGGACACGAGGCCGATTTCACTGTCAACCAAGGGTCTACAGGGATAACACAATGAGTTTGTGTGGATGAGTGATAAGGTTGCAGTAAACATACCGATGCATTCACAATGATATTCATGCCCACATGGTAATTGTCGAACCGTTTCACCCGCTGAAAATTCATCAAGGCAAATAACACACATGGCATCCGAAAGATCACCCGAAGGACCCGTTGTTGCAACAAGAGACGCGCGTCGGGAAGGATTGGAAGCGGATGCCAAGGCTGCTGCGTTTTCTAATGCTTTGCCCGAACGTGTTGACCTTTCGGATTGTGTTGAATTACGTCGTTGTTGTTGATGGTTGTTATTGTTGTTGTTGTCTATATCATCTTGATCATTGCTGCTGCTGCTGCTGCTGTTGCCAATGATACGTGTGGGAAAGGTGGATAGCATTTCTGAATCAAGGACATTTCTTTTGGTGGTGATGGTGATGGGTGTTAAATGCACCGGGAGAATACCGTTTTCCAACATCATGTTGCGTTGTCGTCGTCGAATTCGCCACAAATGATAATGCATCCCAACTAACCACACCAAAATAAGCATACACATACACACTTCATATCTTTACACAAGGTACCACACTTACCCGAAGCTAAAAAGCTCACTGCCAAAAGTGCCACCACGACAATCAATGTAAACTCCCAAGCACTTGGAAACCCACCAATGGCTGGATACAGGATGACTTTGTAGGTCTTTTGATAGGACACATTGGATGATTGCGTATCTTGCATGACGGTGCCTGGTTGCTGCAATTTGCCCAATAGGTCCATCCCGATATCAAGGTCGACATAATAAACGGCGATGTTGATATTCCCAGCTGGAATGTTCTAAAGGGAAATGTCAACGTCTTGGCAACGGCGGCGGGCATGGTTGCTGTGTTACTATGACCACCACAACGACAACGACTTACCATGATACCGGCGTGTGGATCCTTTTCGAATGGGATATTGTTGTATATGATCACACCGACAGCCCCGTCCATTTGAGAATAAAGCACCTTATCGGTAAAAGTGCAATTGCCCCGCTTCACAAGAGCAATCTTTTTCTGATCGGTCAATAGTGCAGGAACAGGTGTATTCGATACGTTGTCCAGTTGACATGAGAGTCCTCGGTCATATAATACGCCCTGGAAAAATTACGAGTGAGCGACCTGTCATGAAACAAAGGGTTGTATGAACAAAGCATCCACACTCACACCAAGACCTGACGAAGGTGGTTGCGTCAAGTTGCTGTTAGGAATAATATTTTGTCGATAGTTTTGTGGCTCGATCGCTGAATCGACACTGTCAATGGAGCTTGTGTTGGAATAGAGGGTCACGGGCTCTGTAATGGTGGCTCATGTCAGGCACACACAAAACTTGACAACTTTGTAGTATATGCTCATGTAGCAAACTGACCAGCTGCAATGTAGGGATTACTCGTTGAAAAGAGACTGCCATTAACGTGTGAAAAGCAGAGTAGGAATAAGAGTAAGGAAAACAGCATAGAAAGATAATACAAGACTTTGAAAAAGAGAGAGAGTGTGTGTGTGATGAAAAGGGAGGAGGAGGGAGAAAGAAAGAGCGACAAGAAATTGAAACCCGATCATAATGAATCTTGCGTCTTTATCGTGGTACGCAGGATCGCCCAAGGCATGAAGTGTTACTGTTGTCGTCATTATCTTGCTTATCAAATGCATGATCCATTACTCGCCCTTATCAATGTAATTCATCATACCATGCCCGGTCTATCTCTAAATCAATGAATTTTATTCATCCTATCATACATGTACGTACACGTTGTTTACAGCATGGTGGTATCATGTGGTGTGTTGATATAGAGAACGCTTTAAACCTGAAACTCCTACGATCGTGCCGCCAGTAACAATGTACACGTCACTCACTCTGAGATAATAAAAAGGGAGTATCGCCCATGTTTTGGTCCAATGGTTTCTTTTCTCCTTTCAACTCCATCATTTCCTTTGTTCACACAAATGGTGTGAGGCATTATCCATACCTTGGTCTGCTGCTTGGGCGTGCAGCTTGCGTACTATTATCAACTTATGGGCCGGATCCAGGATTCTTTTGTTGTCCTTTGTGGGCACGGTTTTCGTCCTTTGTGGACATGTTTTTTGGCCCTTTGTGGGCATGTTTTTTGGCCCTTTGTGGGCATGTTTTCGTCCTTTTGTGGACATGTTTTTTGGCCCTTTGTGGGCAAGGTCTTATTCTCGGGTCCAGGTTCCCAGTTCTCAAGTTCTCAAGTTCTAAAGTCAAAGTTCTCAAGTAAAGTCAAGTTCTCAAGTAACGTCAAGTTCTCAAGTAAAGTCAAGTTCTCCAAGTAAAGTCAAGCTTCTCCACCAGTGTTCCGTTTGTCGGTTTGAGCCACCTTTCTTGTCAGCTAGAGCGTCAATGGTATGACGCTTCCCTCTCCTGCTCTCTGATGTCTGTATTTTGGTAGTGGTGTGCTTGTGGCATGTCCATGTAGTAGGCCTTTGTATGTAGATTTTGCTTGATAGAAAAGAATCCCCTTGTAACGATGTGGGTTTTGGTTATTGGTAACGAGTTGTTCCTCTCCCCCTACCTGTACCACATTTTCTCCCAATTTGAAAATGGAAATAAACCTGACAATGGTCGACAAGTAATCCATCCCTGTGTCTTTCTTCACTATACGACCTCCATCACCTCTTTTATTTTGGTCACAATAGCATTGCTTCTATCATAAGGCTTTTTGGACATTGTATGTTGATGATTTATTACATTGCTACATGTTGTTCAGGTTGTGGGTGATTATCCTCGATTTCATTTTGATCGTTATCTTCATCATCGACTTCGAAGAACCAGTCTACTTGTTGTATAATAGCCTCCACCACCTTACTCTGAAGATCGGTTTGCATGATACTGCTGAGATCATCACCTTCCGGTCGAAGCAACCCCACTGAAAAGATGAGTGCCAGGTTGGATGTCTCCATCTTGTTGATGTCGCAGTAAGCCGCCACATGGTTCAAATGTCGCATCAAGTATTCCAAAACCGTGTAATTAGGACCTGGTAGCGCGTGGATGACTGATTTTATCCTAAACATCCGCTCATCATAATCGGGTATCCCTATTTTCAAATCTCCCATGAGTCGACGTGCACCTTTTTGTTGATCCATTATTACTTACGCGCTGCATCCATAAAGTAATCATAGTATTCATGGGTCATGAGTGGGTTCTTGAGTTCACGGAAATAAAGCTTCAACAAGCCAGTGACTGCATTAATATCGAGATCCTCAGGGAAGGAAACAAATTCATCTACAATCATCCCATCAGCCATCTGGACATGCTATGTGATGGTTTACTTACTAGAATTGAACAAGGCTCGGTATTTTTGAATGATGGAGGCAGGACCGGATAATCGATAGATGCCAACAGATGCCACACCTACTTTGATGTTAGCAGTTGATTCCTCATTTTCCCAAATGACTACTTGCCTCTTGCTTCCACTTCCTCGACACAAGCACGAACAACAGGCGGTATTCCACCATCACGATCCATGGTTAGATAACCACCAAATACTTCAGTGCCAGCAGTGGTATTGATCGATGTGCTGCCTGCTACAGCCTGTGCCTGGAGCTTATCACCAGCCTTGCTTTGTTTTGCAAACCAGTTGCCTAATCTCTTGGGTCTTCCTTTGTCGTCTCCTCCTCCTCCTCCATCACTCCTTGATCGATGCTTCCAATCCTTGTCATCTTCAACATCTAATGTTACCTTTAGTATCACCATCATCCAGGGTCCTCTCCCTTTGTACCTTTTTTACGGCCCATTTTGCGGTTGACCTTCATTTGATCCGAATCAGACGTCAGGCTATGCAAGAGTCGCAAGATCTCTGTATTCAAGAAATAAGCGCCTTGCTCCCTCTGCTACTATAGAGTTGATGACTTACCACTATCCTAATCATAAACGTTAATCTTGTGGAAAAAAGTAAACCAAACCCAAAAAGAAAAACTTACCCCATCCACTCGTTCTTTCCTTGCTACCAATTCACGCATGATAGCATCCAGCCACACTGATAATTCCTTATCGCTGCTTGTTTGAATGTAGATCGTCACCTTTTTAAGTGTGGTAATGAGGAAAGCATGCTTTCGCTTGGTATCTTGCTTGCTAGCTGGTTCGATACGACATCCATCAAGGTCAAAGCAGCCAACAGGGATCAATGGTTTGGCATATTTCTAATATAAAGTGTCATTCATCATGGCTGCTCTCTATGCATGTACATGTGTATATGGATTACCTTGACTTTGGAATAATTATCCTTGTACAAAAGCAAAAATCCTCTGGATAGCACAGCATAATAGAATTTCCAAGAGCTCAACTTTCCACCTTCCTCCTTTTCAGCTGTCATTTTCATCTGAATGAATCCTTGTTGACGTATCCATTCGGGTTGTAAATGATTCAATTCCTATCAGCGTGGTCTTTAATACCCGATCTCGTCCATCCACTGCCATCACCACCAATCGTACTTACCAATTGACTCAATTCAGCGGGACTTAATTTGCGGAGACCTTCTTGTTCTAGTTCAATGTGTGTATCTTCATTGGGAACAACAGAGGAGGATGCTAATGATGGTGGTGGGGGTGATAATGCCATGCTTGCAAGTTGATTGGCAGCTCCTTCAACATGACTTGGCTTATCCCATCTTGATTCACCCGTGCGATCATTGAAATAGTAAATCGTACCATTATCATCTTTTTATGCAAATGATGAGTATACCATCATCACCCACCCATGCATATCATCCATGGTAAAAAATGACTCACCATAGGCATGTTGCCATCCTTCGGGTAACTCGTCCAAGGATTCTCGTGGTGCAATGTAGGATGTACGATTACGGATATCGCGTGGTGGCAATGCTGGTTTCTCGGATTCATTCGACATGGCCCCATTCCCAATATCAGTGGATATCAAGGATGGCTGTTGTTGTTGATAGAGAGTGGTGTCGTTGCCCGTAAAAGCATGTTGTTGTTGTTGTTGTTGCTCGGCTACTGGTAGTATAGATAACGTATTAGTATGACGTGCCAAACTTCCAATAATATCATACATACACTGCTCCTCTTGCTCGGTTTCTAGTCGTATTCTATTGGCAGGGAAGAAACCAATCTCGTCATTGAGTTCACCTGGAAGAGGTATAAGTTGTTGGGAATGGAGAGACCAAAAAGTGTCAAGGGAGAGAGCATGTACCTTCCCACCAGTCGTCATTGTGTTTCTCGAGGAGTTTGATTCGGTCGCCTTGTCTGAAAGAGAGTTCGAATTCACCTTCGGCTGCATAATCCCAGACGGCGATGAGATACTGGACCATGGCTGCACAAAAAAGTGGAGGTGGTGGTGGTGGTGGTGTTGTATATAAGAACCCAAAGTCAGCACGACTTGTGGCAGGTACACAGAGCGAGAGAGAGAGAGAGAGCAAGCGCAAGAGACTCAGCCAAAAGCTGGCCGCTAGTCAAAATTTGTGTAACATGTCCTTCCATTCTAGGCACTTGGTATCATGAGCTTACAACGACCGCCCAGATGAAGCACAAGTTGGGTGATACTTATGATGTGGATGATGGATGATGCTATCCCTCGATATGCACTCTCCTCTCTCCTCATAATACTCCTTTTGTGTTCCTATTCTCCCATACACGCTCATATTTTATATCAATCAAGCCCTTATTGATCCATATTTTACTGCGCTTTTACCATCTTTCTACTACTACTACTTTATCATCTCGGAGTGAAGTGAAATGTGTGTGTGTGTGTGTGTGCCTTGTTGTAATAGAACAAGCTGTGTGGTTAACGCCCAAGATTTTCAATAGTGCTACTCCCTGTGTTCCTTTTCTGTACCTCTCTCTTTTTCCCTCTCTATTTTTTTTCTTCCTCTCCTCTCTCTCTCTCTCTTACGCTCTCCCTTTCTTTCTTTCTCTCTCTCTCTTTATCTCTCTCTTTGTTTTCCTTTTACTCTTTATAGACTCGAGACACATAACGTCAACAACAAAAGAGAGAACGAGAACACTCTAACGACCACCGCCCTTTTTCTACAACTGGAATCACCCACTTACCACGCCATTGTACATCAGGGAGTGAGAGAACGAGCGACCTTTTGACAATGATTCGCTTCCCATGGATCGCTCTCGTCTCACTGTACCTGTTACTATCACCATTACTCTCCCATGCGACACCTGTTGATCTACCTGTCATCAAGCTCGACGCTATCGGACAACTTGGCTTTGCAGGCGACTATGCAGGCATATCACCTTTTCGCGACACGAGACAATTTGAATCGGTGTCTGATCCATCATCCTCTTCGGTTGTGCTACAAAACAATCATACTTTTCAGTTAATTGCTAATAACAACAATGGTGATATCCTGGCAACTTGTGCTCACAACAACAATGTCTACTTTGGTGGATCATTCACCACATTCAATAATACGGCCGCCGTCAACAACATTGTACGCTATGACGTGACATCCGATACATTCTATCCCTTGGGTCAAGGTCTCGATGGCCCTGTACAATCACTCATGTGCGACAATGACACCGTTTATGTGGGTGGTGATTTCACTGCTCCTATCGGCACTACCAACGCGACTCTTTTCGGTAGTGGACATGTCGCTTTTTGGTTTCCTGGAAACAACAGCTGGGGTCCAGTACCATGGAATGGATTCAATGGTCCTGTTTATACTATCACACGCAACAACGCACGCAATACCATCCTGTTTGGTGGTCGCTTTGAAGCAACGGGGGATGGCGTATACTACAATGCCAATAGTAGCCAAGCCGTCAATCTCGCATCGCCTACAACCGTAAGTGTGGTCACCTCTACCATCGAATGATGTCTAATTTGATGTATAGACCGTTACAGCAGGGAATAGTGCATTGAGCGGCAATTACAGCAATCCAAAGAATATTATTTGTGGAAGCAGTAATGAAACACAAGGAGAGCCTTGGTTGCTTCAAGATGGTGTGCCAGGCTACTGGGATGCGTCATTTGGATATTCAGTGAAGCCTACCATGTTTCGTATCAGCAACGCCAACCTTGAAGGTCGTGGTACTCGTTCATTCAGGTGATTCATGCATTTCCAATCCTGTTTGTCAATGCACATGTATGTTTGTTTACTAAATGACGGGATTTGTAGTATCATTGCACTAGGCTCCAACGAATACTTTGAACTTTCTTACGTTGATCCCATCACCCATGAAACCACCACTTGCACCACCGATTGTACACTCTCCAATGATACCACCGTGGGCTATCAGGACTTTACAGTACTCAACTCACCATCGGCAACGGGCATTCGCATTCAAATCGACTCGTGGTATGGCCAAGGTGGTGGTCTTGGTGGTGTCGAGATTTTTCAATCAGGCAAGTTCTTTTCTTTCTATCATATCCTCTTTTCTTTCTTTTTATTAACCACGCATTTATATAGATATTGCGGTTCATCCACAAGCAGGTAATAATGGCAACAGCAGCAATTCTTGTGCATCAAGTACACCCTCCAGCAGCACAACGACCACAACAGGAGATTGGCAATCACAATTTGTGTACGGCATCTATCAAGACTTTTTGACTGCATCGATACCTGCATCCGAATTAAAAACGACCAATACATCCGTTACATATGCACCGTAAGTGTTGCAAATGCATGCATGCGCGTGTTGTATCCACATCATCCACTCACACACGCTATTCAGGAACATCCCTGTGCAGGGCCAGTATGCTGTGTATGCAACCACCCCCGGATGTGTTGGAAGTAGTAGCTGTGATCAACGCACTCAAGTGGATTTGACATTGCAATTTGCTCCTGCCATGACGACCACTGTCACCATCGACCAAACGAGCTATGACGACAAGACAACCATGATTTACAACGGCTTCATTGCAGCAGCCACAGACGCATTTCATCCAACCATTACGCTCAAACCATCAGCCAATGCCACCGCATCAGGCAGCTCGGTTAGTTTGGTCGCTGATACTTTTCAATTTGTGCGCAATGGTACAAATGCAACCCTGGTCAGCATATTGGAATACAGCCCACAGAACTATTCTCAGCACATTACACCTGCATGGCATCCTTTGACAGGTAACAAAAAAAAAACTCCTCCTCATCATGGGTACATTCACCCTTACTTACACACATTGAATGGTAGAACAATTGGCTCGTGGCTCTACAGTGCGTTCGATTGATACCTTTGATGGAAATACCTTATACATTGGTGGTCAATTCTCAAGTCCCAATGGCACCTATCGCAGCATTGTTTCTTATGATTATACCTCGGGTCGTATGGTACCTCTCAATGACGTCGGTGTCAATGGAAGTGTGTACGCTGTCGCGAACGTGAATTCATGTAAGTTAACCCCCCATAAGATACATCGATTTGTTTTATATACTCACATTGGATGGATAGCGCTGATTATTGGTGGTGTATTCAATGGCACAGCAGCTGCCAATGCTGGTGGAACACAACTCAACAACCTAGCACGTTATGATTTGACAACGCGTCAATGGTCAGCCATGGGAATGGTAAGTGTCATGCTTGGATGAACTATCCCCCTTCCAAAAAAGGATACTAACAAACAACAATGCAGGGTGTGGATGGACCTGTGACCCACCTCTTGTACGACGGCAATGCAACGGTTGTTGTTTCTGGCAACTTTACGCACTTGGTTGGCCAAATTACGACCCCCCATCTTGGCAATGTTGTATGGAGCATTTCAGAACAAAGATGGATTGAGCCATCCTCGCTTGTGGTCGGCTCTATCATTGGCAACGAAACGATCAATGCAACCACATCCATCTTGGCAGGTCGAATCCTTGGTGCACAAACCTATCGTGCTGATGACGTTTCTTTGCTTGACACCAACAATTTTTGGACACCCTATTTGCTAAACGACTCTGCAGGCGTTATCAACACGGGCGTTTTTTGGCATAATGTGACAGCCGATGGTCAAAACAAGACTGTAGCGATCGTGGGTGGACGTTTCAACCTTACCAATGGCATTCGCAACTTGGCACTCTATCAAGATGGAACATGGCATGGTCTTGGTGGTGGTCAATTGGATGGCCAAGTCCTCTCACTCGTTCAGCTCAAAGATAAATTATACATTGGCGGCCATTTCACTGGGACCCTTGGAGAAGAAGGCAATAACCAAGTTACTAGCTTTGCCATCTATGATTTGAAAGCACGCAAACGCATTGATGTTGGTGGTGTTCATGGTAAGATTGTTCATGCAGCCAACCCATTTTTTCTTTTCTAATCATGTGGAGTGGTTTTATAGCTGCTGATGGATCCCCTGGTGTTGTCAATGCCATACGCTTGCAGCCTGATGGCACATCCATTTATGTTGGTGGCAACTTTTCCAATGTGGGGTCCTTGGGTTGTCCTTCTGTATGCCGATTGGATGTAGAAAAGACGCAATGGAATACGATTGCCATGGGTATCGGTGGTAGCGTGTATGACTTGGCTGTGACCAACGAGCAAGTGATTGCAGCCGGCGACTTGACAGTGGATCACACACCTACAGCAGTGGCTACAATGCAAACGCAAGGTACCTCTTGGAGTGCCATGGCTCAACAAGATACTACAACATCCATTGGTACTGTAAGAGCTGTTCTCAGTGGTCCAAACAAAGAAGCCATTGTTGCTGGTCGCAATGAAACCGCTAGTTTCCTTGGCACGTGGGATGGACAAACATATTCCAATATAGGTAACTTGGAACAAACAATGACCCTATAGCATTTATTGACCCCCATTGTTTAGATGCACATCTTGGACCTTCAAGTGACATTCGACAATTGGTATTTATGCCTATTGATTCTTCTCCAAGTGAATCTCGCTATCCTACAGACTCCGAATACATGTTGTTGGCAAGTGGGCATTTGGATCTCGATACCTTTGGCAATGTCAGTGCTGCTCTTTACGATGGCTCGCAATGGTTCCCACTCGCACTTTCCACCAAGATGGATGGTACCCCAGGTCAATTACAAGAAGTTTTCCGTGAGACAATGTGTTGTACAGCGATTAATGTCATTCGTAAGTAACCTTTGGATCATGCTGAGCTTTTTCACTCAACCTCTCTTTTTAGATCATTTACCTGTACCCGCTGTGATCCTTATTTCTATTGCCATTTCTTTGGGTCTGATTTTCGTCTTGGTGGGTGCTGGCTTGTTGGCGTTGTTTGCAAAGAGGAAATACAGTGAGCCTGATGTCCCAGAGCCTATGCCACCCTACTTGCCAGGCCAAAACAATCGACCTTCAAGCTTAGTAGCCATGCTGGATAGTGCACAAGCCAAGACATTGGGTGCAGGCGCTGCCGCTGCCATTGCAGGTGCTGCTGCAGCAGGGGCAGGAGCAGGAGCAGCAGCTGGACCTTCGAATGAGAAACATTTGCAACAAGATCATCCAACACCAGCAGCCGCTGGAGGTGCTACATCAGCCTTTGCAGCATTGATGGCATCAGCAGCAGCATCCAATCCTAATGAACCCCCTAGTGATGATAATCCAAGGCTGTATCACGCAAAGTACCCATTCGAAGCAAAGGAGTATGGAGAATTGGGCTTTGACGCCAATGAACCCATTGTGGTGACTGATGCCAGCGATAATGTATGGTGGATGGGATACAAGGATGATGGTAAGTCTTTTTTTACTCTATAGATATCGTGGTCATGTATTCATTCCTTTGTTATTTATAGGTACTGGCCAGCCTGTGTCAGGCCTCTTTCCAAGCAATTACGTGAACGATTCCAAATCATGACAGCACTAAGCCGTTACATTTTTATACCCTTCCTCCTGATTTAGAAGTTATTACTACGCATTCAATAGTAATTTGGCATGTATTCTTTTCTCTCTCTACGCTTAATGATTATTTTCTTTTCCCATGTTTGACTTTTTGAGAGGATGCAAATTTTATTTGTACAGGACATTTTCTACTTTCTGAAACCACATTCTGGAATATAGCCACCATCCTTTTCTGATTGCTTGAAATTGACCTTGTTCTTGCATTGCTCATTAATTTCCTTGAATGGGTCAATATGACCTGGACCAGCACCTTTTGTCTTTGTGGTAGGGACACCAAAGTAAGCTTCTGTCCAAGGTAATTCGTCACAGGGGAGTGTTGGGCGACCGTCGTTCCAAGGATAGTATTCCACAATGGATTGGAAGCTGTCAGTGATGCCTTTGGCCTTGGATGGTAAAGTGAAAGAACCAATGTGGGTTTCTTCGTTGGTAACGGTATCGAGCAAGGTTCCTTTCCATGTTGTGTCCTTTGTGTTTTCAATGACGAGATGATACAGGTGGTCATATGAAGGCACCTTGATTTCCACGGCACAGCTTACACCAGGGCCATCATCAGCACCATCATGGCAATTGGCATCGTCGGTCGTTGTACCATCGATAAAGCTTGAGAATACACCATGCACAACGCTCTTGTTGTCAGCATCCTCGGTTGGCTGTAATCCAGTATAACCCACTTCCCCTGTGCCTTCAAAAACGAATGATTGCATGAAGTAGTACCCGCTCTCGTGTGTGGCATTCGGCATCGACATGGGGAATGTAATGTCCCTGAGACCATCGGAAGGCGTATTCTCCATCTTCCACCATGTCCCAAGAATAAAACCATCACCGTCAGCCATGGATGGCAACATCAGGGAGGATGCAATAGCGAATAAGGTAGCAAATGTCTTCATGATAGTGATGATGGATGTAATAAAAATGATGGATATCAAAAAGCAAGGAAAAGTGCTACCTTATATATCCTTTTGACATGTAGTAGTACGAAAATAGGATCAACATTTCTCCACGTCAAAAGTCATACTAGCAAAAATGATGATAATAATTGCTTAATTTGCATGAAATGATTATGCAAGGATCAAGGTTTGAGTAATACAGCAGTGCGTATTGCAATCCATTTTACTACACGAGATGTCATGTCCGGCAACGTTGATACCAATGATGTCGCCTAAAGGCTCCCTGGCAATCTTTCGGCTGATGTCAAGATGAGCAATGCTTCATTAGTATCGAATGAATGGTGGTATTGTTTGTGATACACGGGGTTGTAAACATAAGATCCAGCATGTTGGTAATACACAAATCTTGTCTCATCATTGAAAGTGGGACAAAGGACATCATTCGTTTCGATGTTGGCACATTTTACTCCTTGTTCCGAATACTCAATCACTGCACTTGTTATTGAATTCATGTCACACAAATAGCGTGAGAAGCTAAACCAGCATCATGGATCGATTGTCCCTGAATCTCCTTCAAAATGCCCACCATCAAAACCAACCATGTCATGCACGCCTTGTATAACGACTTTGAATCTTTTATTTAGTACGCTGAGGAATAGGTTGCATGGATGAAGAAGCTATTTTGTATGTGTGTATGTGTGCTATCATTGCTTGAAATTGAAAATGGTGGGAAGGATCGTCAACAAATAAACTGCTAGTTATTTGAAACCACATTCGGTAATATACCCTCCATCACTGGTTTCAGTTTGGTGAAAATTGACTTTGTCGTTGCATTGTGGATTTTGTTGCACAAAGGGAATAAGCCAACCGTCACCTGCTCCTGGTGTGTTTGTTGTTGGTGGACCAAAGTAAGCCTGTGTCCAAGGCAACTTGTCGCATGGTAGTGTCTTTTGGCCTCCATTCCAAGGGAAATACTCGACAACGCCTCTAAAGTGGTGATCGATTCCTTTTGCGTTGGAGGGTAGAGTATAAGAACCAATATGGGTTTCTTCATTGGTGACGGTATCAACGAGGGTGCCTTTCCATTTGGTGCCTTCCGTATTTTCGACAACGAGATGGTACAAATGATCGTAGGATGGCACGTTAATGTCAACGGCGCAGCTCACACCAGGACCAAAATCAGCGCCATCATGGCAATTAGCATCATCGGTTGTGGATCCATTCACAAAGCTTGAAAACACAGCATGGACAACGCTACTAGATCCTGAATCAGGTCTAGGCTGTAATCCCGTGTAGCCGGTTCCACCAACGCCCTGGAAAATGAATGATTGCATGAAATAGTACCCGCTCTCATGCGTGGCATTGGCCATAGACATAGGAAAGGTGATGTCCTTTAAGCCATCAGCAGGCCCGTACGTCGTGTCCCACCATGTCCCAAGAATAAAACCAGGACCATCCGCCATCGATGGCAATACATAGGTGGCTGTAATCGCAAAAAGAGTAGCAAGGACCTTCATGATGATGATATTGGAATCAATAAAAAGTAAAAGGGATCTACTTTGTAGCTTTTATTCATCTTGCAAGTTCATTTTGGCCTGGTGGTGATGCGTTGTTGTATAAAAGAACCCTGTCAATCTTTTCACAAACCCGGCAATGAGCCGATCCTTCGAGGCACAGTTACCAAGACATACATTACACACGCAAAGAGGTATTGTGCAGCACAACATCTGCTGCTGATATCATCAGCTGCATTGCTATATCCATGAAAGATGTCCGATAATGCCTTTTCGTAATGCATATCGTTTAACTTTGACGTGATGTGCTGTATGTCTCGTTTCAAGATGACCAACGTCCTTTGCTACATTTTAGGATTGCAAAGCGACCTGCATAAGGTTTCTGTCGGTGGTCTTTGTCCCAAAGTCTTGGGTGATTAACCGGATCCAACCGCTCGCGGCTATGCATCATCATAAGCATTTCCATGACAACGCGCGACTGAATTCAATTATCCCAATCCCCATCAACATACAAGCGTGGTCAACCGCCCACCTTGCGTATACCGGTCATCAACAAGCAAATAGCACAGTGGAACTTTTTATCAACGTGCTAGTCATGTAAGGCACTATCAATGTATGACCTTCAACATGCATTTATCATTTTGTGCAAGCATAGAAATTCACACGCGCACCGTGCACTTGTAAACAAGAATGTTGTCGTCCTCCATTATACTTGCTTGACTATTCACATTATCAAAAACCCAAGTTTTTGTGAGTACTTGTAGTCATGTCACACAAATGCCATGAGAAGCAAACCAGCTAAGTTGTTGCCATGTTCACCACGAAGATTGCCTAATGCAGGAACTAATCATTGCCATAGCAACCATGGTCCCTGAATCCTTCAAAACACCCACATCAAAAACAACCATGTCATTGCACGTCTTGTATAAAGACTTTGAGAATCTTTTATTCAACCACATGCTGAGAAGGGATAGATTGCATGGATAAACAATGTGTGCTATTGGAATTGGTGGTAGTGGTGGGGAAGCTAGTTTATTTGAAACCACATTGGGGAATGTACCCTCCATCACTGGTTTTGGTTTGTTGAAAATTGACTTTGCCGTTGCATTGTGGATTTTCTTGGTCAAAGGGATCAATGCTACCGGGACCTGCGCCTGGTGTGTTTGTGGTTGGTGGACCAAAGTAGGCCTGTGTCCAAGGCAACTTGTCGCATGGTAGTGTCTTTGGGCCTCCATTCCAAGGGTAATATTCAACGATGCCTCTAAAACTGCTCTGGATTCCTTTTGTGTAGGAGGGTAGAGTATAAGAGCCAATGTGTGTTTCTTCATTGGTGACGGTATCAACGAGGGTGCCTTTCCATGTGGTGCCTTCCGTGTTTTCGATAACAAGATGGTATAAATGATCATAGGATGGCACGTTGATTTCAACCTTGCAGCTCACACCAGGGCCATAATCAGCGCCATCATGGCAATTGGCATCATCGGTCGTGGACCCATCGATAAAGCTTGAAAACACAGCATGGACAACGCTGTCGGATCCTGATTTAGGCCTAGGTTGTAATCCCGTGTAGGCACTGTGGCTCCAAACGCCCTCAAAAAGGAACGATTGCATGAAATAGTAGCCATTCTCATGCGTTACATTAGGCATCGACATAGGAAAGGTGATATCCTTTAAGCCATCAGCAGGTGTATTCGCCATGTGCCAATTTGTCCCAAGAATAAAACCAGGACCATCCGCCATCGATGGCAAAACATAGGAGGCTGCAAGCGCAAAAAGAGTAGCAAGGACCTTCATGGTGATGATATTGGAATCAATAAAAAGTGAAAGGGTTAGCTTTTATTCATCTTGCAAATTCATTTTGGCCTGGTGGTGATGCATTGTTGTATTAAAGAACCCTGATTATCTTTTCACAAACTCGGCAATGAGCCGATTCTTCAAGGCACAGTTACCAAGACATACATTACACACAAAGAGGCATTGTAAAGCACAACATCTGCTGCTGACATCATCATCTGCAATGCTATACGACCATATTAATCCAATCCCAATGATGACAAGATGATGACCAACGTCTTTTGCTACATTTTAGGATTGCAAAGCGACCTGCATAAGGTTCCTGTCGGGGGTCTTTGTTCCAAAGTGTTGGGTCTTAACCGGATCCAACCGCTCACGGCTATGCATCATCATGATCATTTACATGGCAACGTGCGATTGAATTCAAAAGGTTAAAGATTTTAGGATCCTCCACCATCGTTAACATCATAGTGCACACATGTCGTAGGTTGATCGATCATTACAAAATGTTCACAAAAGACCTGCATCAGCGTTAATAAAAATATAGTTTGAACGAATCTCTTGCATGATTGTCCAATTGCATGTAGCAAGAAAATGGCAAATCGATCTTACAAGTGGGATGAAGGACCATCTACAAACCTCTACCAATGAAGCCCATATGATATGCGATAACCAAAAATGCTTTTTTTATTGGGCTATAATGTTACAAGATTGTTCAACTAGCTACCTTTCTACGCTTTGCTGATGTGGGCTCCGGAGTTTCTCTTTCATCTTCTTCCACCTGGACATTTTTGATATTGAGAACGAAATCAACCAGCGTTTTATGATCACCTTCAGTTTCGTAAGGTCGTCTAAAGTCGCCTTGGATATTGCAAGTGATTGGCTCGGTTTGCACATCATCATCTTCAGGGGGCAAAGTATCACCAGTACAAGTCACCTCCCAACCTCCCACCTCTGAATTTTCATCACCCACATGCCAAATTTGATATCCATAGCCACAATCCTCTTCCAAGAAACGACGACGTTTTTCTGAGAATGCTGTTTCATGCGTATCGTCCGTGACCAAGGTGTAGAAGCGGGAATAGAAACCTTTTTCAGATCGATTCTTTGCACGCAAAATACGACCGAGACGTTGTGCTTCTTGCCGTCTTGAACCAAAATGAGAGGACACTTGAATGAGAACTGTAGCAGCAGGAAGGTCGAGTGATGTGTCACCGATACGTGATAATAGCAATGTGTTGACAGCTTGTGCATCGAGTCGTCGTTTCTTTGCAAGGTCTGACCAACTAGCATCCGCCTTGAGTTTGGGCACCTCAATCTGGAACCGCTTAAGCAAATCACGTGCTGTGTCAGGAGGTGTGGCACCACTAATGCAAGGCCTGTCAAGCTTTTCAGCGTACAACTTGAGAGCATCAATGTGATCGCAAAAGACGAGTACCTTGTCCCCTCGTGCCTCATGGTATTGTACAAGTCGTTGGCATAGCTGCATCTTTTTGGGATTCAAGATGGATAAAAGACTCTTGAGGTGATGTGTGCGACCCAAGATAGAACCACCCGAATTGTTGTTGCTACCTCCCAATTCCTTGTAAGCTTCCAATACACGTGGCACCATGGCACATTCGACTTGTGTACAAATCACCTTGGCAATGTATCCTCGATCGGCAAGCTCTTTCCATTTCGCATGATACAAGGTAGGGCCCACCAATTCCTCCAAATCACCAATACGTTCATCCTCACGCAACATGGTTGCTGTCAAACCCAAGCGTACTTTGGTGTCAATACTTGCAATGGCTTTGCTAAAGTTGTATGCTGGTACACAGTGGACTTCATCGAGAATGACGACGCCCCATTTTGTATTGTTGATGAACTTTGCCATGCGTTTACTGTCAGCGGATCGATTCTTGTTGTCAACCAACATGGTGTAGGTGGTAAAAAGGACGCCTGCAGGTCCATTAAAGGGCCATTTCTTGTTGCCAGCAAACATACCCGTCCTGGATGCCATCAATGTCGTGAATCGCAAAAACTCTTTTTGAAACTGTTCGGCCGATATGATCGTCGAGCATACAACCAATACTGGTTTCTGTACTGCGCAGGCCACCAAAATGGATGTAAGCGTCTTGCCAGCTCCACAAGGAAGTACAATAATGCCACTCTGTGCCGATCGTGCCTCACCCATCGACTCAGGTTCAACAATGGCATTCAATGCCTCTTCTTGGTAAGGTCGCACTTCAATGTCAGGTCTCAACTTCATGTCAAGCGTAGGGATCGAGGTGTCGGCTGCAAACTGGTATCGAGGAAGCAATGCTTGTCGTGGTATACGTTGTTTGGTTGCTGTCGTCTTTGTCTTTGTCTTTGGCGGTTGCGATCCTCCTCCTCCTCCTGTTGCTGCTGCTGGTGTCGATTGCTCCTCTTCTACATTCTCCTCTTGTTGATCGTTGACGTCTTCACCCAAAAGATCCTTCTCCCGCTTTTCTTGCGATCGCTTTTGTACAAACTGCAACAAGCTGCTCAATCGTTGTTGCCGCTCATCGCTGGTGCCTTCCAATTTGAATGAGGGTAGATCCATGGGGGGTGAAAGTAGAAAAAGGTAATGGGAATCCCGCAGCTCCTCAAGTCGCAGTGATAAAGATGTTTCGGAGTAGCATAAGAAAGTTTATAGTAAATGGGAAGAGCAGCGAAATAAAGCTTTAGCATTGGATACAACTGCAACCAGTCATTGCCATGGCAACAGCATGATGTCTAGGGCACTTTGCAAGCTGTACCTTTTATCCCCCAGCTTGCCAATACCATTTACCTGATACCCTTAGATGAACAATGGTTACATCAGCAGCACAAGCGTACGCCCCGCTGTTACACTGCGCCACGGCTGTATAAAAAAAAGAGATGCAGAGTTTGCAGAGGGTTGTGTGTTCCTTTCATGTCTCTTTTTTTCACCAACTTTGTTTCAATCTTACCATTCGAGATATCCGGACGTATTTTTTCTTTCCTTCCACAAAGAGATCGAATTGAATGCACCCGTGTGTGCCGTCTATGGCGTGATGGCATCTTTTTATGGGACAGCGAAACATGGAGCCTATTGAACTTTTGGTTAAACGACATCCCACTAACAATGCCGTTTCTAAAAAAGATTGCACTTTACATCAAAGACCTCCATGCCAAGCACAATGGTTATGATCATGATGAAAATGAACCATTCTTGGTGGATCCAACGCATCTGGAAATGCTCACATCGCTTCCTTTACCCCAACTACGAACCCTGAGTAAGGAAAAGTACATGCATTTCGTCATATCGTTATCTTTTACTAACGTGTACTCTTTGCAGGATACGAGTGTTGGGGTCTACAGCTTACAGTATTGAAGGGTCTACTTTCCCATCTTGGCGACCAACTACAACGGCTCAATGTCAGAGTGATTTACGAAGATGATGGCCTTGATAAGCCGCCCTGTTTTTGCATGCTCTTTCGCTATTGTCCGCAGCTGAAGCATTTGTCATACATTACCCTTCCAATCGATATGCAAATGTGCATCCATTGTTCACAACAGCAGGTCGTCTATCCCTTGGAATCATTGGAACTTGAGCGGCATGAATTCCCGATGACAAAGATATTACCCTTATTACATCAATGTCCTCAGCTGCGTCGCCTATGCTTGAGCACACATAGGAAATGGGATATCGATTTCTTACGCATTCTCAATACATGTCCAAAATTGCAGTCGTTGGAAGTTGTTTGCAACATTGAAGCGAGAAACCGAGAAAGGGATCGACTCTTTTGGTGTGGGAAGCACCTTATCCCATGCAACAACAACAACATCCATCATTCATCGACGACGAGTGGATTACTCAATCTCATTCTCACCAACCTTCACGACGCCAATCAATTGTATGCATTGAATACGATTGTTAATCTTCATCATCAAACAATCCTGCACATTGAGGTAGCGTTTCACCATGAGTACACGATGAATCCCGGCGGAAACCATGATTCTATCCATGTTGCACCACCCAATCTCGAAAAGCTCGATTTTCATTTTTGTGATTTCCAGTACACCAGTGATGACTTGGCGTGTCTCATTCGCCCATACCTTGATCAGTGTAGCCGATTAACATGGGTATCTCTCAAGACTCACTTGTCAAACTATCTCACACCATTACCCCGTTGGGCTTTTGTGGCACTCGCACAACTATCCCATTTACGACACCTTCACATCCAAATGCCCAATGATACAAATGACATGGTTTACTTTTTGGATACGATCAAATCCCACAGCAACACAAGATTGGAATCTCTTTTCTATGATGGTGATTGGGTGTCGAACATGGACGTGATACGCTTAATGGCCGAGCTACCTTCCTTGCGGTCCTTAGCATTGAGTCTACCAGGAAGCATTGATCATGTACCACCAAAAGCAATGATTGATTGCTTGCAACTTTTACAACACGCCCCACGTATTCAATCGCTTTCATTCACAAATGTCAACGGCTTTGGTTCTCAACACGTGTTCCGGAACATGGGTCTCATGCCACATCTCCAACAACTTTATATCGTTACATACACTTCAACCAGCAAGGAAGGGATCCGGCATATTGCAGATAGAGAACCGCCCTTGAAAAGACTTGTGGTGCTCGAATTGTCGGATAGTGACGCGAATTGGCAGGGTGGTGATGATTTCGAGGATGCATTAGAATACGCTCGCACAAAGATTGAGATCGTAGAAGGACAACATGATTGCGGTGCATGTTGCCGAGAGAGGAATAGTGGAATGGCTTCTCACTTTTATGGCTTGTAACAGTATACCATCCTTTGCTAAATAAATTGCAAAGCTTACTTTTGCTCCATGAACTTTTTGGTAACCAAGTTTTTTTATTCCATCAACTTTACTACTTATGCAGGCATCGAAAACTTGTCAAGTCGCACATCTAAATGACGACCACCATAAAGATAACCATTGAATTTGCCTATGTACGTTATTCAGTAAATCCTGCTTTCCCTTTCTCTCAAATCATCCTATTACCAATAGCCCTCTCGCATGTTGTGAACTCTTCAAAGCGAACAAGACCAGAACCCTTTGGATAACCATTTGCAAGTAAAATCTCTGCTCGTAACACAGGACCTACATGTCTAAACAAATCGATCAAATCTTGCCATGTCGTTGAATAGGGTAACTACTCAATCGATCGTTAGTAGCCATCCACATCCTATACCTTGAAAACCACCGCCACTTACATTATTAACAAAGATTTGATTGGGGCCATGACTCGGTGTAGAAGCAGCTGGTCCACCTACGAATCCCATAGGTGCTGAAAGGAAATGTGCTGGGGGAGGTGGTGCGCCATGTCCTTCATACGAGGTACTTGATGTCATTCCACGATACTCTGTTTGACCTTTGGTTGTAGCAGCTTGTGGTGGCGGAGGCGGTGGTGCATCGCGTTCCTGAATGAAAGGGTCAGCTTGTCACTTTGATTATCCCTCCGCTTTTACTTACCAAGCACACTTGCAATTTTCTACCACGATACTCATAGCCATTAAAGATTTCTATACATATACCAATACCAATGAATATAAAACCTTTCCCTCCATCTTGCCCACAACATACCAATAGCACCAGCCGCATCACGAGGATCATCATAAATGACTAAACCTGAACCCTTGGGTCTGTGCGTTTCTTCATCCACATCAACATCGGTGTGAGTCACTCTTCCACCTTTTCGGAACAAATCCTTGAGATCCTGCCAACTCGTAGAGAAAGAAAGCTTAAAGAGAATAGGCCTATTAGTATTCATGCTGTTGGGTTTGCATAGATGATTTCATTACATTGCCGACAAAGATACGCTGGTCTTCAGGTGCATCTCGTGGATCTTTGGGTATCTTGGGTTCGAATTCCCGATCCTATCATTGATCCATGTTGAGTATATACACACATGCATCATGGTAAAACCACACCTACTTCTCGCACAAATACAGGCCTTCCCATGAACTCGGTTCGATTGAGATTTCGAATGGCTCGCTCTGCATATTCAGGACGTGAGTATTCCACCACACTACATGATCCGTGTTAGTCACGTGTTGTTCAGGACCATCATCATCATCATCATGCAACTTGCCCACATCCTTTGGATTTGCCGCTGGGTGTCATGAGCACATTGGCATTGACTACTGTTCCAACTGAAAACATCCCAAGCTATCAGTAAACCCATATCGCTTATCGACTATGATGGAACGAATAGATACCTTCTTGTGCAAAGTCCTTGAGATCCTCCCACTGACAGTCGTATGAAAGATTTCCCATATAGACGCGACATCCTTTGCTACTACGTCGTGCTGAAGAAGAAGCGTGTGATCCTGATCCAGATCCTGATCCTGGTACGGATGGTGCAGGTGGTGGCGATCGTGAACGATGGTGTCGTGAAGAGGATCGTCTACCATGACGAGGAGACGACGATCGGTGGCGACGATGGCGGTAATAGTCGTCATCTGAATCGTGGTGGTAGTGATGTCGGCTGGAGCTTTTCAGGTGTGGGCGTCTGCTGTGTGGCGAGAGGGAAGCATCGCGAGAATAGGATCGATTGTGAGGTGAACGGGATGCATTTCTTGAATACGATTCTCGTGTGTCTCTATCGCTGTAGTCTCTGTAAGAAGGAGGGAAAGAAGGGTCGTCGCTCATATCAACAAATGCCAACTACAACCGGAGTGCAGGTTAAGAGTACAAGCTATAATTTTATGCATTGTTGCTTTGATATAAAAACCGTATCCAATGGTTCCTTTACATCCCCTTTGTACTGTAACAAGTAGTATCCATATACATCCGTTCACTATGGGATTCATTATCCGTAGACATCATATATGATGGAAGGTTGTTTTATTAAAGAGACGTTGCGTATACTATAATCGAAGGCATTGTGCATGACTATACTATAACCTATGCCGGTCCATGTGTCTTTAAGCTGCAACCTTATCGGTTCCAGGGATGGATTGCCTTGTAGTAGATGAATCGACATGCTTGACTGGGTGGGGTGTACAGGCACACAAAATGCCAGGGATGCGAATCAACATCCGACGATAGCAAGCCTTGACCAACTTTTTTTTTTCTCTTGCCCTTCCTTTCTTTGCCCTTTATCCAACAAAAGTCATGGAGAAGCAGTGTCCCGTTAATCACACAGAGTCCAAACCAGCACAATGCCCTGTTGATCATACCCAAAAGGCGACGATGACGACTACTGCAGAAGAGGCAAAATGCCCTGTGGATCCTTCAGCATACAAGCATTTCCTTCCTCAAACCGAATCGCAGCCCACCTCGTCCTCGACCTCGAATAATGCAGCTGATCAGTGCCCTGTGGATCATACTGCCTACAAGCATTTCTTACCCACGTCCAAAGAGGGCTGTGATTCTGACGCCATTGACGCGAGCAACAATATGCCAGCTGTTGCACAGCAGTCGCCTCTTCCCGGTCAAAAGCAGCAACTAGGCACCGAGCGTGAAGTGTCAAGCATTCCACGTGCTGCAGGCGAGGATGCAAAGTGGATCTATCCTTCCGAGCAAATGTTTTTCAATGCCATGCGTCGCAAAAACTGGAACCCTGAGGAAAAAGATATGCCGGTCGTTGTCCCTATCCATAATGCAGTCAACGAACAAGCATGGCGACAGATTTTGGAATGGGAAAAGATGCATGAGACGTAAGTGGAAAAGTTACAAAGAGAGAGGTTCGTTCATAGATCTAACATCATGTTGGATATAGCCAATGCAATCAACCCAAACTTGTAAAGTTCCAAGGACGACCCAAAGACATCACACCCAAGGCTCGTTTCCGGTCATGGTTTGGGTAAGAAATGGATGAGGGATGATGAAGCGTACAACATGTCTCTAATGGGGTCTTTTTTTCTTTTAGATACAAGCTTCCATTTGATCGACATGATTGGGTTGTGGATCGATGTGGCGAAAAAGTGACCTATGTCATTGACTTTTATTCCGGCAAACAAGATCCTCGACGACCAGAAGCTGTTAGCTTTTACTTGGATGTGAGACCTGCCGTATCGCCATCCGGCATTTTAGATCGCTTGAAAATGTCCTGGAATCGAGGCGAGTTTGTATAAATCATAGATCAGTATATCCACACTTTGGCTTCATTTCCTTTCCTTTCCTTGTACACTACATCTTTTAGACATTGTATCCCATTTCACTTTTCACAATAACATCACCTGTTTTTCATTCTATCCACTTCTACGTAGTAACTGATTGTGCGTTATAGTATAAATAGCATTTCAACAAATGAGAGAAACTACAATGGCTTGTTCTTAATGCGATAAATTATATGCTATTTATTGAGGATAATGATTGAAATGATAATAATGCATGATAACGTCAGGGAACAGGTATAACCTTTGTTTGGCAAAGGATGATGCGATGATTATAAGTGATATTTAGGCACCCGTATTCGTAATGTCATAGGGCATCTCCACCAAATGATTGTTGCGAACAATGCTCATAGGATCATAAAAAGTGCCAACAGTATCAGGTCGTTTTGTTGTACGCGTAGGATCATTCATGAACTTTTGTAGCGAGGAGGATTGACTTGATGCAATAGGGAAGACCGTTTCTGATTGCTCTTGGCTTGGAGATGATGATGGTGAAGGTGAAACAGTGGTTGCTTGACGACGCCAAAAGTAAAGCATATTGATATAGACAATGAAAAGTTTTGTAAATGAATAAAAAGATCACAGTGCAGCAGCGGAGGCACGTCTTTTATAAAATGCAAAGATCGGAACCGAAATGTCAAGAATGCGAAAATGGTTAGCCGTCGGCACGGGATCTTCTTCCGACCCATATTAAGGTCAGGGCCTTTTTCTTCTCTATTGTCCTGAAATCATTCCCCATACACGCTCCGATGATTCGCCTTATAGTTCACCCTCCCCTTTTTGGATAACACAAGATGTGTGTGAAAGTAACATGTGCTATCCACATTGTGGTAGCTAAAATGATCTAGCTACTAATGATGCAGATCCTTGCATCGAGAGGTGACGATAGCACTGCAGTTGAGTTACAATGACTTTTTCATGATGTACAAGCCAGCAGCTAGAAGGAAAAAGGGTTGATCCGATTGTTGTGGTGGGTCTTTGTTTTTGTATTTTCATTGTTATCAATCAGCAGGGATCATCAGCTGATCATGAAAAGATGCTGTTTTACGTATTAGCTCATGGACAATGATAGTAGCAGAGGAATGATGTAAGAACAAAAAGAACACGATTGTAGTATTATCGATAAATCGAATGAGCAGATAAAAAGAATGAAAACAGGGCCGACAATGGGTCTGAATGGGCACGCAATCTCAGTCTGTTTCATTTTTGTAATCCTCCTCCGACCATGCATTGTCCGCCTCATTGTTGTGCAAAGGACTTCTTGTAATAAAAAAGCATGTGATGATTGTTAAGCACACCTCATCATGATGAGTATCTTGATTGCAGGGTAGTGGCAATAAAGGTTACCAAATCCAAATAGCGAGAATCAAATGAGTATTACGACCCCTACCTGATGCTATGTGCCTGCTAATTTCAAGCACGCTAAATCATATCACTGCATACTCATGCATGCTCGAGACTCATGGTGGCAACAACTCACCCCAATGTATCAATCATCATGTACCAACTTTGCCGTGTTATCGTTTAGCCTATTGTTTTGCGCACGGACCATGCACGGACCTTTCCGTGCCACAGCAAAAATAGGTGGAGCTTTAATGCTCTCATCATCAGATAAATGATCGCCAAAGTACGGGTTGAGATGCTCCTAAATGTTGTTCTCTCCAAAAGCTGAGCCGGTTTGATTGTGATTCACGCCAATGATGGTAGCGAATCTTAACACGCGATTATTGGAATCTTCTCGAAACACAGGCTAGAGGGAGCTTTACTTGTAGAGCACTACTTCTTTCAAGTGTCTAATGAACAACATGCACGTGAATAGATTTGTGTTGTATGGGTAAATTAATTAGAGAGAAATGCAAGGCTCGTTATATACGTAAGCATTCATTTTGGATGAACAAGGAGTAACTTTAGAGTTTAGATAAGCATTGTGACATGAAGAATGATAACAATGGCATGAACGTCGTGTGGGAGGCCGTGGATTACTTGAGCCATTTTGTTTTATTTGCGCCATTGTCTCTTGCTCCCCTTTCTTTTATTTCCTTTCCTCCTCCATCACTTGCATTTCGCTTTTTGCATTGCAAATCAGCATGCTGACCGTAACCCCCGACTCCAATGGCACCATTCAACTGTAACGAGTCAACAAATGGACGCGACCAAGATCGTACCTTCCTTAAGAGCCAAAGTCATGACCACAAGCACCTCCTTCAAAACACCCAGAAGCCCAAACGCAGCAGCACACATGTGGATTTGACATACACCAACATCAACATATCCTTACACCGCTATCATGTGCATTGTCAACTCGAAACACGGGTGGAGATAGATGGGGTCTATCGTAAGCAGCAGCGTCGTAAGGATCGGTTTCCATGGCTACAGTATTCCAATCCCTATCGACATAGGTGTGCGTTCAACCGCCCCCTTTGGGTATACCAGTCTTCAACAAGCAGATAACATGGTGGAATTTTATCATCAACGCGCGAGCCATTGTAAGGCACACTACCACTTTATCATCTCATGTACCATCTTTAACAAATATTTGTCACTCTCTTCTCCTCTTTGCAATTATAGAAATACCCACGCCCACCGTGGTCATATAAACAAGAATGTTGTCGCCTATCTCACCATTCCATGCATGTCTTCCCTCCGCTATACACTTTTTGATTGCTCACATTGTCGAGAAGCCAAGTTTTGGTGAGTACCTCGTTGGATAACTTTTCTGTGGTCCTTGGAGTAAAGCTGATTTCTTTATGTTCATTCATAGCGTTTCATTGTTATACTATTTTCATTGTTGTGGTCGTCATTACATCGAGGTAACATGTACCATATTGCTTGATGAAGCCCATATTCATATCGAATTCCTTTCAATGTAGCCATGTTGTTGTCTTGTGATGGATATGCAAAGCTGGATCTGGTCAATACGATTGAGGTGTACATGGTGCGACAGAGATACCGGCATGGGGTTGATATGACGGCTTCCCACCATTGCGTATGTCAAAACCGCTTGATCTCGGTTTACCACTTCAAGCCGATTGCGCATACGTTTTGCCAAGGATTCGGAACGGCAAACGTGGTAGACCACATCGATGGTGATAAGGAAAACAACCATTACAAGACGATCTGAAAATACCATTCGCGGAACAAGGATACCAAGGTACTACAAGGCCACATGTTACCATTACTCAACCCAGCTAATCCGCATTCATAGATATCTACTTTTGACAAAAGCATTACATGGACAAAGTATGTGGCTACTACAGCCACAATATCAAAGGTAAGTTTGTACACCAGCAGTAGACGTGGAAGACATTTTTGCTCAAATGCTTTCTATTCAGGATTATATACCACAGGGCAAGAGACATGTTATCTTGGGTTGGTTTTCATCCAACGTTCTATGACTAGATGGCTGTGTCATCTGCACTCCTTGCCCTCACAACAAGCTTAAGCGTGAGTACATCATTAGGAATCTTTGTTTTCCTTTCTTCTAACGTTGTATGGTTAGATAACTGTGCCATCTGCACTCCAGCAATACCCTTCTTGCAATTCATGGCATTCATTACGCGACGGCATCCTGCGACATCAAAGCACTGCGTACAAGACTTTTCTTGACTGAGAATGTCCGTTTTGGAGATACTCTTGGGCGCCTGTCCCTTTGCAAACAAGGCATTTTATTTCATTATCCAGGTCATTCTTGTCGCCAACCACCTCATATGATTATCTGAGACATGTATCAGCTGCATCAATACACATGCATCGTCATACGCTACAAGAAAGGAATGATGAGGCTCATATAATTGACACCAAGACGTTCGCATACAACTGGACCAATCGACTTTTATCATCATCCTTCCAACTGAGAACTACCCCAAGGTCAACGTCGGATCACTAAATCCTACCTAGATGGTCAGCTCGTGCGATACCAAATCAGCATGATGGATATTTGGTGTCCTCTTTAAGGCGCGAATTCATCGTCAATGCATCAATTCGATTCCTGAATGCTAAGGGCAAGGCAATAAATGCAGCTCAAAGCACACCTGGTGTTGAAGATCCTCCTGCCTTGCACATCGTCTTGTCATGTACACATTTCATGGCCCATTTCCTTATGGATATGAAATCGTGATCCACCATATCAATGAAACCAACCCTCACAGCCGCCTGAGCAACCTGGGGCATGTTACTCGATCAGAAATCGTTCAACGCACACGTGACGTTTCCAGCCGCCAGCTGCATATGTTTACAAGGAAAACCTAGCGAGTTGCCGCTATTTGGTACTATATTGGCCTGTTCAATGCGGATGCGACTTTTCGAATGACAAGATTTTTTTCCATCCATGACACAATGAAAACATTCAAGGAGGAGTAAAGAATGCCGAATCATCACGTTCTCAACAACCTATGATCATATCCCACAAGGTTTCCATGGCTTCAGTGATCAAAATTACCCGCTATCCTTTGACGGCCCAGTGGACATGTCGAACCAATAACTTTCAAGTTCTCCTTCAATACTGATGGTGTGCGTGCTTGTTTCCCTTTTATCCTTGTCGTTTTTCTCAACAAAGACATCTTCAAATTCATAGCTTTTGCTTCTTGCATGTATGGGCGTATCTCTTAGTAGCAGTTTCACACACTGATCCTCCAGCAATAAACTACCATAGTCAACTGCTTGTGTAGTGGACTTCTTAATCTTTTTTCTTTTGCTTTAATATCATCCTATTCACAAGCAGTGATCAAATACGAGTATACTTTCCAATCACTTTACTATTACACACGCCCGCATACGCATGATCATGACACATAAGCCATAGCGTACAAAAGTTTCATGTAACCCCTCTGCAAAATGCAGTTCAAAGTATCTTATTTTGAATGCTATTGTTATCTACATCCCTACCCATGGCTCCCTATATCAATGCTTGGGACGCAAATGCCAAAATAATACATGCCCTTTAAGCCTTTGGACTCGACAACAATGCAAAGCTGTTCACGAGCGACTGTCGCAGCCTTTGGCTGAGCAATCTCTTTTGGCAAGCTACGCCTCATCATCTTCTACTTGCAATCATGCAAAGCCCATTGACACCGCCACACCACCAAGCCCATCTTCTACTTCGCCACCTTTGCCAAGCCCATCTCTTTGACTGCGCCCTCCATATCATAGATAGCCAAGACATATAAATATCCCCTCATTCTGATACAATAAAACATTATCTTACGTCTGTACTTTATTCAGTGTACTAGTCTTTCTATCTCATGGCCATTGGTTTACCAGCTCAGATTTGGACCGACACGACCACGGCCAAATCACGTGACCTGAGAAACAAAAAATTCAAAAAGAACATCCCAATCCACCTTTGTGGATCATCTAAATATCAAGTGTTTGAAGGGGCTAACCGGGAGTCGAACCCGGGACCTCTCGCACCCTAAGCGAGAATCATACCACTAGACCATCAGCCCCTGGTTGATTATTCGCATATTGAGTTACATTGTGGTTCGAATACCTGCCCAAAATGGAAGGTGATACAATGTAAAAACCGAATGGTAACCATGGCAAGATGCATATCATCATACAGCGGAATGTCTACCGATTGCAAATATCAAATCGTGGTAGTTTTAGGGAAGGTCAATCAGGAGTAATGGGCGCATAAAGACATTTCAACATTGAGATCCAGCAATTCACCCACAAAGATTTCGAGCTCAGAATCAAAGTGCGTGAAAATAATGCGCCGCCCCCGCTGTTACAGCCTTCCCTTACAAAAACGCAACTGCACCCCAATGCCCACCTCAATGAGAACAACAGCATTCACAACACGCAATACCCATCGAGAAAGCGACATTGGGAAACAAAAAGCCATTTGCGTTTGAAGCGTCTTCTTTTATATTGTCAGCAAAAAACACCAGCTTTCACGATTGTACACGATCTAATAAAGCTGGCACATGGGCGCCTCTCCTATGTTTGCTGCAGCTATAAACAATTACGAGATGCTACCATGACGCGTGTCTTAGTCGATTGTCGCCTTTGGATGGGTATCTTTTTGATACGGTCTATATTATCCACTGTCATCTGTTTGCTCTCTTTATCACTACACTTGTCATTGACCAGGATCGTTATCAAGCACCAGCACAATGTCAGCATAGTAGACAAGATAAAGGGTATTCTATTGGATTATCGAGTAAGGCTATGGATAGGGAGGAAGAATGGATCAATGCATTGGCACTCATACGCTGTGTATGGTCTTTTTATTAACACAGTGCTTTTATCACTTGGGAGGATCATTGTCAAGCAACACGAGGATTTCAACACGATAGAGAAAATGTAGATCATGATTTAGGATTACTTGTTCGGATATGGATCAAAAGCAATAAAGCGTGTATGACGCTGAACTCGTATCATCCCAACATAAAGATGCGTTGTTAATGAAGAAAGGCAATGTCTGATACTTTTGAATGGCATGCCAAGTGTTTTTCAACAGCATGAATGTAAGAAAAGGACAGCATTATGCTTATAGCACATGTCCTTCGGTTACTACTAGCATGATAAAAATGATTACCACTTTACAGACTAAGAGATATGATCATTTATTGACAACGTTATACAACTACATTTATAGTAATACACTGCTTTTGATTACTGTGGTCTTCTGCATAACGCTTTTTGAATGTGTGAAAGTTGCCTTTGATACTTTTTGGATACAAGTGAAGAAGGTTGGCAGCAATGTTCTTGGATTCACTCTTGATGTTAAGGTCGTTGACCTTATGACGCCACCAACAATTGTAAGGATGTTGTTGATAGTTGCTGTTCAAGAAGTCGATAAGCATTTGCTGAAATGACACAAAATCACAAGGAATAATGCCGATAAAATCAGATGAAGCAAGGTGAAAGTTGATCGTTTGTGATGTTTGCCCGTTCACGAATTGCTGCAGGAGCCACAATGCATTCATGGGCTGTATGGTTTTTGACGATTACTGGGCTTCGTCACAGCAGTGAAAGCAGGTATTCCAACATGTGATACTGGATCTTGATCAATGTCCTTATAGCCTTCGGACTGCTGGATCTGCTTTGATCTCCGTTGTGAAACAAAACGAGGGCTGCTGTTCATCACGCTTGTACAAGAAGAGGTTGTCTTGCTTGAATCCAATGCGGTAGTGACACCGTTGTAGTGTCCATGAAAAATCACGTGTACCCATCATCCAGGCATGTATCCTTCGTTACTATCCAATGTTAGTTTTTGGGTTCTTCTCAGAATAAACACAACCCTTACCGAGTATCACTTACTCTACACGTCTCCTATAAACCAGCAATCCATACACGACACCTCAATCTTGTATCGCTTTGAGCATCCATCTTGGCCTTGAATCGTATCAACACATTGACGTCACGATCATCGCTTTTCCAGCGAACAAGAAGAGGATGTGTGAGCGACATAATTACTTGTCTGCCGTGATGCGTCTCCATATATTGATATATCTCCTCACTATCTTCCCATCTTCTTGAAATGCATCTTTTTTGGTTCTCGCTGGAGAAATGACCGTAAGGTAGCAGTAGCTTCATCCTTCTCCCCCAGGCTTTGCATGCTGTCGACAGATTTTGATCATCATCAAGCCAACTTTCACCAGCCCCCTCAGGTATGTGCGCCTTCATTGGATTCAGTAAACGGTGATGCTTTTGGACCGCAACATGTCGCATCGCACTTGCAAAGAAAAACACGCCTTCGTTCAAGCCGTGTGCCAAATCCAACCATTGAATCTTGTCATCAACGTTGAATATGGATATGCAGAGCTGGAAAGTGCAATCTCAACCCCTTCAACAACGAAATCATATGTTGCCATACGTGTAAGCCATGATATCACTGGCAGGTTGTGCCGCCTAGTCCAACTTTGCATATGCATCTCGGGAGATCACTACATAAAAAGGAATGTGAGTATGAGCTTCAGCAAGCAAAATGGTTAGGTTTTACCTTGATAAAAGAGCCAAATTCCCCACAATAACAATGAAAGTCCTTTCTTTGGATAGCTCGGATCGTGTCTCTTTGCCTCCGTTTCCATCGCTATCACTTGAGCCTCGTCATCATGCACAGCATTGCACCTCTCGAATAATAACAAAAGACTAAAGATCATCCAAATATGAGTACATGGATCGATCACAAAAAGGACTATTCCACCATGGTACTTACCAAAGGCATTGAAGTTGTCAGGAATCAAAGAGTAATACGATAGAGAAAAGAGATGTGTGGGAGTAAAACGGTGGGCAACAACATTCATCTTGTTGATATCTGGACGGTGGGCGTGGGGAATTCTGTGACCACAAACAAAGAGGAAAAAGTGGTAGGGAAAGGTGATGGGCTGATAAACTGGTGCGGCGCCTTCATCAGTGATAAGTCTGAACCTGATGTGATTGATTGCTGCATCCAAGCGTCGCCTTGTGTGATAGCACTTTTTCACAGGTTGTATCTTAATAAATGTTGTCCAACTCTCGCAAAGAAAGAGATTGCCGCCCTTCTTTTGGTAATCGGTCATACACGAACAGAGGACGCATATTTTGATTGGCGTTGGTCATGGCAAGTGAATTGCGTCGATTTTTGCTTAAGCAACATGGTCGTCTCCCCGAAACAGTAGAATGCCATGATGACGTCTTTGAAGTGTTCTGTGATAATGATAATATAGCCTAGGAAGACCTTCTGGATCCTGCAACATTAATATACCTTTACGTGAATTTGCACGTGACCATTCCGGAATGAACACTTTACCTCAAGGAATTTCCCACTAGCATCCTTGCCTCAAATAAAAGCAGTATCTCCAATCGATCCAGTATGTGCTGTTGCTGTTTCATTGTAAGGCTCATTAATCAATAAGTCTTGCGTTGTTATCCAATACCATGCGTACCATTTGGAGCTAACAACGTATAACATTCTTGCTTTGACATCAATCTCTTGTTGCTGCCACAGGTACCATAATCCAACGTATTCAAGCTACAATAGATGCAATGTAAGAAGACAAAGATAGCATTCGCTTTTCGTGTAGACATACCCAAAGTAACAATGGGTTGGAACATCTCCTTGGCAACAACCATGGAAACAACACACAGGACACACGACACCCCTTGGATCTTGTATGAGCGAGAGAACACAAAACTACATGTCAAGTAGTATGTCAAAGACCAACTTGAATAATAAAGCAATGCAGCGATTGAACGTACATGTTGTAGTACTGCAATGGGAGCTTGGGTCATAGCTAGATCGCACGCGTACTTGTTGTTGAATGTCTGGAACTGGACAGTGTCGCCATTGACCACCTGTTCGCCCAATCGGTGCTGTCCATTGAAAGGATTGCCGGCTGTTAATGTGTTGTAGTTTGTAAATGGAGACAAGCTTACCTTGCTTTGTGAAGCGGGAGTGAAGAAGAAGGGTGTCTTTGTTGCTCCTCCCACTTCCCAATTTGTGGACAACACGCCACCCAGCTTGCTATAGTTGCTGTTGTAAATATGAACCTCAACAATAGCCTATACACTTGGGTCAATAATAGCCACAACCACTCGATCTTGTAATTAAGCTATACATCTTTTACTTTGGCGGGATTGGCGTCTATCAAGTCCGTGCGCTCTTGTAACTTATGCAAATCGACTCCTGGATTTGTGCAACTACTGCATGACTCCCCTACCAAACATACAAAATGCATAATTCATTGTCATTGTCATTGTCATGATGAATAGCTTTTTCATGTTTGGATGCTGTTTACGTACTTCCTAAAGGCAATCATCATTCACTTATGAAGCAACCTGTCAATGACGCGTACGTGTAACCACCACGTGCTGTTTCACTCAGCTCTCCATCTTTCCGTCAATGCAGTCGACACCATCCACAAGGAGAACGCAACTCCATCACGCTTACAGCATAAGCAAAACATAAAGATGTCCGTATCTCATGATTTTACAATGAAGCGTGGGGTCTTTATTGGAGCAATGAGCTCGGCTTGGCCAACAGCACCTTGTGTGAAAGTTTCACGTTCAATGTCGCAAACAGCCCAAAAAATATTTTTTTGGTCGTCGTCGTCGAAGAGGTCGACCCCCAGATCCAGTTTGGCTGGTAGCGATATTTGCGAAATCTGGGATTGGCAAGCTTGATCGTGAAACTTTCACACAAGGTGCTGTTGGCCAAGCCGAGCCCATTGCTCTATTCAAAACCCCACGTTTGATTGTAAAGTTTGAAGATACAGGCACCTTTACGTTTGTAAGCGTGATGCTATATGAGAAGTGGTCTTTGTTTAATGTAAAGTAGCTAGATCTTGACAGAACAAAAGATGCAGAGGGACGTGTTTGTGTAACAGAGCTACTTTGCATGACTGGAAGGATTGACGGATTATACTTTATGGTCTACCCACAATAGTCCATATATTGCGCGCTATCAGCCATTTCCTCACAATCAGCGTTGTTGCAAAATCCACTGCATGTGAACGATTCTCCTGATCCAGCCGAGCATTTCCATCATTCAAGTTTCTTGATCCGAGCCGATTTGACTGAGCTACGCTGGAACAGCAAACATGAAAATAAATGAATCGCAGACCCTGCGAATGTCTTCGTCTTTCAAACTTTTGGAAGATCCCATTCCAAATTTTCAAATGAAGCATGAAGTTTTTATTAGAGGAAGTTGATCAGCATGCTCGAGAGCACCCTTCTGACCAATTTTCAAGTTGGAGGTGGGCAACTTCGGGGCGGTGGACCGTCCGCTCTTTTGATCCCATCATCCACCATTTGGATCGCCCCGCATTTTAAATCTTCACAATGAAGTCTGCGACTTTTAAATGAATGAAGTTGATCAGCATGTTGCAGCGAACCTTCTGACAAAGTTTCATGTTCGAGATGGGGAATCCCAAGGTAATACATACTATTTCCATAGATCATGAATCCGGCGCTGCCATGCTTTCCGATCTCCATAGTAAATCCCACATTGTACCCTCCCATTCAATATTTTTAAATGAACATGAGGTCTTTTTTAACACAATATTGATCAGCATGTCCCAGAGCATCTTGTGTGAAAGTTTCAGGTTCGAGAGGGACAATCTCAATATCAAAGTTTGAATGTACAATGTACATGTATTCATACAAGAGGTGTCCGCCTATTTAATTTCCACTTCTTCCACTCACACTTTATTCCCTCTTCCTCCCATTCTCAACTGTTGCCCATTCAAGTATACAACTACCACCTGCAAACGATTGTCCTGCTTCAACCCATCATGTCAACCCTACGATTGTCTTGATCGGAAAGCCATTGACTGAATGGGCAAGTCCATGGCGTGTACACCCCACTACACCAACACGCGAGTTTCTTGACACCACACCTTCTCTTGTACACCCCTCTGCCGCGACCCAACGTAACAGCATTTGCCATTAGCGAGGTCCTTACTCCATTGTCTCAAGCTACATGCAGCAATTTGCCTTGCAGTCCTTTTTCACGTACACAGCAGATAGCCATTGTACAGAAGCAGCTTTATTTACGCGTAGCAACTTGCTTTCAATACATACGACTTCTTATGGACATATGGATATTACTTTGGTGCATGGGATGGAAGGAACTGGTTATCGATTGGGTTGGTTCCCCTTGGCCTATTTGGAACGTGATGCTTAGTTTCGATGGCACCCTATCAACCACACAAGCAATCTTCACCTTGCTGAACTACGATAGAAAATGACAAAGTAAGAGGTAGACCAGCAGCTAGATGAGCAGCGATCACAGAGGTTCCTTCTATCAAAATATAGGACTTGCAATGGTCATGATGGATGGTTGCAATCAAGTGCAGTGATGAGAATCTTGGAATGTTGCTTTGGTTGCTAGGCGCGTCGTCAGCAGGAACGATGGATCGTGTCACGTGGATACAGCTGAGGATGATGATGGATGGCTGAAAGGTGGTTTTCAATCACTCCGACTCAATACTCCATTATGCCGACCACTTTATCAGTTCAATCAATCATGACAACAATTCCCACAGCCACTCACATATAAACAAGGCTGTTGTCACCAACACTATCATTCGCCCTTCTTTCTACTTGTATTCACCTCATCAATCATCCATGGCCTTGGTAAGTCTCAACGATAGTCTTTATGTGATTCCCAAAATGAGGGTACTCATACATTCATCTAAATAAGTCAAGACATTTACATTCGCTATGTCCAGTACACGTGGTGGTGGGGGTACGGACATTTCGCACCACGATTGACAACTCCTTTCTTTATCAACGGCCGTTCAAGAACAGTGATTAAGATATTGTTGTGTCAGCGGGCAGCTTGGGCAAACGAGCAAATGAATTTCATGTTGGATGGTTTTCAGCTGAACCTCTTTCCGCTCCTCGACCTATTTCCTTGGGTTGATACGGTCAACACCAGAAAGGCAGCATTAAGCCAACTATATGAATACCTTTCCAGCACCAAACCTTTGGTAGCCACTGGCCTAGGAAAGCACTCATCATCAGCATTGTTTTCCAACCTTTTGCATCATCATGGCTGTGGACATCGTCCGGAGGGGTTTTCATACATCAAACAAGTTGCCTTACCTCGTTTATGTCACTTTGTCGATGATGAATGGGTTGAAACAAGCGACATGGGCCGCATTCTTTACTATTGCAATGTTGATCCCGGATACGAGAGATACGGTGAACGCTCAATTGACCTACTCGAGTTGATGGATATCACCTACAAATGAGCCCCAAAACTCCTATCAGACTAGGCATTCTTTAATATATAAATGATAGTTGTACCTACCACAAAGGATCCCTCAATAAACACTCAGCCAAATGTCATTAAGCAGCAATGAGCACACCAAGTGGTAAAGCAATGATGTGAGCTAAAAAATGATGAATGCATGAGTTACCCTCCTTTTGGTGAGGAACACATAAAGACTATCATTGAGACTTACCAAAGGCCACTGATGATGATGTGCATACAAGTAGAAAGAAAGGGCATATGGTGGTGTTGGTGACAACAGCCTTGTTTATCTATGAGTGGGAGTGTGTATTGTTGTCACGATGGATCCAAGTCGAAAAATCGCAGCTGATAAATCCACCCGCCACATGAAAGGTGATTTTTATAGGTGACTCAAGTATGTCCATTAAAGAAGTACCATGATCACGTATTACTTGTTGTGCTCAAATTCCACAAAATAAGACGTTGTTCGAGGAGGAGTGTTCGTGATGCAGTAATAGCTGATGATTTATTCCATGTTTACATCTACCACTTTGACGCATCCACCTCTACTATTATCAAATTGTTGTATACATCAGCCATATTGCTAGCAGTTGATAAATCAACTTGATATGCACGATCATTGATCCCTTGGATTTTTACTTGAGGGCGCATGCTTGCCATTCTCTTCTTGAGCGGCGGGATGAGCTTTTCAAGGTGGGACAAAAACTGTTGCCAGACTTTCTTGGGATCAGTCATCCTTGGAATGTCAAAGGGGATTACACCCAATACACCATAGACATAGTCAACTGGATCCATACATCGTCTGGGAGACGTTCCAAAAGACTCAATCACATCGACGATACTCATTGGATCAAACTCGACCATCCTGTATGCGCTGTAACATTTTGCTCGTCTCATTTCCTCCATGGGCCCTGATACAGCGTCTATCTTTTCCAATGCAGAAATTTCAATGTGCCATTCCTTGTGGATTCTTGATAGGTCCAAGCTTCGAGTCTTTACCGCCTCAGAAATACACGCTGAAGCGGTCTTTATCTTGCTCAAGACAGCATTTTCTGTTGAATGAATTAGTACAATGTTGTCAGGTGTTTTTACGAATCGTACCATTAATTATTTTGATACATGTATTCCTCAAAGGCAATAGCATTCGATCAAAGGTAGATACATCATTGATATGGATTATGTCGTTTTCAGATAGATGAGACGCAGTTTCAGCTATAAAATACAAGCCTCTTCCTAGTGGTAGCACCATTTCTTGCCATGTCCACACACGCTTCCACCACTGACAATTCGTGAACGTATGAAAGTGATCAATGAGCTGCAGATATCGATCAATGAGTTGTCTGGGAGAGAGGTTTCCGAAAACAACAAGCTCATTAAATTCATATTCCTTGTCCTTCATCATACAAAGTTGTGATATGACGCTAGGCTCACAATCCATCATAGCATAGCATCGAAAACAGCAAGCATAAATATCTCCCATAATATCCAAGGGTGTGTCAGTGCGTGCACATAACACATCGATCCACCAGTAACTATCAGGATTACGTCCAAGGAGACTAAGTAGGGTGGCACGCTTTTCAGGTCGCATAGATATAGGCTCAGCTGGTTGCCCATTTTCATCATCCACATAGTCCCCAATCTCCTTCCACAGGTACCGATTGCTGCCTGAGACTCCCCAGAGATGCGATAATGCATAATAAGGTGATGGGTTATATATCGCTGCATTCATCCTTTGTATCATGCGTTCTCGGTGGTACGAATCGGTGGCAGGTTTTACAATCTTCATTTTGTTGGCACCATTTTCTGGAACGTACACTAGTGAAAAATGCGGATGTGATAGAAGGGTCGCAAGTCCTTGTGCAAAAAAGTCGCTATAGATCCTCCAGTTCTCTTTCAAGTCCACATTTATCTATTCAAAAGGACAACGCATGAACATAGCTCTCAAGATCATTTACGTATTCGTTATACTCTGCAAGGATCAGCTGTATCAGATGTCATGGTGAGTTAAGGGGGTCAAAAAGAAAGTGTGGGAAATGGGAAACGATGTTCTCATTATGTTTTGTATCACAAGCTGGGTATGTACAGGTATTTGTGTTCATTCAAGATGCACCGTCCCAATAAGAAACTAGGAAGCACTTTGATCTATGGGGTGCGTGCTGAGCATGTTTGTGCTCGCTCAGTGCATCTGTTTTATACGTACATCATGTGCATGTGAAAAGATGTGTCGATGCATAGTGTGTCAAAAAGATGGTCGTAAATGGTTGACAGGTTGCACGGAGGATAGTGATTGTAGCTGCCATGGAAACGATGATTGGATGCATCAATGGTTCAGGATAAAGGCATCAACATCAGGTGGGCAATGGATATCCACGCATTGTATTCGTGTGTATTAGAGTAAACAAAGCATGCTAGTTTCATGACAATGGAAAGTTTTAATTGGCGTTGTCATCCCTGAGAAAGATAAAAGCAATGATCCTAATTCTACTACTACTCATTAAATCAGCTTCCCAAACATGGTATCCATCTTCTCTCTAGAATGCATAGGCGTAGAATGATGGCGCCGTACGAACAGAGGATGCATATTCAATCCAAGCAGTATCGTGAGACGCACCCATTTCCGCTAACACAACAGGATCGCTTCCTTTTGACGGTACACTACATTGGCTTCCTTGACGTGCTGCAGTGATAGAAAGAAAAAACCTGCCACCTATTTCTTGTCGTAAGTCCACTTGAATCCAACCAATCCCAAAATGACCTCTTTACTACCTTGAAGCATCCTTCAATACCATCATTGGTGCTGCAGATAACCTCGTATGCAATCGATCCAGTATGTGCTGCTGCTGTTTCATTGTAAGGCTCATTACTCAGCAAGTCTTGCTTTGTAGATCCAATACTTCTCGTACCATTTTGAGCCAATGTATAGCATTCTTGGTTTGACATCACTGTATTGTTGCTGCCACACGCACCATAATCCAATGTATCCAAGCTACAATAAATGCCATGTAAGATAACTAACAAGGATAGCATTCGTTCTTCGTGTAGACATACCCAAAGTAACAATGCGTTGGGACAACTCCTTGATGACAACCATGGAAAGAATACACGCGGCACACGACACCCCCCTTGGATCTTGTATGAACGAGAGAACACAACACTACATGTCAAGTAGTATGTCAACGTCCAACTTGAATAATAAAGCAATGCAGCGATTGAACGTACATGTCGTATTGCAATGGAAGCTTGAGTCATGGGTCGATCGCACGCGTATTTGTTGCTGAATGTCTGGAACTGGAAAGTGTAGCCATTGACCACATGTTCACCCCAATGAACGCTGTACATTGTAAGGAATGCCAGCCGTTAATGTGTTGTAGTTTGTAAATGGAGACAAGCTTACCTTGCTTTGTGAAGTGGGAGTGAAGAAGAAGGGGCTCGTTGTTGCTCCTCCCACTTCCCAATTTGTGCAGCACACGCCACCCCGCTTGCTACAGTTACTGCTATGGAGATGTACCTCTACAGTAGCCTATACACCTGGGTCAATAATAGCCACAATCACTCGAGATTGATACTGAACACATTCCTTGTAACTAAGCTATGCATCATTTTACTGTGACGGCATTGATGACTACTGGGTCCGTGCGCTCCAACTTATGCAGCTCGACTCTGGATATGTGCAACCAACACATGATTCCTTTTAATCCTGAGCACACAACCCTTGGATGGAGTGAGTGATAAAGAAGGAATTGTAACACGATCACGGCACGAAGATGGATCCACCCAAATGCCAAAGCAATTACCATGTATCTTAGCTTTATGATCGACAAGCCGTCTACAAGGGTGACAAAAGGTATGTATATTGTTCCTACAACCCAATCGACACCTTTCACGTGCCAATCTATAATAAATACTCTTTCATTGTTAATCATGCATATATAATGATGTTTGATTATGAGGCTGATTCTTGCATTCTGATCCTGTTTCTTTATTCATATAGAACAAGAATAGCCTTTGGTAGGTAAACAAGTGAGCTCAAGTAAATACACTTATACTATGGTGGGGTTATGGGATAGAGATGACAGTTGATGGTATGATGGACGTTGATCAAGCTTCCTATCGATCCAAAATTCAGGAGAGACCACAGTCAACAAGAATTATGGATCATACTACTTTATCCATGACTCCATGTGCGCGTATGGCGGCATATGGTTTCGCTCAAGGAGCTCCCAATTCAGATGCACGTAAGAAGCAGGTCCAGAGAATGTGGAAAAGTCATTTACCACCATTGCATATGCATATTTCACGAGACAAAATGGATCAATGGCGTCAATGGGCGAACACGTTACAAAAAGGGAATTCATTTCTTGCAAGTGCTATGCGACATGTTGGCATGGCAACGCATCATCCTTTATGGAACTGCTTGAAACCATACATGGCGCCGGGTACTAAAGTTGATTGGCTTTATGATGAATCCAAACTTACGAAAGCTTGTCTTGCTTGGGGGTGCATCAATTAAGCAACATTTTGCGATGACCATTGTTCTAGCAACAACGAAAAGCGGGAAGTAGCAATACGATGGTGGTGAGACGACGACGACAATGAAAACTTGTATGCATACATGGTCGTGAATCATATGAGACTGGTGACCTTATCATTGTCACATCCCCTATTGATACCCCAAGACCATAGCTACCGAAAACAGTGCATTACCATTGAAATAAAACGTTAGCAATGTCCTTGTTGGATGTCATTGTTATTAGCGAACAATCAAAAGTGATGTTGGTGTTAAAAAACGATACATGCATGATAACCTTCGTTATGGATGAATGGCTGCTATAGGGAAGTTGGAATCAAATTTGGGTTTCTAGGTAGGAACGAGAAGCAAGAGTATCATAGCTACAGCATGTCTTATATAGGCTTGACTTGTCATTGGATGATGATGATTGAAGAGCCACGGCAATTGTTTGCATATGATTAATGATACAATATCAGGAGTAGGTTTATTACTTCATGACAAGGAATGGCGACGTGTCAAACAACAGGTGAGCTTGTGCTTGGGGCGGTGGGGGAATTAAAAAGAAGGGCAAGAAATGGTCAGCAGCCAAATAGCTTTTTCTTCTCTTCCCCATTGCGTTGCCGACACGAATCCCCATTTACACCCATCCTTTCACAGCACTGACACATGGCAGTATAGCAATGCGATTTGTTCAGCCTTGGGGGTGTCCAATGCAGAGGAGCGACATTGCAAGTGTATGCAACCAAAGAGAGACAACTTATGATGGACAGCAGTATCTTTATCAAAGCAGTAGCATGAGATGATGATTGTACAGGTTTTCTCTATACGACATGGACTATACGCACAACGCGCATCCAGCTTCTCACTACACGACATGGGCTACGCGCAAGCGCCTTTAGCAGATCTATTATCAACAAACGAGCAGCCATTCATGCAACATGGCCCAGCAGTGCGACCTCATCCTTTCAATCACCTTTGTCGCGCACAATAATGTAGAAACGAGTCGTTACAAGGGACGTAGCAGCATTGTGGTAGAATTTAGCACAAGCGAATAAAAAAAAGACAACGTTTTGATCGTAAAAAATGCATGCGCCATTCCTATCAAAGAAAAGAGCGTTTACGATGTGTTGCAAGGTGCCACCAATCCTTATACACAGTACCATGCTGGATTAGATTTTCGAGCGCTGCCACACCGGCATGAGATCACCGTAGTAGTAGAGATCATCCTGTAGTACGTTTTGCTTCCTCAGCTTCAAGATGATCAATAAACTTAGTGTGTGGCACGCGCTACACTGACTTCTGGTAATACAAAAGCAAAAGAGATATTGCATGTCCTCGGATATCGCATCCATCATTGTCTGTGCTGCATTGGTCAATATCACGCACGATGATTCGATCATCACATCTTGCAGCTTGCATGCATCCAAATGGCAATGTAATAAGAAACACCGCTCATTGGACAACGTCGTATATATAAAATGGCCTTTGAAATTGTAAGCCAAAAGAACAAGTAGCATGACAACCACCGTGAACCGAATAGATGGACAAAGGTATCATACAGTAATTAGAGGAGGTACTCATTTGATTCGTAAGGGATGTATAGACGGAGTTGAGAGCAAATGAAGCTAACTTGCAGGATCCCAATCTTTTTTAGCGGTTTTCTCTTCCTCTCTCCTCATTAACACCCCTTGTTTCCCTTTTTCTTTCTTGTAATCCACACACCTTTCTCTCATTCTTTTTCTTCTTTTTCCTTTTCACACCCCACCCAAGCCTTCCTTTCCATCATCATCATGCGTCTTTCTACGGTTGCTCTTTTCGGCCTTTTAGCCACCGCTGCTCAGTTTGCAAAGGCAGATGATTTGCAAGACGAAATTGATCAAGCTCAAAAAAAGTTTTGTAACGGTAAGGTGTCATCATCATCATCCTATTACTTTTTGCAACCTAACATGCGGGGTGGTACTACTTTTATATAGGTCTGAGCGTGTCAGCTCCCACTCAAGGACAGGAATTTAGCGATGCCACCAAGGTCACTGTCACCGTCGGTATGTGATGATGATTCTACTTGATATGGCAGCAACAAATCAACTAAGCCATGTGTGTAATATTATATAGATCGTCAACCTGATTCCGAGGCCAAGGTCATTAACGGTGTAGATGTACGTGTCGGCTCGCTTTAAGGGGCAATTGTTTATCACCTTGGAGACGCTGCTCTATTTTTGACACTCACATACACTTTTAAATTCTAGATTTACTCGATCGGAAACGATGGCACACCAAAGTACCTTGGTACACCTTGGAAGGGCTCGTATGCACTCAACACCCAGGCCACCTTAAAGTAAGTCATCCTCATGATTGCCACGCAACAACAACAACATGATGAGGCCAACACTTTTTCACAATTATCAGCGTCGATATCACAAAGACACAAGGCGTGCAGCTTCCTTCCCAGTTCAAATTCCGGTAAGTGCTAACGATTATGAAGTGATCACCTTTCTAAACCATTTTCAGCGTGTGGGTCCACAACTCGCAGTCAGGTTGGTATAATAATTGGGCAAAAGAGAATCTTACTCGATATGGTAATTTCCAGTTGTGCTAACTTTTGTGTGTGTGTGTGTGTGCTGCAGGTCCCGACTGTACCTTGATGTCCCAGGTAAAACATGAAAATGACAATCAACCACCACCATCATCATCCGTATTAAACCCCTATGATAGGTCTTTAAGGCTTCCTCGCCAAGCCACGACAATGCTGCCAACATGGAGGCATTGCAAAATCTCGACAAGGATGTGGGTCGTGGTTGCTTTGGTGTTGAATTGACCAAGCCTGCTTTGGGTGAAAAGATCGATATCAGCAAGACCAAGCGTGTCCCTGTCCATATCAGTAAGTGTGGATGCCTCTCTTCATTTTTCATTTGCATCAATGTTTATTTATATACGTATAATACAGAGAGTGATCCCATCTCCCAATTGGCCCAATACAAGTCGCTCAAGCTTTACAAGGTCAACCTCAAGGACCGCGAAACTGAGTTGGTCCAAGAGTCGTGGGATGGCCCTGAGGATGCTCATCAATTGTTCAGCATCAAGGACACCATCAAGAACGTCTCTGAAACTAGCCCCAAGGATGCCTACTTTTATCAAGTCATTGGTGTCACCGAGGATAAAGAGGAATGCACCTTCACCTCGCATCCTTTCTACCTTACAAAGTAAAAGAAAAAGTAACCAACATGTTTCTCCTCCCCCCTTGTTAACAACAACAACAACTCGGTTACTACCTAGAAAACCCATGTAGTCTCTCATTCTCTCTCTCCTTCCTTCTCTTACTCTTTTGCCCCCCTTCTTTTCTTGTATACCATAAACAATAACAGAAAACACAACCTTGTATGCTGTACGTGTGATATACAAGTTCTTTATTTGCAAAGAGTTGACTCGCTTCTTGTTCTAATGATTTGGGGTGTGCCTTAATGATGATTGGAGAATGCATGCATCTTGTCTAATGAGTAGTGGTGGTGGTATCAGCAGGTGGTGTCATTTTGTATAGCTCGCGTTTGTAAATGTAGTCGATGACAGGGTTCGGCAACAGATATTTGATCGACATGCCACGTTTCACAAACAGCCTAATATGAATCATGCGTTTCGGGATAAGCATATCATGTGTGTGGGGTTGATATCAGGAAAAGCTTACCTCACTTTGGTTGAGCTAATGTCATTGTGGATTAGCTGCTTAATAACGACGATATTCATCTACAAATAGAGCAATGGTTGGTCTATTTTTATAAAGACACATCCTTGTTTCCTTCCTTCCTTACCCTGTGCTGGTACAAGATATCGTGCGATAATAAAAATCCAAAAACGTCTGTGCCTGTGCGTTCAATAATGACACATCCATAGAATCCAACAATGTGATGCAACTATAAAAAAAAGAGTTTATAAGCAGGGTGTTGCCATGGCTACCATCACCACCACAACTTACATCTTCGGGTGACCATACACCTGGGTGACCAAAGGATGCGATCAAATCACCACCTGCCAACAACATGATCTTGATATTTTTTCTCTCGCCTGTGCTTGTAACGATACCACCAGGGATGGTTTCATTGGTCTCGGGATCGAAATGGTCATCGTTGAGTTCTTGATTGAAATGATCAAGGACCACGGCTGTGCGTTGATATCGTTCCTGCCGCGATTCCCATGAATCCACCATCAACCAGTCGGATGTCGTTTCCACTGCCAACTCGCACATCTTGACTCGATCCTTGGCTTCGGCAAGTCCATCCTTTCTATACGCATCGGCTACAGGCGAAAAGTAACCAGCGATAAGCTCGTACTCGTCCCGTTCCTTAAAGTGGTCCATGGCCATTTCTATATACTCATCCTTGTCAATACCCCCATTCTCTCTCAACAAACATTCGTGGGCCACTGCTTACCAAACATGCGCAAATGCAAGTACGTAATGGGAGAATAGGAACCACATGCAATAAGCACAATGGGGGTCTTGGTTTCGTCTATGGGAGGGACTCTTCTATTCAATGACACTGACCGAATAAACACACTTGCATCGCGCACGCATGCATACCTTTCATGACCTTGGGCAAGTGCTTGCGTGGAAAGACATAGGGCTCGTCAAACTCACTCTTTGGTGAATGCTTCAAATTGGCACGAAGGACAGATTGCATGAGTTTGGGACTGGACATGGTGAGTAAGGCCGATACCAGCAAGCAGGGTGGAACAACGCCGTACAAATATGTTGTAGTGGGTTGCTATTTGGCCATGTGATCTTTTTGCAGAATTATGCTAGCTAGGCTAAGCCCAACCTTTTATTATGCCAACAATATAAAGATGATTCTAGTTCAAAATGCTTACAAGTAGTGTGTTAAAGGGTATTGGGTTGTTCTGAAGAAGAGGTAGAAGAATCAGGGAACAAAGTAGTAGGTGATTTCTATTAGTAGAGTCATCAGTAAAACCATGGAAGCAGAATTTTAGACGAGTAAACTACACATACCTTAGGACGTACGTATTCATCATACACGGTTGTTTCAACAAAAGGACGTTCTCCCAACAATTGCTCCATATCCTCTCGTGTAATGACTTCCTTGTCCAATAACAACCTTGCTACCTTTTCCACATCCGCCTTATGTTTGGTCAACAGCTCAAATGTACGAGTGTAAGCATTATTGATAAGCGTACGGGCTTCGCTGTCAATGAGAGCACCGGTTTGTTCTGAAAAGGGTTTCTGGAATTGTTGGTCTCCTCCTTGTGGATCAGTGAATGAAAGTGGTCCAATAGTGGGGTTCATGCCATACGTAGACACTTGTGCATATGCCATCTTGGTAACCTTTTGCAAATCATCATGTGCACCGGTTGTGATAGTATCGAAAAAAATCTGCTCGGAGACACGACCGCCAAGTGTCATACACATGCGATCAAGCAATTGCTTTTCGCTAAAGAGGTATTGATCCTTTGGCAAATATTGTGCATAACCAAGAGCAGCCACACCACGAGGGATAATGGATACTTTGAGTAATGGATCGGCATGTTGGAGGTACCATCCACAAACAGCATGTCCAGCTTCGTGATAAGCAACCGTTTTCTTCTCCTCAGGTGACAAGACACGTGATTTCTTTTCCAAACCAGCAATCACCCTCTCAATGGCTTGTTCAAAGTCAACTTGGGTCACTTGATCCTTGTGGTGTCGTGCAGCAATAAGGGCTGCTTCGTTGCATACGTTACGTGCATCAGCACCAGAGAAACCAGGTGTAAGAGCAGCTAATTTACGAGCAAGTTGATCCACGTCTTCAGTCGTCTTTATCGGTTTCAAATGCACCTTGAATATCGCCACACGTCCTTCAATATCAGGCCGATCAATAGCAATGTGTCTGTCAAAGCGACCTGGTCGTAATAATGCTGGATCCAATACATCGGGTCGGTTGGTGCCAGCCAATACCACAACATGTTCATTCGAATCAAAGCCATCCATTTCAACAAGTAGCTGGTTGAGCGTGCTCTCGCGTTCATCATTGCCGCCCAATTGACCCCCTTTTCCACGTGCCTTGCCAATAGCATCGATTTCATCCACAAAGATAATACAAGGTGCATTCTTTTTGGCTGTTGCAAACATGTCACGTACACGGGAAGGACCCACGCCAACAAACATTTCCACAAATTCAGATCCTGATACGCTCAAAAAGGGGACACCTGCTTCACCTGCTGTTGCCTTGGCTAAGAGGGTCTTTCCTGTACCTGGAGGACCAGAGAGAATAGCGCCTTTCGGAATCGTTGCACCAAGACGTTCATAAGCACCAGGGTTCTTTAAGAACTTCACGAACTCCATGATCTCCTCCTTGGCTTCGTCAGCTCCTGCCACGTCTTTGAATTTGATCTTGACCTTTTGCTCTTGGTTGAACAATTTTGCACGACTCTTGCCAATGCCAAAGACTCCACCACCACCACTAGTGCCACCACCTGGACCCCGTTTCGCCATGTAATAGAGTGCACCAATGATCAAAAGTGTGGGTGTAAAGTGGAATAGCATGTTGACAATACCCACTTCACTACGATAGGCGACAGGAATATGTTCTGAACCAGGGATCCCAAGTTCCTTTTGTGCCTCCTCCATATGCCGTTCAAAACTTTCCACCGAGCCAATGTTGAATGAATAGATTTGTTGTGGATGAACACCTAGCGTTACTGCTTCAGGCCGTAAATGGACGCGTGCCTGAGTATGGTTGATCACATTCACGCTATCCACAACACCTTTTTCCAATAAAGAGCTTCGAAACGTTTGCCATGTAATTTCCCGAGCACCTTGTTCAGGTGACACAATCCAATTCCATAGAGCATAGGTGGTCGCTGCGGATACCATTACCACGGCAACATTCATTTGGGGTTGTTGCGGATGATGATGATGATTTCCTCCACTACCACCACCCTGTTTGCTTGTGGATCCTCCTCCTCCTCCATTGGATGATGATGATGTCTTGTCAAAAAACCTTTGGAGCGCTTTGGATATACTGAATGACTCATGCTTCTTGGTATTGTGATGATGATGATGGTTCATGCTTGAGTAACACCGCCTGCTTGTTGACCCGATGCTGCTGTTGCTTTGAGACAAGAGTAATGAGCAATGTCGCGATGAATGGGTTCGCCGAGTGCCTGCAAGTGCGAGTCGTGAGAGCATTTTTTGTTGTTTCAAGTGTGTGTGAGAGAGAGGGGATAAAAAGAAAAAGAGTAGAGTGTGTAAGGGAAACCATGGATAATAGATAGTTCGATAAAAATAAGGTTCGTGTTGCTGGGATTTTTATTCTCATGCTTTGGTGTCAATGGGAAGAGCTAATGAGAGAGAAGGGCGAGCGGGTGGTGGAGGAGGAGCATTGTCTGACAAGTTGGCAAGACTGATACCAATGATATAATGTTGTCCATGTCGTTTCATGCTGGGGATATCCCAATACAGCGTCAAATCCAAATCTCCAAGATTATAAAGACTCGGTTCTTCTGTCTCGTTTTGATGTGAATGTTGCGCTTGTACATTGCTCTGACGCCACAATGTTCGTGAATTCAAAGCAAAGGTCTTGAGTGGTACAGTGTCAAAGGGTATCTCAGCATCACCCTGAAATAAAAGTGTTATTTACGATCACGATCACATAGACTCATTGTTTACTTACAAAGGATAACTTGGTGATGTTCAACTTGGAAGGATCATGCTCACTCTCTTGTAACTTGCAAATCTTATAGTATGCAAAGGTCGTTTGTCGCATAGGAATATATGTTTTTGCTTTGACATCCTCTCTACATGTGTGTGTATGTGTATCGCCATTAGCCCCTTCAAGATTTTCCTCGTCTGATGATGTGCACACGCCCCCATTTACCTTGACTGCATTTGAATACTAAGTGGTACAACAGTCCACACTCGACTGGCTGCATTGAGCTGAGTAAGGTGAAATTCAGCCGCTTGTAAATTCTCCACCTAATTGGGTCGGCGGTATTGGGTTAATGAAAATTGCCTGATTTCTTTTACAGGGAATCAACAACACACATACCTCAATACCAAGGATATACTCTTGTGGTGTAGCTGCACTAGGCCGGGTGAATGCATTGATCTTGAGCGATGGAAGTACTTGAAGATTCACCGTATAACGCAATACACGATGTGCAATAGCTGGATTGTCTTCCTACAATGATAATTTTTAAATCATGCGATGAGCACGGACCAACTACATCACGCCATGTTTTTTCTTCTCCTACCTCTGATTGATAAGAAAACAAAAATTTGAAGGTATGTTTTCCAATCCGATCGCCACGTATCCATAAAGGTACCAGGGTTGTTTTACCAGAATGCACCACGCCCTTGTCATTCTCCTCATTTGGCAATGGCACAGACATCACGCTCGGATCATAAAGCTTATTGTCAAATGTCAATGTCTCGTTACCAGATGCCTCACCAGCTATCATTGAAAATACATGTTAATGTTGCATGCTACGCACACTCTCTCTCTCACACACAAAGCAACTCTTTTTTCTTCTTACCATAGATTTCCTTGTCCATATCCTCGGGATTACCAATGCAAATGAAGCTGGGATGACTTGACTTTAGCCGTAAGGCTGTTAATCCCTTGTTGCCCTTGTTGTTGATCTCCAATACGGTTTGTACGACCTGACCAGAAAGGATGCTTTCAGGTACGCTATGGAATGCGAGGTCGAGCAATGGCATGGGCGACGTGACAAGCAAATCCAGGGTGTGGTCCAATCCATAGGCCACCGATAAGCGATGTTCAAGGGTATCGTTGAGGCGTTTACCCTTTTTGATGATGGGTCGGAACGTGTGTACAAGATTGTTGAGCGTGTAATGAATGCCCTTGATGAGGATGGATCCTTCTTTTCGGGGAACAAGTGCCAAATTGACCTATATGGGCACGGCCGTTAATACTTCGTCCGTTGCACACACACACACAAAGTAGACTTGCCTGCCTCTTTTCCAATGGCTCAAGGGTCAAATTGGTTATCTTTTGCAAATGGAAATCACCTCCAAAGTCAAACACTTCATTCGAATCAGGTACTGGCGTGCCTTCAATCATGGCTTCGTATGCTTCAGCTTTGGCATCTCGGCTTTCTTTGGTTGGCTTCATGGATTCACGATGCACACACCCAAGGACGATATCATTGAGCTCGATCGGGACTTGTAAGGGATTGTGGAGTTCAATGTGTACAATGGCGGGTTCTATAATATACATTAAAAGAATGAATTGGAGGCAATAACGCGCGTGTGTGTAATAGTAAAACTCACCTCCCACAGCACACACCACCCGATTATCATCATGCTGTTGTAATGCCAGGGCTTTTTTCGATCCACTAAAGAATCCCTCGGCAATGTTTTCCTCAACCAATTCACGCTCCATGGTCATCCACTCTTCTTGATTCTCCGTGTGCGATTGTTCATTGGATAAAGTCACTTGAACGCATTGATCATTGATGACAGGCAATCCCAAATTGGGCATCGATTCCTTTAAAGGATCAATGCCTGCTTGGCTGGTGTATTGCTACACGGATGAGCGTTTGTGTGTGAGATATTGCAATGAATGCTCCCTTATATAGCCAACTTACGCGATAAATGAACATGAATTCACGAATATGAGCTGCTTGTTGCTGTGGTGTTTGCTTGTCATCCGCAAGAACATTCGCAAAATAGGTAGCGGCTTCTTCCAACAAGCCCAAATGGAAAGCTTGTCGTCCCAATGCAAATTGAATATGACTCTTGGCCACCGACCATAAACGATCCTCAAAGATAAGGGATGCCAGTTTGTAACATCGAAAAGCATGTTGACGTTGTAATGCCTTGCCATATCTGTGCGCTGCCATCACCACGTGGAATCCATATTTGCGCACCATGGGACGAGGGGCACGTAGGAAACAATGCGCTGCTTGTTCCAAGAATAAGGCCGATCGCAAGTCTGAATCTTCACCTGTCATGCGTACCAACGCTGTAGGCACTTCCTTCCACATACGATGCATCTTGAGTAGCTCATAGTAAATAACGGTAGTGCGCGTTGCTTGAAAAGGGGATCGACAACGGGCAAGATATTGTTGTACGGCAAGCTCAAAATTACGATCCACATCGACTTTGCTACGCATAGGCTGATTCATCATTAATAGACAAATGCCAATCATTTCCTATGGATTCCCAAAAAGTCAATAAGCTATCTACATCTTCTCCTTCTCCTTTCCTTTTTACCTGTGTGCCAGCATGGTATTTGAATGCCTTGTCGGTAGCATAATCTCGACGCACGGTATCGTAAATGGTGTGTGCAAACTTGTAGTCTCGGATCATGAATGCAAAATCAGCAAGCTTTCGCATTTGTGCTTCGGGCGCTGTAAATGGATAACTATCAATAGGGTCAATAGAGCTTCTTTGACATCACACACATACACTACTACTTACACCACGACTTGATTCACACCCGCTGGTACATTGGGTCCAGTAGCTGCAATTGTTTGCAATGATTGTGACGAATGGGTTCTTGACGATGATCCAAAGAGACGACGACTTGCTCCAAATAATCGACCTGTCAATCCACGTCTTGCTGAAGCTACTTGCTCGTTCCAATGTTGGATATTACGTTCCATGAACGGAATCAGACTCTGTACCACAAATTCACGCACCATGGCCTTGCACGATGTCACATCATCTGCTGTGAGATATCTTCCATATTGTACGGTGGATGATGATGATGATGGAGCATCATTATTCTCTCCTTGCATAATATCAGGTGTAACAATGCGATCCACCGATGTGCTGCTTTCCAAAGATACATTGCTGAGTTCAAGAGGTGTGGGTGAAGGAAAGGGGGGTGGTTGGGTATTGTTCAGGCTTTGTAATCCACTATTGCTGCTGCTAAGGTTGGATGATACAGAACTCGATCGTGTATGGGTGGATAGGCCAGACTCGGATGCTGCTGCCGATGTGATGTTGCTGGCATGTGTTTGGAGACGTGATTCGATCATGGCTGATTCAGCGAGTGATTCTTGCCATAGGTCACGAATGAATGGATCTGCATCGGGTTCATTGGGAACAACGTCGTCGTCAAGCAGGCTGGTGGTTGTATTGGATCTCGGTTTGGAATTGACGCGAAGCATATGGCAATGCAAGCCCAACGATTTTTGCACCTTTTCAAATGTTGCCTTTGCTCTATTCATATATGATTAATCCCCTTGTATAATCATTGAAATCAATCACTTACTGATCCTCCGACGTGGTATTTGGATCATGCAAGACAACATAATATCGCAGGATATTTGGATCAACAAAAGGACGATCGATGGTGAAGGAAGGGATGTTGGGATTATAGAGTTGAGTGATGGTGCCAATTGGATCAGGGTTGGAGGATGATATGGCGATGAAGACGGCGACTGGATGATCAAAGGTCTCGTGTTCACTGATGCCTCGTAATGACATGACAAGTTTTCTAAAATCGGCATACCAAGGCATTCGTTCATCTAAGCTTGCTATCAAAAGGATCCACGTTAATGGATGATGATCATTAAAAGTGCTGTGAAAAAGTACTTACTATCCAAATAGCCATCATTGACATCCCCTTGTGTCCTTATTTCATGCATCTCAGGTGCCTTTCGTGCTCGTACATGATCATCCACGACACCCATCACAGCTTGATGGTTAGGCTCTCCAAGCTTGTCAACGTGCCGAAACCGTACACTGAAATTGTCCACAGCAATAGGTATTCCTTGCCAATCGCGTGGAGAGACTATGACACATTGTGAGCATGGGGGTCATCGTTGGCAGGGATACACACACAACACAGACCTCGACCCTCGATGAGATTGCCAAAGGGTTTCAAGAAATCGGCAAAGGAAGGAATGTGGTTCTTTTGACATATTTCCTCGGCATCCTGGCTTGCAACGACGGCGACCAATGGAGAGAACGAACGAGCCAGTTCATCACGGGGTGTATGAGTCGACATGATCGCTGGTGATGGAGACCGCGTATCGGCGGCGGGGAGTGTCGGCAGCTGCTTATCCATCGACGACTGAAACAACGAGGTTGTTGTGCTGGAGAGGAAATCAAAGCGGGTCTTATCACAAGAATTTAAATGCTGCATACAGCGTCGATATAAATCCCATTCATATCACGTGTACCTGATGTTAATAGTATGCCCCATCACCTTACTACCACCATCGACAATGTACAAAGCACTGGAATAAATAGGCTAGATAATGGCTTCATATCTCGTTAAATGATCAACAATCGCCATGTATCAAATCACTGACTCTAATGTCACTATAGCAATAACGCGTCAAACTCATAATACATGCATCGAGTTGTTCTTGCATGACAAAGGACTAGACACAGTGGTCGAGCTGGTGGCTCAACAACAACGACGGCGACCAATTTGTCTCCGATAAAGTTGAAAAAGAGAGTGGGTGGCAAAAAAATTTTTGGGCGTGTTTCTTTCTTGTTTCCTTCACACAAATGTTCTTCTAAAGGTAAGCTTTCTTTCATTTAGACAGAAGGAGGGATGATGAGTAGCGTGAAGAAAATGATGAAGTATAGTATATTGGAGCTGTCAGAATGTCATTGTTGAGAAAAACTATACCGCAACAACTTTTCGACTGACTTCACGCTACACATCACCAAAGAGTTGGGGGGATGGAAGGTCTTGGGAGTATCACATTTACTCATCAACTATCCCTATAGGTAATTACTACTCGCTATAGTTCAATTTGGTCAACTTTTATAGAATAAAAAGACAATTCATTGTAATCCGTATTCTATTTGTGGCATTGCCCTCATTGTTTGATCTTTGTATTTCCTTGAGTTTTATGTATAGATCATGAATAGCGTACACAAAGAGACGTTACCTCATAGCTCAGCAACATTGTGTTTATCACGTAGCAAGCCATACATTGGGCTACTTTGGAATGCGTATGCACGTGAGGTTATAAAAGCGTCAGAGGTATGCAGCTATCCAGAACAAGAGCTATAGTTCATACATGCACATCTTATTCCATAAGACCATAAGATTTCCCTTGACATGTAATCATAGATTGGGGATGATACATAGTATGATGGTGCAAGTGATGTGATAGACTTTTCAGGATCGCGCCCTGTTAAATTTAACAGGAAGGCTCTTTTCCCAGCAATGCCGTTAAAATCAATGAAGCTGACTTGCATAAGCCAAAACCTTCAACACGGTGCGGGTATCGCCCTTTATTCAAAAACAACATGCTATTCGACAGCGACGATGAGACACTCCTGATGTTCTTAACGGAAGACGCGGACAGGGCCCGAATGAGACGCTTGAGAATTGTAAGGGAGCTACTGTTCGAAGACGATGAAGAAGACGAATCGACCTGGGCTCGAATGAGGCGATTCAGGCGACTTGGGCGCTTCGAAGACGACGATGAAGACGATGAAGACGAAGACGAAGAAGAAGAGGAGGAGTACGACGACCACGAAGAAGAAGAATACGATGACGAAGAAGAAGAAGATGAAGAAGAAGACGACGAAGATGTAGGGCTAGAGAAAGAGATGGCTCGAGTGAAAAGAAGGTGGGATGGAGATGAAGACCAAGAACAAGAGGCGACTCGAGTCAAAAGGATCAAAGAGGAAGAGCAAGAGTAAGAGACTTGTCGTTGGAAGTATCGATGATGGTGCTATTCATTCATAACGACGACGACTTTGCATCACTATGCTTACACGGCGACGAGAACCATCACATTGTTGTAAATAGCCTTAGGAGTCACGTGTATCTAGCTCGTTGATCATAGATACCACCATTTTTCTCTATCGATATATAAACAGCTTCTATAATTTGCACCATGATCTCTCTTATCCCAAATGACCAACAATGCCTGGTGCCTTTGAGTTTGCTGATATCAAGATCCACTAGCGACAAAACCAAAGAAAGCATTGACCGAATGTGGAGACCATATCTTATTACCAAAGATAGGATGTCTATTTTACTATACAAGAATAAAATGACCAACATCATCCATTTCTTTGTTCTAATGCGTCTTTTTTTTGTGCTACCGAAATAGCAGATAACGCGGATCTTAAGTCAATCGCTTATCTCACACGCTCTTGCAAAAAGAGATGAATGTTGCTGTTACACAAGCGGTGGCAAGGTGATTCAAATTGCACAATTTCTTGCTTTGATGATGTGGATGCATACATATTCTTCATCGTATCTAAGATTTGCATTATTCATACCGTTATATGGCGTCGTAGCACACGTAATGTGATGCTATCATCCACAAATGGCGCAATACGGTAAGGACATTTGCATATAACCTGGTAGCAGCAACCATATAAAAAAGTGGTTTGAAAGGTCATCATCGTCTTGTGAGAGAAAAGTAGATATGGCGACACCTGTTGACGTGAAATCTATATCCAAGACCTCGATCACCTCTAAAGGGAGCGATACCGTTGTGGTCAAGACACGCGAACACCCATACTCTGACACCTCTTCTTCATCGCTGGAGGCTGGCCTAAGTGATGATGATGACGACGAGAATACTGAAGGATACGACAAGACACTCCAATGGACCGAGGATGAAGAGCGAAGGATTGTTCGTAAATTGGATTTCCGATTAATGCCATTCATGTTGATCATGTCCTTTGTTCTCAATATGGATCGTACCAATCTTTGTAAGTGATCACCACATCAACACCACCTCCAACAGCAGCAGTTGCTAATAATGGGAGTTCATTGTTGCAGCCAATGCCATTTCAGATGATCTTGCAAAGGATCTCGGGTTCACCAATGATGGCGTCAACGTTACCATTATGGTGTATTCAGTGCTTTTTACCATATTCACACTTCCATCCAACTTTATTTCAAAACGTATCGGTGCTCACCTTTGGATTCCCATCATGATGAATTCCTGGGGTATTGTTACGTGGGCCCATTCTCTTGTTCATGTATGTGCCCCCCTCTTTTGGTTTTTTCTTATCGCTTGATACTCAACGACATCTTACATGGCTGATAGAACTATGCTTCATTTTTCGTGGTGCGTATGCTCATTGCTGTCACTGAAGCTGGTTTTATCCCTGCATGCCTTTATTACCTCACCGGATGGTACAAGACAACTGAACTTGCGACACGCCTTGCATGCTTTTGGGGCGTTCAATCATTTGCATCAGCATTCTCGGGCCTTATCTCTTTTGGTATTTTTCGCATGAGTGGTATGGGTGGTCTTGAAGGATGGAAATGGCTTTTCTTGCTCGATGGCATCTTTACCCATATTATTGGTGTTACCGCTTTGTAAGTAGTAGTGGGTGTGAAAAGTAGTGCTCAATGTAACCAGATATCATCCTATATAGCTTTTATTTACCATCACGTCCTTCACGCACTCAAGGTGTTTTACGTGGTCGCAAGGGATGGTTTGATGAACGAGAGACGAAGATTGCAGTAACACGGCTGATTCGTGACGACAAGAGCAAAACTGAACAACATTCTCGTATAACATGGGATGATGTCAAGGAGTGTTTTCTTGATACCAAGGTGTGGATGCATCTCATTGCCACTTTTGTTGGGTATGCTTTCACTTTACAATTGAATGCCAACAACTCACATCCTATGTGTAGATTCATGACTCAGACACCTACAACAACCTACCTCCCCACCATCATCAAAGATAATGGGTTTTCAGTGACCAATGCCAACCTACTCACCGTACCAGCTTACATCATCAACCTTATATTCTCAATCATTATTGCATGGAGCTCTGACCGACACGGCGAAGTCGCATTTCATGCCTTGATCAGCGTATTTTGGCAACTGGGTTCCTTCATTGCATTGCGTACACTACCAGTGGACGCGGGTCGATGGAGTATTTATGCAGCAGCCATGATGGCTGTTGCTGCACCAAGCTGGCATGGCATGCACATTGCATGGTTATCATCCAATGCAGCCCCTGTTGGCAAGCGTGCTTTGGCTCTCAGCATGATGGTTGGTTTTGCTAATCTTAGCCATGTCCCAGGTGCCATGTTTTACCGTAAGTAGTATCCATTTACAAGAAGCTTATTATTCAAATGCTTATGCTACTACATCCTTTTATAGAAACATGGGATGCACCACGCTATTACTATGGCAACACCATTTGCATAGCCCTTCAATCGGTGTTGGCTATTCTATTCCTCTCTCTTCGTTTCCGATACTCACTCACCAACCGCTGGCGGACGTACAAGTGGGAAAGGATGTCACAGGAAGAGAAAAAGCATTACATTCAAACCACAAAGGCAAAAGGCAGCAATCGTCTCGATTTTCGATTTAGGATTTAATCATATTTACAAAGAAGAAACGACTACTTTAAATCTTGGATCCTCCTCCTCCAGGGTTTTCAGTGACACGATTGGTCTTGAGACTATCCTTTTCAAGCACCTTGTCGGATGCTACATTATTGTATATTAGATACCAACCACCTTGTTGTAAGATATCAAAAGTAAAAACCTACCTTTTTCAGCTTCTTTCTTGCTCCAAAACCAGTAAACACCACCTACACCCAAGATGGCAGCACAAATAGGGGCGTAGTTGGGTCCTGTGCGCATCTTGACATTGGCATCTGGTAGTAGTAAGGTTGTCAGCTTTACTTTTATGGGATGCTATGACCTATTTCCTTTTTACCTTGCTTATCAGCTGCTCGTCGTAAAAGAGGACGACTGGATGATTGAATAAGGCGTACACTGCGTGAAAACATAGTCATTGTAGTAGTAAAAGAGAGAAAAAGAGGAATAGAATGATCCATGATTTGACACCAACAAGGGTATTTTATATTTGTTTTTCAGCAGCACGATGGCATCATTGTTATATCATTTGTTTAACAGATATGGAAAAAATATACATTCGCTCAAAAGATGAGTGAGGGTGCGTGTACAAACAACTGGTATACCACTATTAGATGATGTTAAGAAGGAGGAGGAAGAGGAGGATGGCTGGGTCTGATGGCACGAACAAATGCGGTGGTGGCAATTTACACGACAACCTTCTCTTCCTCCACACACACTTTTGACAACACGCCATGAGTTTGCTTCGCCGGTTCAAGGCAACTGACCTATTCGAATTCAACAATGTGTACGTTCTTTTCTTCATTCACGCTTGGTGAACCCTTTATCTCAACTGACTCCCCCATGTCACCACACGCTAGCAACCTCGATGTCTTGACCGAGACAGTAAGTTTGTTTCTTCTAGCTCATTGCTCGACTCGACGACCACCACCATTCTGATGACACTTGCTATCCCAAGTACAACATTTCCTTTTATCTACAGTACCTTGCTCAGTGGCCTGATCTCTTTTGCGTCCAAATGTCGACCCACGATCGCCTTATGGGATATGGTAGGGTTCTTGCAACAAGAGCACACACACAACAACATGATGAATGACGACGAATGATGATAGTGATGGGCAAGGCTGAAGGCACAGGCAAAAACTGGCATGGACACGTTACAGCTATTACCGTGGCACCCGAATATCGACGTCTAGGCTTAGCAGATGGCATGATGAATTTGTTGGAAGATGTATCCGAAAAGACGTGAGTATACACACACATACGATGAGAGAGTGAATACGATGATAACTTACATGTATCCATGGCCTTAGGTACAATGGATGGTTTGTGGATCTATACGTGCGTGTATCCAATGCTGTGGCGGTGGGAATGTATCGTAAATTTGGATACTCTGTATACCAGCGTGTCAAGAACTATTACACGGGAGCAACAAATGAGGATGCTTATGGTAAGTGTTGATTGATTACTACAAGGTCGATGGTATCCATGCCAACCAACGTGTGATTCAATTTCCATAGACATGCGGAAACCGTTACCCAGAGACACGAAGCGAGAAACAGTACGTGACAATGGTGAAAAGGTGCTGGTGCATCCCGAGGAACTCGAGCCATGGCGTTAGTCACCCATTGTACTTTAATTTAACATCCAAATATATATCATCTTTCAAGGCTATTTATTGTGTGCGTGTGTATATGGGTGCTTGTGGGACGATATCAATGCATGTGGATAAGGTGTCACCTATGTATACACAAGATAATCCCGCTGGGTGGTGGACATCTTGACGACGTTCCTTTTCTTTCATACAAATGAAAACTTGCCAGATCTGCCAAATCGAACCGAGCAAATACAAGTGCCCCACGTGCACCACACCATAGTACGTTATTGTGGTCCTCATGTGCAACACGATCGCTGACGATCTATCAATCTAGTTGTTCGATCGCTTGTTTCAAGCAACACAAGAGTAAGATCTCTCTCTCATACACATACATAGCAATGAGCCTCACCGTTTTACTCATTCTGGTTATAGCACAACCATGTGAAAAGCCTGCACCACCACAAGGTAAGGGGGAAGGGAGCGAGTGCGGGTGTGCCATGTAGTAGTGTTGCTTATATGTACATCTTTTTGAAGAAGAGCAACCGCATGAACGACGTCAACTACCCACTGATGATGCTGAAGAGGATGATCCCAGTCGACTTGGATTGGATGAATTGACATCAATAGGTAGGTTGCCATGATGAAAGGGTTTGTGTGGATGTCATGTTAATACAAGGAGGTAGGACATTCGAATGATGTTCTAAAGTATCTCGAAAACCCACGTATTCGTGAATTGGTATCGCATATTGATCGTTCGACGGATCCAGAAAAGGAGCTGACCAATGCGAGAAGCGAGGATTCCATGTTGGAAGAATTCATTCAGTTGCTTTTGCGAACGACAGGTCGAAAACGGGATGACGAGCAAGATTCTTAATATCACCAACAAGGAACATCACCTCCATCACACACATACACGCACACACGTATACCACAAGTTTAGCATCAAATCACACACACACACACACACACACACACACACACACATACCTCCAAATGATGGCCTGAAAAATCGACCCCAAAGACGTAGTAGTGGTAGTGGTTTATAAATGATCATCAATGTACAATAGAATCAGGGTGTTGTTGTTGTTGGATGTTTTTCTAATTAACATGAAATGGGTGGGAGGAAGATTAATGGGGTTGAGCGTGGGTTGTGGAGGAAGAAGATGCTGAAGCAGTAGAAGCTGAAGAAGATGTATCGGGTTGTCTCAATTGCATGCTTGCCTCTTCATCATGGATTGGTTTCTTGCTACGACCTCGAAACATGTGGCGTTTATGTTGACTCGACCTCCTTGAATCAGCAGGAGACGATGATGACTGCTGAAGGTGTTCGGGACCAAGATCGGCAGCATCGTGCATTTCACTTGTGGCACCTGTGGATGACCTTGGCTTGACAGGTTCCACAAAGCGTATATTGGAAGGCTCCATTGGATGTAAAATTGGCGGCTCATCCGATGGGAGAAACTCTTCTTCAGGGATATCAGAGGCATTGGATGATGGCATGTTGATCGTATAGTCCATGTAATTGTTATGGGATGATATCATTGTTTCACCACTCGTAGCCGAGTCTCCTCCTGCTTGTTGTTGTTGTTGTTGTTGTTGTTGTAATTGTTGCTGTTGACGATGTGCGGTGTTATATAGGGTATTGCGTTGAGTCTCGGTCATTGTGGACTCGGGACTTGACCTGTGTCGACGTGCAGAAAATTTGGGCAATTTCATGATCATTGGATTGCTGCTTGTGCTTGCAAAGGATAATGTTCTGCTACGTATGCGCTTTCCCAATTGGAACAACGGGATCGTTGTGCCGTGAACAAGCACCGATGATAGCACAATGAATAATACAATCGGATTAATCAGCCGAATAGGCACAGCATCTTCTTGCCCTTCAACTTTTGGGTACACTTGTTCGAGCTCTTCTTTGGCAATCTTGGATAAGAACAAAGCACCCACACCCATTGGACCAAACCATCCACTAAACAAGGCTTCACGATAAGTCTTCATGGCAGGCATCACCGGCTTGAGTAAGAGCACGATCGGTAAACGCCGAAAGATTAAGATAAGAATAGCAATTATCACCAGACGCCACCACGTCAACCCGAGCACGGGATCATGGAACTCGTTCCATGGCTATAAAAAATCATGCATCAGTCCCCTTTTTGCATTTTAAAATGATGGGGTGACAACTACGTACAATGACGGCTCCGATATAGACGAAAATAGACAAGTTGAGCATCATGTCAATGACGTCTTGAAAATGTGCCTCTTCGGTTTCTTTACGAAACCAGTCATCCCAGGAGAATGCATTGCCTGCAGCAAAACATGCCAAGACATCGTCACTTCCAGAAAAGCCCGTCATGCTCATCAAAAAAAGCTGCATGCAGATTCACTTTTAGCCTTTTATCCATGTACATATGCAAGCAAACCAGTTCAGGGGTTGCCACACACACACAGCTGTCGAAAAAAGAGACACTTACTGCAAGGGCGATCGCAAAAGATAGAAAAGAAGGTTTATCAATGAGATGGCTATCACGTAGGCACATGATGATTAGTTGACCCCATAGCGGCGGCGGATTTTGTTTGTTATGGTTACTTACTGCCGCTCAGACCACTGCAGCATTTTACGTGCAACGTAACCGACAACGACGCCGATAACACATGATAGGGCGATCTGAAATAGACATGTCTCATATATCCATTTACCTATGGCCTTGCCTACATGGTCTTCACCTAGCAAAAAGATGGCAAGAAACAAAAAGGGAAATCCCATCCCATCATTTGCACCACTATCGTTCTTTCCTTTTAGTAGTGTGCAACGTATTCAACGTACCCCCTATCTCTTTACATATCAAGGATGTACCCTTACCTTTCTGCAGAAAGAGCATTTCGTATGTGCGATGGTACATGTTTTTCGGCAAACCGGCCCTTGACAACGGAATTGGCAAGGATCTATTATCGCGTATATCAAAAAGTGAGACATTCCCATTATAGGGTGATGCTGCTGCATTCTGCTACTTACTGGATCGGTAGGGCATACACATGCTCCGATCACGAGTGATTCAAGCTGGATCAAAGAATGAGTTATACATAATCGGGACCTCCTCCTCCTCCTCCTTCAACCACCTCCCCTTTTTGTTGAAATATGAAAAAGGCCTGTGTTGACTTACATAAGTGATGGGTGGAACAAACATCCATACAATAAGACCACTGACGAGCCACATAAAGATCATGACTGGCATTAGTAGCATAAACATGGTCAACCAATCCTTTTTCATGTAATGCCTATAATAGCCATCGTTGATGATGAGTGTTACACGCATTTCATACGGACCTTGTCATTCCATTCGCTTTGCTCTCTTTTTCTCTCCTCCCCCTTTGTACGCTCTCACTCTGATTTACTTTGGCAATTCGATACCAACGGCCATAACCTAAATCATAAAAAGGTGGTTAATACATGTATGTTTAAAAGAGACGTATGTGGATTACCTGAATAGCAATGATACAGCGGGTTAATTGTTTCGTGATCTCATCGCTATTTTCCCAAGCGTATGGATTTATGCCATTCGTAACTAGTGGACCTGCAATTATTCCGATAATTACTGCAACGACTACAGCAATGAAAGGAGAACCATAATGTGAGTAAAGTGATACAGATTAAAGTGGGGGAGAGAGTATGTGTGTGTGTGTGTGAGAGAGTGAGGGGTCGCCGTCGTAGAGTTGGCTCCGATCCAGCGCCTCGAAACGTCGATCCCACTTTCTTTTTTTTTTCTCTTTCAACGGCTTGATGAATGTTGTCGGAAGCAACATCATCGTACTTACATGCTTCTGAGAGGAACATGCGTTCCTTGATAAACATGGACACATATCCGAAGAAGACGATAAAGCCGCTAAGAATAGCGACTGCAATAGTAAAGGCCGAGAACTCCCCAGGGATGAGATTGACAGCCATGGGATCAAAAGAAAAGACGTGTGATTAAGAAGAAAAAAAAGACAAATACAATGGATCGAGAACACGGATTCAAAAACAAGGCATAAAGAGGAACAAAAGAAGTTGCAAAGACAAGAGAGGGAAAAAAGGGAAAAAAGGGGATGTCATGGCAAGGAAAAAGTCTTTATTTGTTAAGAGATTGCAGGAACCGCCGCTTACATAGATTTGGGCCCTTGGAATTACAGCGGCCAAGTATCGTTATACACACACACAAACTATGGTGGTGGTGATGGTCCTGCTGCACACGTGCACTCCTTATTTTATGGATTGCTCTTTCTTTGACCAACATGAGATACTTGGCGTTTTTTCCCTTTTCCCTTTCTTTGTTTTCTTTCTTTACTCGGTGTAAAAAGAAATGAAGTCAATGCGTTGTTCGTATAGAAATGGTCGATTTGATGACCAGTACACCTTGGATCTAGAAGGATTTGTGAGTTGTTGTTGTTGCATGATCCCTACTACACACGCCACCTGTCATGCGACCCATCATCATTGACAAGCATCAATCCTATGTACGTACATTTTATTGTAGATGACTCGTCAAGAATTTGCGGGTGTCATGCATGCTTTCAATGCTGCCGCTCAACGTCATCCCCCACCGCCATCATTTACGTCAGGGCGGATGGCTACTTTGATTCTTTGTACGGGTGCAAGCATCTTGTGCTCTGTGGGTCTTGCCATTTACTATACGCATCATATTGCATTGCTATTGGGTATCCCGTTTTCATTCGTTGCCCTTAGTAGTATCCTCGTAGCATGGCGTCGGAGGCTCAAGGTTCAGGTAAAAAACAATAGCTGCATATACACACACACCCCTTTGTACCTTGCTCTCATCAACAACAATCGTCACTCATCATTGTATCATTTATCTTTCCAATCGCTCTGCTACTTCCATCATACGTACGTAGTTTGAAAGTGCTATTCTACATTTATGCGCTTGCATGAATGCAACTGAGAATATCCGGGGCATAAATTATCGTCTTTGCAAGGCACCACCACCATCACCATCACCTCCTGATTATCTTCCACAGCAGCAGCAACAACATTCGCCCCATGGTATAACTCCTCCTCCACCACCACCTCCTCATCTTGCTGTTCAATCCATCTATGTAAGTCAAATGTTTCCTTTTTACATGCTGCTCTCCTTTTCTCCCTCGTTTGCCCTTCCACCCCTGCCTATTCTATCCAAACATTCAAGCATGGATGTGTGTGTGTGTATACTTTATTCTCACTTTGTGTGCTTTACATAGGGCATTGTCATTGAATTTGATGATCGATACAATTTGCTTCATCATTTTGCAATCTCAGCTCAGGGCGTTGGCAACAATGGTGTCACCATGATGAACAGCAGCAGCAGCAATGGTGGTGGATTGCCACCTTACAGACCTTCTCTTGTCGTGGTAGCTGATCCCCCTACCTACCGCCAATCCCAAGCCGGTCTTCCATTGCCGTCTCATGCCTACCATCCTGACGAGAAACTTTAAGCTTATCTTACACTCAAATACCACACCCCCCAACAATAATGGTTGTATCGAATATTATACTACTACAAATGTCATAATAGGGGTCGTATAATTCATTCATTCATTCATTCGTAGAAAGAAGAATAATCCTGCTTTGGTTTAATACATAAACAAAACATTTCTTAATCCCTCCTAAGTGGATGCATTGAGTCATTTTCTGATCTCGTCCTGTGATGGTAGTCTCTTAGGAACTTTTTTTTTCATGGTGCGCTTTACTGCGAGCATGATCAATCATGGGGGGTTGCAGATGGAGGAGCCATCCAATTTTATTTTTACGCCAATGAGCATTGTATCGAAAGGACAATCAAATGATGATAGTGAAGCAGTGGATGAATCATACGTGTACTATGCAATGGGACGTTTGGGTGGTAGTAGTAGTAGTAGTAGTAGTTGCAACAGCTATCAGGATCCTCCTCCTCCTCCGCCGTCGTTTCTTCCTGTTCCTTTTCACGTCCACCATATAGCTTACACCTTGTGAGAGAGCACACACTCATGACAAGCCCGCCAAAAGAACGTCTATACAAGACGATACCCAGGAATGTAAGTGCATTGAGCATTACAAGGATCGCCCATGCCTAGCGTCCTCACCTGTGTGTGTGTGTGTGGCAGATCGTGTATTCTCGTTGGCTTGTCACGCAAGCTGTGGTGTTACCAGATATCGACATTGAGATCCCTGACGATCGATCGGTGGCTCCCTCTGTGCATACTCAAGTGCAAAGGCTTTTGGCAACACATGGTGGTCTTGATCGTATTATTTCGCGTTCTACTTCGCCATCAGGGAAGGTGACCTTTAACGTAAAATGGAAGGATGGTGCCGAGACACAGGTAACACACTCAGCGTTTATCCAATGATATACATGCATGTCTTACATTGGATGTGGTAGGAACGTGCCCATATATTGCATGAGATCGATGCTACGGCTTTGGAGGCATATCAACATCAAAAGATATCAGCACAAGATGGTGGTTCTTCTGAAAACGACAATGCATTAATTCTTTCAACCAACAACGTTGTCGATCATGACTCGGATAGCTCCTACAATGATAATGGTGAAGCGTCATCCACGTCAAAACGATCCTCAGCACCACCACCACCAACCGTACCCTTTTACAATTCAGATACCCTATCATCGCATTCCCTTCATTGCTCACAATGCAAAAAGCAAGGTTACCCCAATGAACCAGAACGACCACGTCGATCTACATCAGCAGAGGAGGAAGAGGATCAGGGATGGCTCCTTTTATGTACCACATGCTCGGCAGCTACGCATGAAAAATGCTGTTCATCAGATCAATTGATACAACGCGCTACGAATGGCGAGTCCCTAGTCGAGTTCCGATGTAGCGATTGCTTCAACCATGATAATGCAACATGCAACACATGTCAGACCACACGTGATGATGATGATGATGATCAATTCTGCTGCTTATTTCGATGCTCAAAGTGCAAACGTTGTTTCCATTTCGATTGTCTTTCAAGAGTTCCTGATGATGAAGAAGAGACACGTACGACTTGCATGCAACATCAACAATGTCCACAATGTATTGATTTTACGGGAGAAGCTGAAAAGATACTTGCATGGCGCTTAGCTGATCCACAACAACGACGGCAGGCCGGGAATAGGCCTCTTAAAGAAGTCACTTTGACGCGCAAGGAGTTTCTTGTCAAGTGGTTGGATATGTCTTATCGGCATGTGGCATGGCTACCAGAGGATTGGCTCATGGCAACTCACGAGACATTGCACGAAGGTTATTTGCGTCAGCATGCGGATGATTTTCCTTTATTATGCAACGGGGAATCGGTACCCATACAGTGGATGACAATTACGCGGATCATGGATGTTCAAGATGCAGATGGGAATAAGGTACAAGCGGGTTCATCCAATAGCGTTCATCGCGTCTTTGCGCAGTTTGGTGGACCTGCTGATGATCAAGGTAGGTTTCTTCTATCTCTATTTGATAATGACTTAGAATTCACATACATTGCAATGATAGCGTATTGGGATACACCACCATCACCCAAGGATTCGAATCTTTATTCTGCATACATCGATGCTCTTGATCGATATTGGCAGCAGCAGCAACAACAACAACAAGACACATCATCCAGTCATGAGGAAGAGCAAGAGCCTCTCGCAGCATCTGAAGACCCTAGTAGCAGCGTGAATCAACAACAACAACAACAACAACAACCAGCTTACATTAGCGGAGGCACATTAATGTCTCATCAATTGGAGGGATTAAAGTAAGGTCAAAGATTAAAGTGATATTTATTACTATTAGCTAAGATGATGATCTCCACCCATAATTAGATGGCTACTCTACAAATGGGATCTACGACAATCTTGTGTATTAGCGGACGATAAGGGTCTTGGTATGTATTAGAAGCAGCAGATATGGATCAATGGATACTAAATGTTATGATGATTTTAGGCAAAACAACCCAAGTGGTGTCGTTCCTGAACCATATCTTGACCGAGCTGGACGTTCATCCTTTCCTGGTGGTGACTCCCAGCAAAAGCCATGTTGAACACTGGATCCGTGAATTGAAGAAATGGTCACCCGCTATGATCGCCCTGCCCTATTGTCTATCAGAAGTAACTCAACAACTGGAATTGGATCTCAAGAGTCTCCAGAATAAGGAACGTTGCACAAAGGAACCCAAATGCCATGTTGTTATTGCCACACACGATGCCTTGTTATCCAATATGGGGATCTTTAAAGATATTGAATTTGCCGTATTAGTCGTCGACCAAGCACACCAAGTGACCTCTTCATTGTACCGTGAATTGCGAAACCTTCACTATTTTCGTAGCATCCTCATGGCAGGTAAGCCTATCTTTGGAGATTGTTCAAAAATGATGATGCGTTGTTGACCACTAGCCCATCTCTTTTTTAGACACGCTTAGAGAAAAGGGTGCGAGTGGTCTTGCCGAGATCATGCATTTCATTGACCCCATACGATTCCGCAGTGTTCGTGGCCCGCAAAGATTCTATGGATTCGCCTCACAAGATCCGTTGCAGATTCTCCTTGAACAATTTCAGCCTTATTACCTTCGTCGTACAAAGGAGCTGTTTTTGCAAACATTGCCGCCCAAATCCGAGCTTATTGTTCCTGTCACAATGACATCATTCCAGCGACAGGTCTGTCAAATGATTCTCGAGGACCATGTTGTCAAGTATACGCTTGCGGGTAGTAGTAATCAGAGCACAAGTCATCTTCACAATGCTCTGATGCTCTTGCGTGATACGCTGAATCATCCATGTCTGATCCCTCTGATGGTGTCTCATGATACCACGCCAAAGAATCATCCTTGCCATATGCCGGGTATCGATGCCGATCAAGAAACCCAACAGGCTTTTATTCATGCATCTCCCAAGCTCACGTTGTTTCACCAAATGCTTCCAAAACTTCTCGAGAACAATCATCGGGTACTTGTGTTATCAGCATACAAATCGACATTGGACATTTTGGAACGATACTTTTCATTCAACAACAAGAACAACATTGAGTATTTACGTATGGATGAGGAGACACCGATTCATGACCGGATCAAACGAGTGGATGCATTCAACAGCAACGAATCGACTGCAAACGTGTTCTTGATGACGACGATTTGCGCGAGGTTCAATATGATGACGGCGGACACTTTGATTCTATGGGATATGGATCATGATCCTCATGTAATGATGCGAGCGGTGGACCATGTTTATTGTATTGGACAAGCAAAGCCTGTGGCTGTATTCAAGTTTATGATGCGCTCTACAGCGGAAGAAAAGATTGCATTGATCGCCAAACGAAACTTTGTTCTCGGCAAAATGGATGATGATACGGGGATACTACTACAAGAGCAGGAAATCAAGCATATCCTAAAGTTTGGTGTGGCAGGCCTGTTTGAAGATGACCATGCGTCCAAAGCCATTCACTATGATGATCATGCTATTGACAAGCTCCTTGATCGAAGCGACCTTGTAGACGAGCCAATGTCCGATAATCAAGCAATGAATGATTTTTCCTTGGCGCTATCACACATCAATCCACGCTCATCCATGTTTGCAAAAGTCTGGCAAATGGACACTAGAGGCAATGTTATCAAGGAGGAATTGACGGAGGGGAATACGAGACGCGATGATGCCTTTTGGGAACGGCTTGTACTTGAGAAAAGGAAGCAAATGGATGGAGAAGAACAGCCACAGGAACAACAACAACCAAGAAATGGAATTCTCAAACGAAAGGATCACATGGTAAAAGCTTTTGTTTCTCTCTTTTGTTGCCTACAATTCTAATTTTGCACTTATGTAGGAACCATCATCCTCATCATCATCATCATCTGAAGACAAACCAGCCAACAAGAAACCAAAGCCGACGCTTCATGCTGAACGACAACAGCAGCAACTTGTATCACCACCATCCTCATCATCATCAAAAGGCACCAACGCCGTCTTTCATCCACATCATCGACCCACACTTGGTATCAACAAGTATCCATTGGAAACACAAAAACAACAAAAACAACAACCCAAGGTGACCGTTGTAAGTAAGCAACTCAAAGCCCTCAACAGCCGAATGGGCAAAAGGAACACCCCTCCACCCCTCCGCCGACCACCCACACGACCACAAGAGAGTGATAAAGGTGATGGCTTTCATAGTGCGGCTCTCTTAGTTCGACGATTGAACTACCGGTTGCAAGGTCTTCCTGCTTTAACTTCAAGAGTGGAAAGGACGGCCCATGGTGCTGGTGCTGCTACTCAAAACAAAAAGGATGTAAATGCTGCCAAACGCTTACACGACCTAAGGACAAAATTACAACCCGATCTGTAAATCACCCCTTCCTTCCTCCCTCCCACCCACCCACTTGTATATATTTCCCAAGTTGTAATATAAAAAAAGAGACATCGGTCTGTATGTGTGTATCCAAAAAGTTATTATTATATGCCAAAAAGACAAGTTGTTTCGTGCCAAATACAAAGAGATAAAACGGATATCGGGAAAACGGATGAATCATGTGGTGAAGATGTGGTTTGATGTGAATATGTGTGAGTGTGTGCATGTTGTTGTTGGAGGAGGAGGAGGTGGGTGGAAGTGGTGTGTAAAGTGTGTGTTTGTGTTGTGTGTGTTGCGTGTGTAGGGCTATTTACATGATAATTTGTGGCTCCGTGATGTTGGATGCGATCGACTTGTGAGGCAAGATCGAACCACCATTGACATAAATTTCATCCTTGATAGTGACATCGTCACCCAATACTGAGCAACCTTCCAATCGCGACTATAAAAAAAATCCAAGCCCAGTGAGTGAAACTAGTTCCTGAATTTTGAGTTCCAGCAGTAGCACACTTACCCAGCGACCGACGGATGAATGCCAGCCAACGATGCTAGATTGAACCCAAGCATAGTCCTTAATCTTGGCGCTATCGAGAAGCACACATCGTTGAAGACGCACACCATCACCAATTTCCACGTTAGGACCAATCACAACATTGGGGCCAATACGACAACCCTTGCCAATCTTTGCAGTAGGGTGGACCATGACGTTGCCGTGGTGGACATAATCCAAGGTAGGGTTGGCAAGTTCTTCAGGCTTGTTCTTGCTCAAATGGCTCAAGTATAAACAAGTACCCGTCAAGAAATCCTTGGGTTGACCCACATCCATCCAAAATCCTTCCAAATCAAAAGTATGCAGCTGACCATCTTGAGCAACATAGGGGAAAACTTCCTTTTCAATCGAAGTGGGCTTGAGCTATATATATAATGTACATTTGAGTCAACGCTGTTCCTTCTTCTTCTACTACTCCCACACCACCCACAATGACTTACCTCAATACGTTCAAGTACAGAAGGATTGAAAATGTAGATACCAGCATTGATCTTGTTGCTGATGAATTCCTTTGGCTTTTCCACAAAGCGGTCGATGCGGGAAGAGTCGGGATGATTGACAATGACACCGTATTTGGAAGGGTCGTCGACCTTGGTAACGACAATGGTACCTTCGTTGCCATGGCTCAAGTGGAAATCACGGAGTTGCTCAAATGGATAATCGCAAATAACGTCACTGTTGAGCACAAAGAAAGGACTATCATCCTTGGCAAGGATCTCGCGTGCAAGTGCCAATGGACCAGCAGTGCCGAGAGGCTCAGTCTCAACCGAAAAGGTGATCTTGACATTGTAGAGCTCTTCATATTCTTTAAGTGCGCGCACCATAATCTCAGGGCGATAGTTGACAGCCAATACAATATCGGTAACACCAGCCTACAAAAGAAAACGATGAGTCTACATGGGACAATGCATGGGCATGATGGAGGAGGGGGAGGGTGGGGTCGCCACCACAATGCGTACGTACCTTGGCCAAATGCTCAATCTGATGAAGGATCATGGGCTTGTTGGCAAACTCAACAAGGGGCTTGGGAAGGGTGAGAGTAAGAGGGCGAAGACGAGTGCCAAAACCTAAGTAGTAGTAGTAGTATTAGTATGTTGGTTAAAGAGACAACGCGTATATATAGAGAGAGAGATGTTATAGCAACAACAACATACCACCAACGAGAATAAGAGCTTTCATGATTTGAGACGACGAGTGAATGTAAAAGAAAAAAGAGAGAAAGGAAGGAGAAAGATGATAAGTCTCTTGGAAAGATGGAGGATCGTGCTATTTAAATTGTTAGAGTCGCACAGACTTTTTACAAGAGACGGGCCAAGACCAAAGATTAACTGTGTGTTCACGTCGATCCCGTTGGTGTTGTCCTATCCCTTTCCTGGTAAAGCCAATTTTATCTTTAGGCAGAACGTGCCCAATGACCCATAATTAGCCCGCATGCCCCGCCAAGCCCAGCTATACTACTACTACCATCATCATCATCGTCATTTACCCATCCATTCTATTTTTCTGTCTCCTACATTTATTATGGGCACATTGAGTATCGTCGTCGTCGTTGTCATGGAAATACTTTGTTGTTGGGAATCGAACCGATACGCTTTCACAATTCTCACATACCAGCCCCCATCTCAAATTCCTACTACACCATGGTTGTACAATGTTGCTAATTGGGCATGGATGATGATGGTGGTGGTGGGTGGGTTGCAAGCATTTGGAAATGTGGTAGAAAAAAAGGTTTCTGGGTTACAAAGGGCTCTTCCATTTGCAGATCTCTTTTTGACATCTGACTACTAAGCGAGAACATTTAGCGTGTTTGTTTTTGTGTCCCGTGTATGTGTGTGCATACTGCGCCGATCTTGTTCGAGACGTTTATTTATTCTTTCTCTCCGCCTCAAAATATAACGGATGCTTATTCTAGTACATGTTTCTCTTCAAAAGTGTGTATATCTCAACATGTGACGCCCTTTATATTTTGTTTTGAGCTAAGAAAAGATCCAAGTGACCTAAAAAACATTTTGTACCGCATCGTCGAAAAAGCGATGCATTGTACATCAACATCGAGGAGAGGGGGTCACTCAACAACACGATGCTACTGACTACTTGGGGTGTGCCTTCACATATTAGTACAACCATGGTGCCTTATCGGTGCTCAGAAGTTTGACCATCATTGTCCTTGGCGATCATTGATTGGGTGACTTAAACAATTGCATATATCCAAAAGATACCTTGCCATAAAAGATGGGTTGGTACCACCAACTTTTGGGTTGCCATGTGTTCAAATGATATGCAACGAATATATAACATACACACACACAAATGGATTTATTCGTTTTTGGATCGAAATAGAGTAACTTGTTTCAATTGAATGTCATGATTCTGGGCAAGACCTCCTGTGCTGGCAGTGAAACCAATCCATGCTTGATCACCGCCGAGATAAGCAGCAAGCTCAAGGTTGTCTTTGGTGAGTACGGGGACATAGCTTTCTTCTGTTACGGATTCCTTCAATGCGACCTCGATCAAGCCTCGGCCAATAAACATTCGAATACGTGCGTGCAGCCATGCACCGCTGTTCATGGCAGGGATACGCGATGTGTAACCAAGCGAGTTTTTTTGATGGGCAGAATTAGGTAAGGGTGGCTTCACCGCATGGATACTAATATGGTTGCCAGAAGGATCGTCGCAGCGATCCGAACTTTGTACATACATAGGTACACGAAATGAGCAAGGGTGTTGTTCCTGTTCCCAATTCATCTTAGCTCACCTTTGATATGTGTCAAATTCGATGGCCACGCTACATAATTATTGCAACAACAACAACAACAATGAATATACAGTAGTAGATTAATAATAAATGACCCTAAACGTACCTGTTCTTGATACCACCATAGCCAAGCTCGCATCCCCCTTAAGAAATAAATGAAATAATGAGTCCACCATTGTCTAATAGATTAGGTGTATATATATACCTTGGCCAATGGCTGTGGGCCCCGCTGATTGAATAACAAAGGCAAATCCATCTGCACCATCATAGGCTGATTTCCCCTCCTTGTTTGTAATTTTGAATGAAAACTCAATATCCAGCACAAGGGATTGTGTCACGTCGATCGGTTCTTGGCAATAAGCAGCACCACATTGATCTGGATCAGCCGTTGTCAGCCTGATCTCCTTCTCCGTTCCTGATGATGATGATGATGAGCGTATGCTAGCTGAGCCCACCGTATTGAATGCCGTGATAGCCAAGTTGCGCTCTATCATAAAGGATGACATTAGATTTCCCCTCCCATCTCCCATCTCCCATTGAACTTTACCTCGAATACATGATGCCATCATGTTGTTCACTAATCCACCCTCTTCACCACGTGCCCTCCGCCATTCAATGGAGCCTAAGTAATAATATCCATTCTTCCTTAGTAAAAGATCGTGACGACACCCACCAACACTAAACAAACCAGTCTTTCGGCCTAGCTTCTCACTGTCCTTGACATCTGTTCTCTTGACGGCATCCTCCAATTCCTTTTCCTCTTTCTTTCGTCGTTCCTTCAACAATTGCTTTCGATCATCATCCAGGTTCTTTTGCTTTTCTGCTGTCATATCATCCAAAAACTAAAGCGCCATGTGAGATGTCTATATATACATTCGCAAATGAAAAAGTCATTTTATGTACCTTTTGGAGTTTTTGTTCATCAACAAGGACACGTCTCTTTAGCACTTCAGGCCAATTCCTTGTATAACGTTTGGTCACATCGAAGGCTTCTTCAGCAGAAAAGGCGATACAGTAGTTGAGCTTCTTGCCCCATCCCTCGCTATATAACAAAGGCTGTGTGCTTGTATGTCAGCAGCTGCCCGACATAAAACAATCAACCCATGATTCTATTACCTGATCATAAGCCTCCTCTCCAGAATCACAATGCACCCATCTCCCTTTGAATTCGGAATATACTTCGGTCCAAACGTGGTCTACAAAATCCATAAGCATCATCTTTCTTCTTGAGGAATAGGGTGATCATTATTACCTGTCTTATCATACACAAGGCGTGCCTCGGAGCCTACCGCACGACAACAAAGCGTAAAGCACTAATGACATGATACATACTACCATTTAATAGGATGTTCCTTTTTCTCAAGAAGAATGACATACATTGGCCCATTCACCACATCTTCCACGGCGCGTCTCCAATAGCTTTCCTGCATCACTAATCATTCATGCAGTGAATTAATCGAATCGTGTCAATGGGATGGTGATGATGACGATGCTTACTTGTAACGAGCAAAGCGAGTAATGTTGTTACATGTTGTGCAGCGATAAAGCTCGACAATGCGTGCGCCATAACGTTTATCTTGTTCATTGGGCTCTGCTGTTCCTTGTGGCACCGTTTTGTCTGACTACAACAATGCAAACCCGTATTATGCAATTGAAGAAGGAGTGGCAAGGGGGCGGCGACGATGATATTCTTACCCCGCAGTAATCGCAAGGAGGATCATTGACCCAGGTGAAGAAATCATGCTTGAACCAATGTAAAAGACGTATAATGACTTGATCATCCAAAGAGGATTCAGGATCATCCCCATTCTCCACAGCACGTTCGGCTTCCTCATAAAGTCGATGAATTGGAATATGATCCATGGCTTTTTCCTGTGAATGACTATTGAGCTTTCTTGTTCTTTGGTACCTGTAGTATCCTCATTGCATTCTTACGAGTAGTTCTTTATCTTCATATTGTAATACACGTTGACCATACGTCTTTAGCTCTTCCAGAAACTTGTTGTCTTGTCCACCACCACTCAATGCGTTGCTCATGTCGAACATTGGGCCGAGAGATTGCATGAATGAACGTTGTTGCTGTTGTTGCGATGCTGGTTGATCATGTTGTCTAGAAGCACGTTGCTGTAAGAAACCAAACCATTGTGCAGTGAGGCGTGTTGTTATAGCGCTTATTTCGTCAGGCTCCATGGAGGCGTGGGTATACGTGTAAAAGAGAAAGGCGTTTATGGTTACACACAGCGAAAGGTTGCAGTTTATCGACATTGAAACAAAGAATATGGGCACCTACACCACCCCCCCAACAGAAGGAGGAGGGGCACTATAGTTTCTTTACTATGAACAATCATCTATTGTAATACAACATTGCTATGGAAAAAGTCTACCTATGAGTGGATAATAAAACCACGTGTTTTAACAATGATGCATTATCTGGATGATGATGGTGGTGCAACAGGGATCAAGGCAAGCATATGAAACCACCTTATTGGAGTTGTCATTGCGCGACGAACCATTTGGGACGGATGCATTTTTAACCACGAGCGGGCGGGATGATTTGATCTTGCTCGAACGCAGCGGTCCTTTTTTATCAGCTTTGCTTTTCTTCAACCCCCCAAATGTCATCGCCCATTAAGCCTCCACCACCAGACATTAGGTAAAATTGACTGATCTCCACCTTGCATGTATCCTTCTCATTGTCAATCGAATAGAAACACGCCAAGTTCACCTTTACCACCACCACCTTCGTCGTCGTCGTCTCCGTCGACTGCAACAGTACCCACCTCGTCGTCTCCTTCTTTACCTCAAACATTACCACCTCCACGCTCAATTACTTCCAATACCATGTCGCGTCCCACGTCGCAGCGATTGCCTTCGCCTAAATTGAGTGAGATCCCATTCCAAAGTACGGCTTCCAGTCATTCGTCGAGTGCTTTGGCAACGTCAGGTCCAGCATACAGCAGTCCTACGACTTTTTCATCCACTCAAAACGTGCCTAGTCTACCATCGCCGAGTGTTCTTACAGGTGCTTCTACTACAACGACAACTGAAGAAAGGATGGCAAGTGGGAGTAATAGTAGCAGTGCAGCAGTCCATACAACACAACTTCCATCGATTGCACCCCCGCCCACAACACCACCTCCACCACCACGCAGCTCAGCTGTGTCATCCATTTCAACATTGGTGGAAAATCATACACAGACTTCAGGAACAGCAAATGCTAGTGACGGTGGCCCACGTCTTACTTCTCAACCAACAACAACTCGTCAACCATCGCCAGCACCACCACCTCCACCACAACAACAACCTTCTCAAACGAATAATGATAGCACCAATTATCGACCACTCAATGTTCGTGACGCTTTGACTTACTTGGATCAAGTCAAAGTCCAATTCTCTGCCCGTCCGGACGTGTACAATCAATTTTTGGATATCATGAAAGACTTCAAGAGTCAAGCGTAAGTAATTGTTATTATACAAAATGGTATGCATGCATATTGATGGGTCAAATGATGATAGGATTGATACACCTGGTGTGATTGAACGAGTCTCCATTCTTTTTAATGGCCATCCGGAATTGATTTCAGGTTTCAATACGTTTCTACCTCCTGGTTATCGTATTGAATGTTCCATGGATCCTAATGAACCGGATATGATCAAGGTGACAACACCAGCAGGAACCATATTGAAACGCACCAATGCAGCAGCAGCAGCCACCATGGGAATGATGGATCCAAGACAACAACATCCTCATGAAATGTTACATCCAATGCAAACATCCCACCCTCATCATCATCCTCATCATCCACCACCCCATCCAGGTCATTATTATCAATCACCTTATGGTCATATGCCATCAGCAGCAGCTACACATGGTCCACCTACAACCTCTGCACCTTCTACTACTACAACTACTACTACAGCTACTACAACTGCATCTTCAGCATCTACCATTCCACCACCACCCTCATCTCTATCGCATCCTCCTCCTCCTCCGCATCATCATCATCATCATCATCCATCTTATATACCTGGATCCAGGAGACCAGGTCCGCCTTTACCTGCAGGATCAGCCCCACCACCACAACCACCTTCTTCTTCTTCTTCAATGCATCCATCTGAAGATCAATCCACCACAACCAATGGAAACGCTGCACATACTCGAAGAGCCCCTGTAGAATTCAATCATGCCATCAATTACGTCAACAAGATCAAGGTAAGATGAAAAAGATCTATGGGGTAGATACATGTATTAACTCAACTATGGTAGAATCGTTTTGCGAATGAACCTGATACATACAAGCAGTTTTTGGAGATTTTGCAAACATATCAAAAAGAGAGGAAACCTATTCAAGAGGTAACATCATGAGCGTGTATGTTGATGAAAGAAAGCTCACAATAGGGTGATTAGGTATATGCCCATGTCCAATATCTTTTCAACAGAGCACCGGATCTTTTGCAAGAATTCAAACAATTTTTACCTGAAATCACGGGTCAACCTGCTCCCGAGTTATTGGATGAATTGGATGCGTATTCAATGGGTAAGTTACAATGAAAGAGAGAGATGATGTATCATGTAACTCATCTCTATCATGTTGTTTAGGCTCCAAACGTCCCTATGGCATGTCACAAGGTGGTGGAATGTTATCAGCTGGAAAAAAGAAACGAGGAGGGGTATGTTATTATTGTTGAGAGGGATGTGCTTGGAGGATATTGATGGCTGTTATGAATAGGGAAAACGATCCAAGGGCCAAAGAGTGGAGGAAGAGATCATCGAAGGCTTCCCAGCATCCTCGTACTATGATCCAATTCGACCTACGGTGTCCAATGACGACGTGGAACTTTTTGATCAGATCCGGAAGCACATTGGCAACAAGCCTTCCTATGAAGAATTCCTCAAGTTGCTCAATCTTTTCACCCAGCAAATCATTGATATTGATGTCTTGTTGAAGCAGGCGGAAGGCTTTTTGGGAACGGATAAGGATCTTTTTGCTTGGTTCAAGAATACAGTGGCAGTCGATGTTAAAGAGCAGACCATTGATCAACCATCCGCCATTGTGCCCAAACCTGATCTTAATCAATGCACCACCGTCGATTCAAGCCCCAGTTATCGACTTGTGTCACAAGAGGTAACATCACGTGGCAGCATTTTGACATCCTATTCACACACACACTCTCTCTCTTTTTATCTCTAGTGGCAAAATCAACCATGCTCTGGACGTGATCAATTATGCTGGGAAGTGCTCAATGATGAATACGTCTCCCATCCTATCTGGGCAAGCGAGGATAGTGGATTTGTTGCATCCAAAAAGAATCAATATGAAGAAGCCATGCATCGTTGTGAGGAAGAAAGGTAAGAATAATTCATGTTTTGTCCCTTTGAGACGTATACTAAAAGGAGCATGTATTGTAGATATGATTATGATCTCAATATTGATGCCAATTTGAATGTCCTGGCGCTTCTTGAACCGATTGCTGAGAAGCTGGAGACAATGACCCCTGAGCAAAAGAGCGCTTTCCGATTGGAGCCTGGTTTAGGTGGACAATCTGTGACCATTTATGAACGCATCATCAAAAAGATATATGAAGAGGACCGTGGCCTTGAAGTGATCGACATGTTATACAGCAACCCTGCTCGTGTGGTGCCTATTCTTCTTCGCCGACTTACACAAAAGGATGAGGAATGGAGGAAAGCCCAGGTAAATAGCCCTTCATTCATGGGTATGGATGGCCTACAACACAAATGGATGCTCACATACATCTATAGCATGAATGTAACAAGACATGGCGTGAGATGGATGCCAAGAACTTTTATCGTTCTTTGGATTATCAAGGACATTCATTCAAGACCAATGATCGAAAGGCAATGAGTGGCAAGGTGCTTGTGGCCGAGATTGAGACGCTGCATGATGAAGCAACATCGTCGTCATCGTTGCATGATGATAAGGAGAACAAGAAATACCCGTTGCGATTTTCATTTGATGATGCTGGTGTATTCAAGGACGTGACGCGAGTGATTTTCTCTTATATTGAAAAGCAGAATGGATTCAACAGCAATGATCGCAGCAAGATTCGAATATTCATGCGTATCTTTATACCACTTTTCTTCCATGTTGAGGATACCGTACCTGAAGGCATGGATATTGAGTCTGACAATGACGAAGAGGATGATGAGGATGCACAATCCATGAACACGGAAGAATCGGATGGGGATGTTGTTGTCGGTCGATCACCGCGGGATCGGAGTCGATCGCCTTCCAGAAACAGAAAACGCAGTGGTCGATCACGCACAGACGACACGGATGTATCGGTGCAATTGTTGCGTGATGTTTTGACAAAAAACAGAAAAAATACACCAGCAGCAGCGGATGACAATGATCATGAGAATACGCCATCATTGGATCAAACCATCAAACGTGAAGACACAACATCAGCGGACGAATTTGAATCGGTCACAAATGGAGGTGGAGGAGGAGGAGGAGGAGGAGGAGCAGGAGAGCCAATGACACGTTCACCTCAAGAAATTGAACCTCCCAATGGCACTCAAGGAGGCGATCGTTTATTCGCTGCTGCCACAGCTCCTGGTTCGGAAGGTCGTACCATCTATACGTTCTTTTGCAATACGGCATTCTATAGCTTCTTTAGGCTGTATCAGGTATGCATCTCTTTTAAAAGGACTTGTCCTCCATGTGTATTCTAATACGGGCTCTATATATAGATGATGTATGAACGTCTCGCCAAAATGAAGCGACTGGATGAAGAAATGAGGAACAATCCTGACAAGGGTAAAAAAATGAATGCCGTTGCTTTGGAACTTGGCCTCTACAGTAGTCGATTTGATGGTATGTGTGTGGGGGGGGATATACACTTTTATCGCTTGCTAACATATCCGGTTTCTAGATGTCAACATATCCAATGGCTATTACAATGCACTGCTGGATCTCATTGATCGATTATTTGATGGCGATCTTGACCAAATCATGTTTGAAGAGAAGGCACGATACCTCTTTGCTACTGAAGCCTATGTCCTCTTTACAATTGACAAGTTGGTCCATTCGATCATCAAGCAGGTATGAGTTTGGAATTACAAAGGAAGAGGGGCATCCATGCTTATCAGCTCTTTTTATAGATGCAAGTGGTAACCATGGAGGAGAAATGTGTTGAATTGGTGGAGCTTTTACGTAGCGATCAAAGTCGGGATACGACGAGTTCACAAACCATAGCAAGCTATCGACAACGGGCGGAACGAATTGTGGATGATGATGAAAATTTATACAGGATCAACTTTGTAAGTGTGCTTGTCTTTTGTATGTCCCTTGTAACTCACGGTGGGTGTATCTATAGAATACGGAAACGCACAGGATGACGATCCAACTATTAGAGCGAGATGATGATGTACCTGAACAAGAAGAAGGCAATCGTATGGATTGGACAAATGAAACCCAAGCGACTACCGTCACTGAATCCAAACGAGAATAATAATAAACATGATTTTTTTTTCAAAGAAATGGAATAGAGAATGGTTTTATATATTGCGACGAGAATAAATCTATGATGAACCACTGCTAGCGTACCACCGAATGGTCTTGTCGGAAGATACTGATACCAGCTTTGTACCTTCTGAATTCCATGCCACGTTCCAAACCTAGAGAGTTCAATGAGCATTAAAGACCAAAAAAGCTGTTGTTTTTCCTTATTTACCTCGCCTTCGTCACCCTCGTGTGTCTCAATAACCGATCGCATTCCCAAATCCCATACTTTGACCTTGCCATCTGCAGACCCACTTGCAAGTTGCTGTTTGCTGATATCAGGATTTGCTGCAACGGATAGAATCCAACTTGTGTGACCCGTTAAAATAGATGCAAGTTGACCATGCTCTACGTCGTATACGTGTATACACTTGTCGTCACATCCACTGATCAAGGTACGATTATCGGATGCAAACGTCAATGATCGCACTGCCATGGTATGATCTACAGACATTCATAGATGCGTCAGTCGCTGCCCACTAGAAGGAGGAGCCAAAATGAGTTTGTCTACCTGAAAATGTATGTGCCAATTGACCCGTCTCGGTATTGTATACATAGATGCCACCATCATCAGCACCTGCAGCTAAGAATTGACCATCAGGGCTCTATATAGACCATCAATAAATGAATGATCATGCTATGGAAAAGATGATGATAACTTACATAGGCAATGGACATGATGAATCCTTTTGCAGAAAAAGTGGTTGTTTTCTCGCCCGTTTCGATATTGTAAATGTGAATGTTGCCAGAATGAGAGCCTGTGGCAATGGATTCTCCATCAGGGCTGAATCGTGCGCTCCATGTTTGTCCTGGGTCGCCCACGATCTTTTTGACCAATGTGCCATTGTTCTCCAAATCCCAAATAGCAATGATAGCATCCAATGAAGCAGTAACAGCTCCTATTCAATAACACGTTTTAGTCTTCAATCATCCATATTGAAGGTGTTGCCGGCCATTACTTGATCCATGCGTATCCACAGACATGACACCCAATGCATGTTCTTTTAACTCGTACTTGAACTCGCCAGTGCTTGCGTCCCTGAAGTTGTACATAGACGTCCATGTCAATAATAAAACGAATACATCCTTGATATCCATGTATATAAACCTACCAGCACTTTACTGAAGCATCGAGTGAACCACTGACGATCACATTGGCCTTTTTGCTCCATGCCACAGACCAAATCTCCTCATCGTGTGCTGATCAAAAGTTCCCTGTCAACCAATCGATATTTGTAGCTTCGAATGCTCGGTGCTCACCATTGTCGTTTACTAATGTAGGAATGTAGGTAACGGGCTATCAAAGATAAAGTGAATAAACGCGTAGTGGAATAGGCGTGAGATATCTACCATGCTGACAAGTTCAACAAGCGAGAAAAGATGCTGCTGAATGAGCCAAGTTTATGGTGATTTTGGCATAAGGGAAACCCCGCACACCCCAATGTAGCCTCTCCATTGAAGAGAAGTAGGTAGCTGACATCAACAATTGAAATTAGTAGCAAGGGATGGGATGATTGCACAGCATTCTAAGTAATCAAACCTAGCATTTTATGTACTGCCGTCTGCTTGTTTGCATGCTAATCCATATACTTTGTCCCCACAAGCAGGCATTCATATGCAAGTATCAGCATCATATCGCAATCTTGTAGCGCATTTATCTATCGTTGGTGTTCCCAAGAAGTACATAAAAGTGTAGTTTACAAAGAAAGGGAGATAAAGATAAAGATAACGGGAATAGCTAGTAAAGAAAGCCAATAAAAGAAGGACCAGCAAGAAAATTGGGAAGGAATGTTGCCAAAGGATGTAACGGATGCTTATTTGGTTCGGGTAGTATCCCCATGTACGGGTGTTGCCATGGGTTCGTACCAGCAGTAAATGAATGATCATCATTGACGATGGGCGGAAGCTTCATAGCAACAGGATCCAGATGGCTAGCATATGTAATGTAATGCTGTTTATCCTTGTCATATCTGTATGGCTTGCTTTAGGTATGGTAGGTCCTGGTGTTGGTAAAAAGTCATGTGATATTAGTATTCATAATATACTTGATCCTCCATCATCAACTTACCTTGTATTTTTGTTCAAGTATTCCCCATGAAGGGGCACAAAGGCAGGGTGATGGCGGTGGGGCTGTCTCTTGATCAGAGCAAGTGGCACTTGTGTACCTCAACGTACATTGAGGACCTTTTACCAGCATGTACTTGGTCTCATGCCAGCCAACAAGCGACCAACGACAATGGAAAAACGAGTAAAAAGAGCACGGTAAGACAATGAGGTGGTCAACTACATTCAAAATGGTTGCATTGAGTATGATAGATGTGACGCTAATGAATAGGCGATACGAACCCTCGGCAACTTTTGAGGTGAATGATGGCGACTATGGCAAAAAGGAATGAAATTGGGACATTTTTGGACTTCCATATTGTTGTCGTTCTGCCATGGTGATCAGCTGATTAAATATGACCTGATTGCTTTCATTCATACTTGTTTGCAAACGTAATCCTGTGGCCAAGGTTTCCATGTTTTGTTGCATGTCGATCAATACTGAATCCAATAGATGCAAGGATTAGCGTTGACGTATTTGTAGCAACCACACCGGCCAGATGCGATTGATGTCACCTGCACGTGGTACATTAGCATTAGCATCAGCATCAGCATTGGTATTATTATCATTACCTTGGACCATACATGGCTCCTCTAGCATGCCAATAATTTGATGCCGTAATAAAGAGGCGAGATAACGCCCGAATTCATCTTCAGGCACTTGAAGAGGTGCACCTGCGTTACAACCTGCGATGGCAAGTCGCCTCCAAAAATTTCGGGCCAACTTCTTGTAATGGTACCAGCTTTGCATATGCATCTTGTGAGGTAGCTACATCAAAAGGAATATAAGTAGGTGCTTCATCCAGCAGGATGGTTTGGTTTTACCTTTGAAAAAGAAGCAAAAGATCACAACGACAATAGTGACAGGTAGTGCATACCTGATTAGCTGCATTAACAGCTTTAGCAGATATGGCATACGACGTACTGTCATTGTGAATTTTGAGTTTCTTGCTTGTTGTTCAGAATAAGGTAACATTTCGAAAGGATGATTCGCTTGTAAAAGCCAATCATTCTTCCAATGGATCTTGTGCTTGTATCGCCTCATAGGCCCCAACATTTCTTGTCGATATCATACAGGTTCAAACATTGTTGCAACGCCAACGAAGCGATCGTTACGACACAAAAAAGATCATCCTTAGCATCTTGTGGCGTCCCATGGTTGTCCATTCGTTCATATACGATGGTAGGTAATGACAACCATCGTTGGATAAGAAAGATGAACCGCTAAATACCATCGCATATGAGTACATGGATCGCTCACAAATGGGACCATTCCACCATGGTACTTACCAAAGACTTTGAAGGCGTGAGCAATCAAAGAGTGATATGATGGAAGAAAGAGATACGTGAGAGTAAAATGGTGGGCGACAACATTCATCTTGCTCATATGTGCAGAGTGGGCGTGGGTATTTATGTGATCACAAAGAATGACAAATGGCTGTTTGGAATAGTGAAGAGCTGATAGATTGTTGGGGTATCTCGAACAAAGAAACTTGGCGTGATCGATTGTTCATTCATAAAATCATGATTCAAGATAGACAAGGTGGCAAAATCCATCATCAAACAATGACACCCATCTTCTATCACAAATCACTCTGTGTCCCCTTATTCCACGAAAGAAGGCGTTTGTGTGAGTGTGCGTTCCATAAAGTCGATGACAACTTCATTGTCAATGTTCCATGATACGTGCCATGTGAGTGGTATACATAGCAGCTTCCGAGGACTTGGGCCAAGACAGATTTTGTTGACAGCTTTTGGGATGAGTGGAGCACATATCCCTTATCATCAACAGCACATCCTCAATCGTATCCAGCATCCAATGCTCATTTCCAACAAGTACAACGATGATCCAGCGTCATCCACATAGAAGAATGATAACCCCCATTTGCTTTTGATCCACCATCGTTTCCATCCACAATCCTTCCAGCAACCCACTCACAGCTTCTTCTTTTGTTGCATCATATGAACGTTGTATTATTGCTCGTAGATGATCTTTACAAGTGGGGGGATGATACAAGATAGCGGGAGAAGACTAGCTGGAGCGAAAAACGGTATTCAGATATACCAGATCAACAAACCTCGCCTGTCAACAATACCTCGTAAGCCGTCTCAGTTGTTGCTAAGTTGGTTGATGCGTAATGTAGCTTGACCTTGACGACAACCGTCGAATGGAGAGTGCGTGGACGATCAAAGGAAGATAGCTTTTCAAGTCGACAATTCCGGCCATGTTCCTTGTTGCATCACAGAGTGCTGATCAATGTCAAAGCTCATACGTGTTGTGCATGCCTTTAATGGGTACGTTCCTCTGGTGGTGTTGCCATGGCATCGTGGCAAAAGGTGCGAAGGTGAAGCAAGGCTGAGTCGGTAGGCCCCTTTTCGATACTGAATTCTTATTCTGGTTCACAAGCAGTCAATCTTTGCGATGGAGGCACATAAACAATATCTATGAATGTGGGTCGATACATAATAAAACAATGGATTTCCTCTTTATCTATGTTTTTTTCGGGTCAATGGATCTAATATGGAAATGGACAGTGGAGAAATAGACGTGTGGCGGACATAGGCATGCACGTCCCTCCGCATCGGGATACATGCATTCGTGTTACAGAGGGAGGTGTCAGTTTGCATGATTGCCATGACAACGCTATTGTGTTTCCCATCCCACTTGCCCACACTATGCAAAAAAAACGACGTCTTTAGGCAGCAATTAGGCTGTATAACGCGCTGACGCGGTACGCGCTGAGTATAAAAGGAAATTGGACGAAAAAGCGCGTAAAGGACCCACGAAAAAAAATCGCGCTGGGTCTGAAAAAATTGCGCGTTCCCCCCTCTCGGCTATAAAAGAGCGCCTTTTTTCTCTTTTGCGCAGTACGCTTCTTTCTCTCTTTTCGGGAAGGGGATCGAGGTTAAGTGATAAGAAGGGTTTTTTCCCCACCTGATCTTACGCGGAAGTGATGGTGGTTTTCCCATAAGGAGGGTTAAGGCTTCAGGCTGTTGGAGTGTTGCGTTATACCAACAAGTTCTGCTTGCCGCCCCTCCAAAAATATTCAAAAGCAAATGATAATACACATAATGATTACCTTGTAATCACCCACTTGCTCTCTATTATGAGCACTAAACATCCTCTTGGATGCTAAACTAAAACCCTGCATGCTGTATTGTTAGGGGTCATTCTCTACGCGTGTTCTTGACCATTTGTATCTATGTACTTGGTCAACTTTGACGTTCTTTCTGGGGGGAATAAGTAATAAAGTCGGCTGCAACGCGTAAAGATCATGTATGCTTCCTTCGAAGACGATCTTTTCTCTTATCTTTGACACAATGAGCGCACGATCTCCCAGCCTGATCTCCTGAACAGAGATCGAGATCGTCGTGAAGGTTTGAAAAGGAGGGCATGGATCACTACAAGCTCTTGGACTTCCTACCCAGTGCTTTGGTTTCCCCGTTATCTATATTTTAGGTGTCCGTGCACCGATAAGAGCTAAACCAAGTGCTGTTACCGAGCAATGGGATGATCCTTTGATATGATTCCCCTAGCAGCTAATGCTTTTACAATAAAAACCAATGCCAAATGGCCTTTGTATGCTACCTAGATACTTGTATTTGGGGCACAGGATACCGATGAAGCATCCACACAAGGTTCCTTTAGACGCGTTGAGCAGCTTTGTTTTAATAAACGTAGTCAACATTTATATCCTAGTTGTTTAATAATGATGCTGGGGCATGTAAACTTTGGGCAAGCGATGTGTTGTTTTATTACTATGAGTTAAAAGAGGGGTGGTTTGGTATCTGCATCATGTTCGTACCTATAGTCACGTCATTGGAGGAGATAGCTATGTATGTCAAATAATGAATACGTGATCCATCAACCTAGTAGGCGTTACCTACCTACAGGAGTCAAGTACCACAATGATGACCACAACAATGAAAGTAGGATAATAATGAACATCACTTGTCAGCTCTAACCATAGACACCCAAGAAGGCAACAACCATGGTACTTACCAAAGGCCTTATTGATTATGCATGCAGTGTAGTTGGGCGGGAGAATGGGCGTGTATTGTCCAATCAAGGGCAGGCGACACAAAAAGTACCTTGTTTTACTCCACCTTACAACGACGACACATGAGCGATCTCGAGTCAAGCCAGCGATCAACCATCAGCTCCAATGTTCGCCTTAGTGGACCTAGGACCATGTCGTCTCGTACGAATAGAGGATTGCGTAAATATGACAAGCTAGCAGCAACATGCGATTGAATTGACGGCTGATCGATGGTGCCCATAGACGATCTTATCAACAAGTCCTTTCAAATCCATACATCGACTCCCCTTCGTGGCTTTCTTTCCGGAAGGCGCAACCTTTATCGCTATGAAGAATCACTCACCACTACACTTTGCGATGGTTTGCTGTTGAAACCAGCGTCTTCGAGCGTTGCGTCGACAGCAGGCGATCAGAATATCAAGGGTGTATTGGATTCGGTGCACATGGAAACGTTTACTATTCCTGGTTGGCCTTCATGTATGTATGGATGATGGTTGATACAAAGAGGGTGATGTTGGTGACTGATCTCTATTGTAGCAAAGCCAGGCGTAATTCTTATTGTCAAGACCCGGATGCACAAGGCAGATAGACCGATCGAGCACCAATTTTACATGATACCAAGCATTGGGCAGGAAGATGATTTATCAGGTAAATTATCAATCATGAGCAAACAAAGGATCACATGATCTTACATGACTTGAAAAAGGTGTTCTCGCTTATTATCCAATCTTATTATCCAAATCAAAATACAACGTTGGCAGCCATGTCACCAGCTGGTTTATGAAGCATTTCGATTGTCGTATGGAGCCTATGCAGATATCATCAAGGAACCTGGAGCAAATAGTGGAATTGTGGTTCGAAGGACTCGGTGATCTTCCGCCAACAGAATTGGAGCGTGTCAAAGTGGGAACACATACTGTCAAACAACAGCTGGAACTGGTGTATAGCGTACCTCAAATCGATACCTTTTCCGACATTTGCATCACTGTACAAAATGAAGATTTGCTCGGCATTTATAGCATGTAAATAGGAATGTGTATCCATGGTGACGATGTGAGTGCTCATTTTGATATCATCATCCTATAGGATCCGAGACAATGACAAAAAGATCATGGACTCCCTACACGAACATGTGTTCCACATTACTCGGGTCAAAGTGACATCGCTTCCACTGACACGGATCGGTACCCCATTGGTGTTGATGTCACATGAAGGAAAGATAAAGGTTGGTTTGAAAGCATGATGAGATGGGGTATGGTAACTAACTTATATATATATATATATATATATATATCAAGCTTATTAATAACTCACGGGCGAAGGATCTCAGGATGGTATTAGAGTGTTTATGTGATTGGGCATCAATGTCATTATTGTAAGATAGCATTATCATACGTTATGTGTATATAAAGAGGAGCAAAACTTGTACCACCCTAAATCTCACCTGAGAACTTTTTCGGCACTCACATCATGGGAGAGGAGTAGAAAGGAGCTAATGCTTTAACTGTTTTTTTCTCTTTTTCTTTTTCCATTATCAGTGCTTATGCGTTTGATATCGCACGAGTGCTTTAACTCATAAACACCAACCCACTACAACATACAACACATTGACCCAATCTCTATTCATTGACATTGCAAGATGGCCAAAGAGAAAGCACCACCTAAAGCTGTCAATATCATTCGCCCCACTCACAGCTTCACACCAGCCAAAGCGTCATCGCGAGTCTCATCATCTTCCTCGATTGTTTCCCATTCAAGCTTTATCAGTGCACCACCCACATTAGCTCGAAAGCCTGTGAGGGTCGCTTCTGGCGCAAGGATTCTTCAAGACAAGCCTGCTCTTAATATTTATCATCCTCCATCTCCCCCACAACGGCAAAAGTCAACAACAACAGCATCATCCGCTAGCCGACTCCCCCCTACTCCACCATCGCCACCTGCTCGCCCTCATTTTGAGATCTATAAACCATCCCGTGCAACTAAGCCGTCTCCATCCACGACCCGAGTCATACCAACAACACACCATAGCGACCAGTATCCATCACAACTGCATCAACGGCCCAAACCACAACGAGCTCGTTCAGTACTTGGTCCAATTTCTCGACCCGAAGAAATCATACGCCCTGTGATACAAAACGAGCCGGATGAATTATCAGACTTGGATGATGAGGATGATGATGAAGAGGACAATGAACATCAAACAAGTACGGATGATCATGATCAAGAAGAGTCCGATAACAGTAATGATGATGAAGAGGAGGAGGAGGATGGCCCTGTAAATGAAGCAAGAGTCAATCGCATGGTAAGTGGTATGGTTATTTTGTTTACCCCTGAATTTTCTCAGATTGACCACGTGCTATAGATTGAAGATTTGGAGATATCCAACCGCTCATTATTAGCTGTCAATCGTATGCTCGAGGCAAATTTACGTAAACGAACATCCGAAGTCGCGCAAATGAAGAGACAACTCAATGGCCAAGCACCTGTCGTTGTGCCTCCACTACCAATGCCTTCAGAGGATCAGCCATCGGATGAGGATGATGATGATGAAGAGTGGGAAAAGGATGAGACATTTTGCCGACTACGACAAATGACCGAATCCATGATTGAACATGGTCAATCCGCACTTGATTACAAAGTAAAAGGACTGGGCCGGGTAATATCACAATACGAACCAGAAGGTAAATCTCATCATCAAGGGAAATCCCCATTGTTGTCATTTTCTCATGTTGTCTTTTGTAATAGAATCCGATGATGATGATGATGACGATAATGACGATGATGAAAATCCCAAAGAGTCACTGGATAATCAACAACCATTGTCGTGAAGACACATAAAAGAATCGCACGCCCTCACCCATACACGCACACACATATATCTATCTATCTTAGAGCCGCCTCTTTCATCTACACACACACACACCGCATGTAAACGCATCACATCCATATCGCTTAACCTATACACACACACATGACATCCCTCTCCAATGCATACATACTTTTTATTAGCTATCATATCCAAATATCATTGTTTTCTTCAACTAGCGTCTTTGACCCTGTAGATAATCATCCATCATTTGTGCTGTTTGCTCGGCGTTTTTACGCTCTTGATTCGATTCCACATCTGCTCCTTCTCGTTCAATTCTTGCACGAGCTTCAGCTTCCTCTACTTGATCCTGTACACACACGCATATATATAAATGTTATTACATACAAAGTATACAACGCAACGCATACATACCCAACTAGCATTTCGATCCGAGGGAGCATAGGTTTGTTTTGCTGATTCGCAAGCATCGTAGACAAAAGCAGAAGGTTGCTGTTGACCAGAGGATTGATTTCGATTCAATTGTTGTTCATCACCACTATCTTCGACTTCTTCAATGGTAACATGACGTTTTGTTGTACTTGACATGATGAGATATATATTTTTGAGAAAGATGCAAAAAAACAAATATGTGTGTGTGTACCGGGGTTTTCTAAATGACATCCAATTTATGCAGCTAAAAAAGAGACGAGGGCAAAATGTGTGGGGATAGGTTTCACTTTCATTGAGACTGTTTCTGCTGCTGCTGTTCATTCAACATTTGCAACAAGACAGCACGAGCACTACCTGGAGCAGGTGCTGGTTCATTCGAAGCGGGCGTGGCGGATGATGATGATGGTTGTTGTTGTTGTTGCTTTGGTTGTGTACCAAACAAGGCTCGCACAAGTTCTTCAGGGGTCTGATAGGATGGGGTTGCTTGGGTAACAGGAGCAGTGGATGCTTGGGGTTGTTGTTGTTGTGGGAATGATGGTGGTTGTGATAAAGCAGTGTCAAGATCATTATAGCTTTGCATTTGTCTGGGTGGAGGTGTGCTGATGTCTTCATAGCTTTGAATGGCTCGTGAAGGAGGTGCTGGTTGAGACTTTTCATAAGCTGCAAGCATTGAATCGAAATCATCAGCAGGCTCATCCGCAAATTTGTGTGTCTTGAGAAGAGGTGCTCTTTGTTGCTTCTTGGGTCGTTTAGCCCGGTTGCCTCGTTCGGGTACCACAGCTTCAGTTTCATTCGATACGAATTTCCCACTATGGATAGCACGTGAGCCCAATGTTGAATCTCCCATCCCGTACCATCCATCATACATACCTCTTTTTCTGCTTTTGTAAACGTCGAAATGTCATTTCTTGCTCATCATCCGAGAATTCTTGTTCCTATGATTAAGGTTATTACCATGACACACACACTTTTCATGTCACGTGCCACTTACACTTTCATTGATTTCTTCATCAAATGCATTACTGGCATCCGTGCCTTTTTGACGCTTCAATTCATCCGTGGGCACCACCTGAGTACGACTGTAGGATGGAACATAATAGACGGGAGCTCCAACGACTGCACGTTCCTTGTCAATCTCATCCGACGAGTTGTATAAGATGGAATAAAAAGGCTTGCTCACTGGTCCAAACGTTTCGAAAACCTGTCCACGTTGGTTAACTTTCTCTTTCTCAAAAGCGAGAGCATCCCCAATCCAATTGTACTTACTTCACCCATCACTTGACGATCCTCGTATGCAAATAAGGTTCCCATATCCAATGCCATATTCATCGATGGATCACTTTGCACAATGATGGCTTTATCAATGATCTCCATAATGACACCAACACGATTGACGGTCGTATTCTCATTGATAACAAAGTCGGGTTTCTCCACCACAAAGTTGCTGATCTCATTGTGTGTCTTCAGTGGCATGTTTCCATTATCCTCCTCATCGCTATAGGCAGGAACATGTTGTTGCCGTTGTTGTTGGTCGTCGTCGTCGTCGTCGCTGCTATCGTCATCAGAAGATGAATCCAAATCACTGCTGTCATAGTCTCCTGCAGCCTTTTCCCCTGCAATAGCTTGATCAAGAGCATCGTTTTCGGCCTCAGGTACTTGTGCAGGATCTGCTGCTGCTGTTGTTGTTGAAGTCTATGGCCCAAATGGGGAGGGATCACATACATGCATGTCACTTAGTTGCTTTGTTCAATTCCAAGCAGGTTCATAGCGCCCATTACCTCCTTCACATGATCGGTGTCCACTTGCATTGCAGTTGAAGCCTCATTTTGAGCCTGATCCGGGACCGAGGGCTGAGCATGTGCGTTGGCGATCTGAATGTCTTTGTCCATCGATCTCGTTCAAGCAAAAGCAAAAGGAGGCTTTTTTTGGACGCCGATGCCGCCCTTTCTCCATGGCAATCCCATACCTCCGCTCCGCGCCCGCGTCCAGGTCACATGACATGGGTGAAATTTGACAACAATACTATACGGGTCGATCCTATCGATTATATAATGTAAAACATTCCTTGTTGTAATAATTAATATAGCATAGTAGCGTGTGAACATCTCAACATGGCTAGCTGTTTTTCTTTAATTGCAGCAGGCAAAAATAAAGCACGTTGCGGGAAAGACGACATGATGCCCTGAAATAAAGGTAGCGTGCTGTCGTGCTACAATGGTGAAACAGACTCCGATGCTGCAAGGAGGGCTTGTGCACCAAGCTACTTTTATGTCTGTGTGGGAGGAGGAAGCATAAAGGGTAATAAGTCAAATCACCGGCCGAAACAAGCAAACATTCACAAGAACACCGAGAAAGGATCGTCGCTGGACTATAATCGTGAAAACATCAAACGGGAGCACTATCCGATCTTGACCAGTGCACACATGGCACAACCACCCTTTTCATTCATTCATCAAAGGCATTGTGTCACACCCCATCATTATTCTTCTTTGCCACCACACCCCATTTTGATCCACAATCATACAACCCCATTGTATGTACAAAAAGGATAATGATGGATGATCCTTCTTCTTCTTCTTGCTGCTGCTGCAAGTGATGTGTCATCCTTTTTATTCCATTCCCTTGATTTCTGAGACTCAACTTTAACTCTGGAGGGTGATAGAATGGGAGAGTGAAATATCCTTGGGGACGTTAGATGTATGCATTATTGGCTGCTGCGTGCCTCCTGTAGGAATGTTGCACGGGTCAAAAAAAAGTTGACTGATCGCTTTATATTATGTCAGTGCCACCAAAGAAAAAAGCGGAGAGTTGAGTCCCTTTGCCATTCGTCTTTTAATTTAACTCTTTACTGCCCTGACCCCACCTTTTTTTCTCTGTTTCTTCTTTTCCCGCTCCTTTCTTCAACAATCCCACTACTACCACCACCACCTTTATTCTCATATACACACCGGTGATGGCATCCAATGAGGAATTTTGGAGAATATGCGATGATCAAGGCGTATGTCACTGCGACTGGCGATTGACAATCTATGGTTGCGAAGAAGAAAGCCAACTACGTGCCATGTACATTGCTCTTGCCGTAGTTTCGGGTCTTGTAGGCGTATTTGGTGAGCCATTCCATAACTTTGTTTCTCGATCCATGACGCTCATACACATACAATACATATCATTTGCAGCTTTTATGGTATTATACCATCGAGTCGTCAATCTCAAACAACAAATCTTTGATATGCGGACGGGGTATCCAAGGCCTAAGCCCATCGAGTCAATGGCCGTGTTTGGAACAATATTTAACTTGCGTAGGTACAACATCCAAAATCTGCCAGCATGTTGTACTCAAATTTCAACAACCGTTTCGTAGTACGAATGGCACACGCTATTATTCTGGTGACTGACGCTGCACCCAACGTCGCGTTTCGCTCATGTAAGGTTTTGTGCCATTGTGTGCGTAAACCATCACCTCATCTTACACACACGCATTGTATATAGTCATTTTCGAGTTTCCATGGCAATTTGGTATTGGTGCACTATCATGCTATTTATTCGGTATTGCCCATACGTTGGCTGATGTAAGTGTACATCTTCTTCTATGCCTTTGCCTCCCTCCAATAAGGTGGGTGGTACAAGCACTTCTAATCTGGCTCTCACACACACATACCCCGTTCCGTATACAGAGCAGTAAGGTGATCTATGACGTATGGATACGCGCACCCGTCATTGTCGATACGATGTGCACAGTGATTATCACGCTGCCATTTATCAGCAACAATGTTTGTGCTATTGCAGCAGGCATTTATGCTCTTCATGGAGACAATTACATGGCATCCCAATTTACGGATGCATTGTATTATCTTTGGACATTCTATACCGGTTTTCAGGCGATCCTCATTTTATATGCCGGTTTACGACTTTTGCGGCTTTTGAATCGCCATCTTTTACAACGTACCGATAGCCGTGTCGATCTTGGTAGAGTAAGACTTGGTGCGCTCAAGGTATATACGTCGTACCCCCATTTTCTATTTCTGACAGTGGATGTGTGTGGGGCTTTGACAACATGTCATCTCAACCTGACCAAAAATGGCTAATGAGGATTGATGATAGGTGCGAATCATCGTGATGACTGGATTTATTTGCTTGACCGTTTTTGCTGTCATGATGGTGCTCTATGGCCGTTTACGAGGACCCATTACCGAGAATTCTGCTTATAATGTGGCCATTGCCGTGATTTGGATGTTTGATGGTGCCATTACCACTGGGGTGATTGAATTCGGCGTTGTTCTCAAGTATGTATTATTCTTCATGCGCTGTTGGGTGTGTGTGTGTGAGAACAAGGAGTGTTATTTTGCATATGATCCTCACCCCCTTTGTACCACATTGAATAGTCCACGTTTGGCGACGTTGGCTCCTGGATTTGGCTCCTCTGCTGGATTTACTGGATCCTCCAATCGCTATACTTCTGCGGGCACCAATAATTTTACATCTGCAAACACACATCAAGAGACGACACTTTCAGGTGGTGGCGAGGCAGGCACTCAGTCACAATCCAAGTGGATGTTTACTCGATCAAGCGGTGGTCGTTGGAGTTTTGGTGAAGCCAAATCAAAGTACCTATCAGGTGGCGAGATTGATTTGAACAACAGCCCCAAATTGGAGCACAAGCAAGTGGATCCTATTCGTAGCCAAATTGATGAGGATCAGCAACACTATAATGCCATGACGAGTATCCGTGCACCTCCACGCAACATTTCACCCACGCATGATGATTTTAATCGACATCAGCAAGATGCAGACGCATTGACTACGTCTTCAGCCACTTATCTCACCATGCAACCCCATTGATACAACAACAATAGCCCCTCCTTTATTCATTCTTTGTAGTTAATTGCATCGTTTCTCGTCTTCCCTCCCCTCCCCACACACACTTTAATTACCCTATGTATATCTTAATTGTCCTAATGTCATTTATTGATAGTATCGTGCAGAAAAGAAAGAATTGTTGAAACATGTAATGGGCGTATGGATGATAATAACGCACGTATTGGGTGATTGATGATGATGGTAAACTGCGTGCGAGGATAAGAGAGATAGAAAAAAAGGAGGGGTAGAATAGAATGATGAAGAAAGTAAATGATCGACGATGGGTGAACTATTTTTTGCCAGCTTCTTCCAAGGCATTGGCGACTCGCCTAGCCAGTGCATAGATGTCACTTTCCAAATCGTCTCCACCCACATCTGTATCAATCTTCTCCTTGGATCCACGACCATCTCTCTTGGCAATCCTTCCAACCGCTTGAACAATTTCGGGTGTATTTGCAACCAAGGATACCAGCTCGGCGTCTATGTCCATCACCATCATGAGAATACATACACGAATTATAACAAAATCCAAGAATCACTTACCATTGCCTTCTAAAAACTGCTCAATGGTCCATACGCCGATGTGTTGGAATGAAATATCTTGGGCATCATCGAGGAAATGGATGAGGAAGCCACGCAAACCATCCGCAGGAGAAGACCACACGTCAACAAATGGGGAATAATCTTTGACTGTGGGAAATGCAAATGTGTGAATATCATCGATACCACGTGGATGATCTCTTTTACTTACCCTTGGAACTCAGATTCCCAATGGCAGCAGCCGAGTTGCCTTGCACTTCCATGTTTGTGCTTGATGTCAGTGGCACCAACACTTCCAATACCTTGGTGCTCAAGAGTCTTTGTTTCAAATCGTCGCTCAATGCCAATACGGCGATCGCTGCTGTCATCTCGATCTTTACGCTGTTTTTCGCTTCGCTTATTAGCATTCGAATGCGTTCGACCACGCCAGCTTCGACAATGATAAGCCTGTTGCGTTCTGAACTTGCAGCGAGGTTGCGTAATGTGGATATAGCATGACATTGAACTTCTTCATTGTCGTCATATGATAATAATTCGATCAAAGGGTTGACAAAACCTTCCTCAATGATGGGCGATTCGTTGGCAGGATGAATGGATATATTGCGAATACAAGCGACCGAGGATAAAGTGAGAGGAAGGAAGGAGGATTTGAGGAGACGCAATAATGGCTTCAAGCCGTTGCAGCGGACAATTTCCAATTGGTACTTTTCTATATTATGCCGTTAATATACCTGTTACACCATGTCATTTCGTTGACTTACCATCAGATGCTAGATTCCGAAGCGCTAATGCTGCTTGACATTGCACCTTGAGGCTCTTTGTCTCCATCAACGCGATAAGATATTGTACCAGCTTCGAATCGGATTGTGCCAACTTTTTTCGATTTCCAGCTATTGGATCAATCTTGTATTAGAACATGGTCCATGAATACAATAACCCCATGCATGTTACTTACCATCCACTGCAATGTTGCTTAGTGCTGTAGTGCAATAATATTGGACATCGGCATCAGGCGAACTCAATAAACCAATCAACACGGGGATGGCACCGACATTGACCATGTGTTGACGATTCACCTCTATAATGATGACAAAAAAGGTTAATCACATGATCCCTTCTTGCACCCATCATCATTGCTTACCCTTATGTGTCATGTTGAGAAGTGCACCAGTCGCATTGCGTTGTACTCGCTGATCTTTGGAGCGTGCCAAATCCACTAATAGCCGAAGAGCATCTGATTTTGCAATCTTTGCCTTGTTTTCCTCTGTATAAATGCAGATTGAGCCTACTTTACCATTTTGATAGATGATGATGCTACGTACCATGTGTGGCGAGGTTTGTGATGCATCCAACAGCATTGCATTGCACTTCAACATTGGGGCTACCCATCTGGCGGATTAATTGATCCAGGCCTCCAAGCTTGACAATCAAGAGCTTATTCTCCGCTGCATTACCGAAAATAGAAACCCGCTCAATATCAGCTTGCATTGCACACACATACACCCTACCCTACCCTACCCTACCCTACACACACGCCCCACAAGCAGCGCCCAGCACCCAGCACCATCCCATACCCATCCATGTCATCTTACCTTTGACCGCTAAATTACCCAATGCTGCACTGGCTGCTCTTTGAACTTCCACATCATGCGATTGTAACAAGAAAAGGATCGGATTAAGCGTTTCACGTCCCACTGGTCGCACATCTAAAGAGCACACACACACACACACACATTGTTTAATCATCCCTTCAATGACCCTTACTCAACATTGACTTACCTTTCTCAGTGATTTCAGCAAAGGCTAATGCAGCTGATCGTTGTAAATCCACATTATCAGAGAACGCAAGTGTCGAAAGAGCACGTAGAGGTTCACCGTCAAAGAAGTTGGTATCGCTGCGGTCTGTAAAAGGTCAGTCGTTATGGACCCTCATTAGAAAAGGCGTTGTTGTATCGACTCACTTTCAAGAAAGTGAAGCAATTCTGCAATGGCATCTCGTTCATTGTCTTGCAAGAGTGGTTCATAAAGACCTGTCCGATTTCGTTCTACATGGGGGGCAACCGGTCAATTGAGGTGGGTCGTTTGAAAGCATGTCAAGTGTCCAACATCTTACTTCCAAAGCAGTCTTGACAGCAAGAAGAACAACTCGTAATGTTTCCCATGGTGAATGGTATTGCTGCAACGAAAAAAAGAGAAGGTTCCAGACAGAAGATTCGGTGGTGGTGGTGGTGGTTTTTTGGGGGGGTTTTGTTGGTTGCGAAAAAGAAGGGAGCTTTTGCGATCGGAAGAGGTTCAAAAAATAGCGATGGTGGGTTAAAGTCAATAGCTTTGATGGAGAGGCGTTGAATGGAGGTTGTTGATGTAGTTGAAAAAAAGAATGCTGTTGGCGTCTTTTGGGATGGAAAACGAATGAAAAGTGTCTGGAAGAAGAATATCAGTGCCACACGTGACAGTCGCCTTTCCGAGTCGAGAATGCTGCAGGATGCTGACATTAGATGATATGACTCTAACAAATATAGACATTCCTGCATACCACATTGACAAATATCATCATTGCGTATGTAGTGTCATCACACGTGCTAGTAAATATACATAATAAACCTTCACTTTGATATCGTCTCTTGTTGTATTACCAAGCAAATCCCAGATCCAATGCTGCTGCATGATTTTCTTATGCCCTACTTACAATACACTACCACGTGTAGAAATGCCAGATCTCCTTGTGCCCGCTGATTCTTTGATAAACCAAAAAATGGCTCACCCTCGCCATCGTATATATTAGTAGGCGGTTCACCACCCTAACTTCATGCGTTATTGATAGCCAAAAGATATATGCAACAACCACCCGTGGTGTTCTTCGATTCCATCAGTACTGTTTCCAACGGGATCGCCAAAGATGATCAACAACGTCTGCCAATAGGGATTGTGTAACGTAAGTGAAGATGCGGTTAGATGCCAAAGTGGTCCTGCAAGTAGGCATGTGTCAATGCATAGATCATGCTTTCGGATGCGCTAATCATTTGCCATGCCTGGTCGTTGAGATCGTACATAACGCATAGACTTTCTTATTGATCAAAGTGGTCTCCCACTACTTAGCTACTACGTAGCTCATATCCTTCTTGATTTTAAATCATAGCTTAGGTGGAATAAAGGTGGATCCGTTATCGGTCTTGCAATGAGAAGTAATATGGGTATTCTAATACAACAAGTGTGGGTTGACTTATGAGAAAGAGTGCTCCTCCATTGAGATCCAAGACGAGTGACCAATCCATGTATCTAGCTGTGGCAAAAAGTAGCATCATCATCAAGCGTGTGCATGCGTGTCAGATTCAATGGTTTTTATGCTACTCAACCCCTACACCTAGCATGGATGTTATGTAGCGAACTCTACCAAAAAAACATGCCATCCATGAATAGCCATCAACTACAAGCCATTTGAGCTACCTTCTCTCAAAGGTAATCATTGCCTACTTATTTCAAAAAATCGGGGATTGTGAAAGCCGCGGCTACTTCAAGTCAATAGCCTTATTCTATCATTGAGATATCAATGTCACAATCATGACGAGTGACATGTGTATGATGATACAATGCTACACTGCCAAGCATGAAGCGGCATACGTAGTATCGTATTCCTATGTTATGGGTACCCCGCCCCAACCGTTCCCAGCAGCCAGCTGATACAACCAATCCAATCCAATGTGCACGACATTCATAATGGCATGACCCACCTTATCAGCACTTATCAATGAGGAAACATTGTAACCAAGACGTGCATATGACATAGTCAAAGATAAGCAACCATCGAATTAAAAGGTAGTGGCGACCGTAAGCATGTTGTCACTGAATCGAGGGGAATCTATCATCCAATGTTGTCAATGACTGCCATGGGTCTCGTTGTTTAGCCAGCCGCGGTTTTCAAGCTATAAAGACAAGCGGGGTTGGTATATGCATGCTATCAGCGGAAAAAAGGAATAGCTCCAACTTTCATGTCTTGTGTTATCATGCATAATACGTTGTTCGAATGGCACCATCATCCTATCTGCAACCAAGCCCACTATGATAAGAGATGTACCAAAGATAGCCTGATGGGTGGTCCAATGCTCATATCGATTCCTCACTTTTTTACATGCATTTGTGGACTACCCTATGTACAAGGTACCATGAGAAAGAAAATAGGTATACATGTACAATGGATGAATGTAAATCCGACCCAATGGTTCAGTGATCAAAAGTAAGCTCGCACACAATGTAAGAGCGGATAAGTTGTATTCAAAAGTCCCTATTAGCTTCTGATTAATAGGAACTCAGCGAATTGCATGACCTACACAAGGGATTTCTTTGTTAGCAAATGATACGAGAAACCACATCCCAGTGCCCTTAGCTTACACTCATAGCGCCATGTTTTCGTGTTATTATGTCGCAATCACGGGTTGTAATGTGCACCCCATCGTTGATACATTTGAACCTATGATAAAGTCATATTGGTGGCACATTTATCTTTGTTCTTCTCGGAAAGAATGACAACGATCCTGATTGAGTATAGAACGAATTGAGAAATTCTTGCTCTTTATGTTTCATTGTCATATCTTAACATGGGAATTTGAAAATAAAGGCAACTATGGTCATTTTACAACACAATCAACATGCCTATTAGAGAATCCACGACCACCTTTTCTTTGTAGCATGGTGTATGTTGTCCTTATACTAGCATGATTTATGATTCGCTTCAGCTAAGAGAGTGCCTGATGGGTCTAAGCGATGTTATTCGTTCTCTCTCACGGAAGCTACACAAATCCAAGAAATCGTTCCGATGCGTGTCTTGTGAGGGGCGGCCACAACCGATACCCATAAATGTGGCGCCTTGTTCTTTTTACGTCTTTCAGGGGCTCTCGATACGTATACAAAAGAAGGCTGCATTTACCAAAATAGTTTCATGTATAAATGTGTTATGTAGTAGCAAAAGACTAAAGTGTTAATGGCACGATACCGGTCATGTTAGAAGGAATCAGGGCAAAAAGGGTGGGAAGAAGATCACCAAAGAGAGGGAAAATATCTTAGATGGATGCGTGTGTGCGTGTGTGTGTGTATGTCGAAACCGAAAAATTACAACGGTGCACAGACCGGCAGCTGTAGCCGACTTTGTGTTACACGATGTAACCGCGAATACACCCGAAAACACATACGCTCCCTCTTTCAATGCCTAATTTCTTCCCATCTTGGATGCTCGTAGATATGCATGTAGCATCAATCTAAAAAGGTGAAATGTGGCCAAAAAGGAAAGGGTGGCCCTGCTTCCAAGCTTGTGCTCTAATCACTGTATGTCTTGGCAGAAGCCTCAAGTATAAGGGCGTTATCATAGATCTTGATCTGCCTATGGTTACAGCCTTGAGCATTGATCGTGTCCAATGTATCATGAACACCTGCTTGATATGAACTTTGCTAATAATGGCTACCAAGTATTGGAATGTGAGAGTACAATGGCCAACATTTATCTGCCGCGGCAATAGAGTTGAAGTGTAAAAAAGCGGCGAGCGATCCTCAAGAGTAAACCATAAAAGTCAATTTGGGTCGCTTTGGTAGGATGACATGAGGACAGTGATGTGTGCCATAAGAATCCCAGTTTTGGAGGCTTTCCAGTGGTCGTATCATCTTGTACAACACTGCAGTTTTCTGTTGTTGCATGTTCCTTCTTGTACACACACACGCACAAGGGTGTCCCATATACTGACTACAAATGCAACAGTGGGATCAATACCCTATCATGCATAGTGGTGGCGTTCGATGCTCTAATATAAAAACTTAAGATTCAGGCTTTATCGCAATTCTCACAGCTTGCATTTTCCTCCTCCTTTCGCCTTTTCACCTCTGCAGCAGATCATACCATTGGTATTCACTACCATCATTACGTATCATGGCGGCGGAAGACAACAAGCACGCTTTGGAAGAGCGGGATACCACCTCCTCTAACCCACCTGGATCCATCAAGGAGAAAGCAATGGATGGGGATGAAAAGTACGACGAGACTTTCCAAAAGGAAATCATCGATGTCGAACCTATTCATGCACACGATGAAGACGACGACAACTCGCCTATCGAAGAAGTGAGATTGGTGGTGCCAACGTATGTGTCATCAAAGTAAATCACCTGTATCATGATGATTGATTGCATTTGGTTTTAGAACGGATGATCCCACCATGCCCGTGAACACTTTTCGTATGTGGTTTTTAGCCATTGCCTTTGCCGTGGCGCTTTCTTTTGTCAATCAATTCTTTTGGTATCGTAAAAACGCAATGAGTCTGACACCTTTGGTGGTGCAGCTGGTATCATTCCCTCTTGGCAAGATCATGGAAAAGATCATTCCCAAGTCTCGCTTTTTCAATCCCGGCCCATTCAATATCAAGGAGCACGTGTTGATCACTGTGATGGCCAACTGCAGTTATGGTACAGCTTACGCTATTGATATCATCACCATCCAAAAGCTGTGGTACGGTCAAGACATTGGATGGGGTGGCGGTATCATGCTTATTTGGACCACACAGGTATGTGCATTGTCATTCAATAGTTTGATGTCATATTGTGTGATTAACATCTTGTGTATAGTTTATTGGATATGGTATGGCAGGTGTCCTCCGCAAATTCCTAGTATACCCTCCATCCATGGTATGGCCTAATAACCTTGCCAACATCTCGCTGTTCCGATCATTCCATATTGCTGATACGTAAGTGTATGATAAATTTTCCATCAACAACATGGCTAAGGCTTACAATCGATATTGTAGCAATTGGACCGGTCCTACTCGTATGAGATGGTTCGTTTACTGCTTTACTGCCATGTTCATTTACTATTGGCTACCTGGTTACTTTTTCCAAATCCTTACCTTCTTCTCATGGGCATGCTGGATCAAGCCTACCAATCGTACTCTTGCACAACTCACTGGTGGTTACAGTGGCCTTGGCATGTTTGCTCTTTCATTCGATTGGGCTACCATTGTATCATACCTTCAATCACCCTTGGTTGTGCCTTGGTGGGCTATTGCCAATGTCACTGTCGGCTTTGTCTTTATTGCATGGATCCTTGTGCCAGCTATTTACTACACCAATGTATGGGACGCACAGAAATTCCCGATTCTCACAGCAACATTATTTACCAAGGATGGCGAGCTATGGGATAATTCACTAGTGCTGACACCCGAAAGAACATTGAATGAGACAGCCTATGCCGAATATGGACCCCTCTACATGGCCAGCTTCTTCACCATCACCTATGGCATTGGATTTGCGGGCTTGACTGCTGTTCTCACACACACTGCTTTATACCACGGCAAGGACATCTATACCCAATACAAGCGCTCCCGTGAAGAAGATATGGATATCCATGGTCGCCTTATGAGAGCTTACCCAGAGGTGCCTCACTGGTGGTACATTGGCATCTTCCTTATTTCATTTGGTTTATCATTTGCAACCATCTATGTTTGGCCTCTTCAATTGCCGTGGTGGGGTATCTTCCTTGCTGTTGCTCTATGCGTGATCTTTGTATTGCCCATTGGTATCATTCAAGCTATTGCAAATCAACAACCTGGTCTCAACATTATCACCGAATTTATCATTGGTTACATCCTTCCCGGCCAACCCATTGCTAATGTCACGTAAGTCATGCATCATGAATTCTTTATAACAACGTATATGTACTCATCTCCTTTTTTTTGCATGGCTACAAAAGGTTCAAGACTTATGGCTACATTAGCATGACCCAGGTATGTAACGTGCATGGTTTTATCATATATGTCTTTTACTTACATCCTGCTATCAACTAGTGCTTAGTCTTTGTGGGTGATCTCAAGCTTGGCCACTACCTAAAGATCCCACCTAGAATGATGTTTACGGTACAATGTAAGATAATAATGGTACATACGCTGATGTCGTATAGGGATACTTACACAACATGCATCCATGTTAGGTTTAGGAACTCTTATTGCCGGCTTGATGAATTTGGTCACAGCACGTTGGTTGATGGAAACGGTGCCAAACATCTGTACAAATGAAGCATACCCATTCACCTGCCCATCAGCCCACACCTTTTACTCTGCATCCATTATCTGGGGTGTTATTTCACCAAAAAAGATGTTTGGAGAGGAATCGATCTACCATCCCATGCTTTACTTCTTCTTGATCGGCTTCTTACTGCCCATTCCCTTCTGGTTGGCGCATAAAAAGTGGCCACACATCAAATGGCTCAAGTACGTCCATTTGCCGGTCATTCTCAACTCCACGGGTATGATGCCACCCGCTGTACCACTCAATTTCTCGGCATGGTGTGCTGCTGGTTTCGTCTTTATGTTCTACTTGCGTCGCTACAAGCATGATTGGTGGGCCAAGTATAATTACATCACGTCAGCTGGTTTTGATTGTGCCGTTGCTATAGCAAGGTAAGCATCATGCAAGTGGTTGTCATGTTTCTCTATCATGTACTCATATAATTCCTCGATAGTATTGTCATATTTGGTGTAGTGATGGGATCTGGATACACTCCTGACTGGTGGGGCAACGGTGGACAAGGCCCCAACGGCATGTTTGATAATTGTCCTCTTTCTTCTGCCAATGCATCCAACATTTGTGCCGAGTGCTGAGCACATTTCATTAGGCATTGTATAGTAGCTTATGTTTATATAGTATATGTCGACTGTTATAGTCTTTTAGCTTACCCTAAGTAATAAACATAAAAAGCATATAATTCAATTGCTGTCGGTGAATGACCAGTGTCGAGTATTGCAATCATGAAATCCACCATAATACAGAGGTAGTATTCTCATCCAATGATGTTGAATTTATTCCATCCATTATTGTATTACCCAAGCCTCTACTACTATCCTGCATCTAACACAATGCTGTTGAAATCGTGCACTAGCGACAAGTGGAAAGAGAGGATCATCAAAGAGGCAAATAGAAAAGACTTGGACCTTGCATCCTTCCTTCAGAGAGATATGGGGAATTGATCAAGTCATCATCACCTAACCAAGGGGAGGATACACCACGCTTGTTAGTGTCATTGTTGTTAACGATGTCGTTGTGAACTTCGTTGTAGTTGTCATCGTCGCCTCCATAAATAGAATCACACACAACCAAACCACCATCGATGTCATCGCGTCCATAGTCCCCATGAGCTCAGAGTTGTCCTCATTCATCCTCCCCAACAAAGAAAGAATGGCCCTACCCATCATTTAAGTCCTCAATAAGTAAACCACCAGTATATAACGAGAAGAGCGTCCAATGACCAAAAGGTACAGGTTGGGAGTCGAACCCAAGGAAAGATGATGCCCAAAGTTGCACTACCTGACCAGAAAGCTATCCAATAATAGCATCATTCATTATTACATTAACGCCTTCTTCATTGTATTTGTTCACTGCACTTGCCTTTTTCGTATGCATAAAGACCTCTTGTTGTTGGATTGCTGTGAACCGATAAACATGGTGTAGCGTCGCTGAGACGAAGCAAAACGCCAAACCAGTCAACGTCTTGAGACCAAACTTGCCCTCTATACAATATAGCACGTCAATGGAACCAATTCGGCTGCAACATTGGACTCTGAATGTACCTGTTGACACCAAGCAACGATACCGCCATGGCAACAGCCAACCACCCACGACGCTCATTCCTCCACACTCCCTGACAATGCATGTTCAGAGCTATGTTAATGCCTCACAACCAACAAGAGCACTCTTTTATAGTACATTACCTTGATCGGGATGTCGTGAATGGCATAAAAGCAGACGAGGGAGAAAGCGAAGAGGAGCGTTGTGTCAAGTCGTGGAGCTGCTGTCCCCCAAGTTTAAATCCCCTACTGCTATTACACTGAGACCACTCAATAACTCCACACACACCATCCACCCATCGTCATCATCACCCTCACGATAGACAATAGGTACAGGTAAATAAAAGAAATGATCCTCACGTATAGCAAAAGGGTGTGCGCCATTTTACACTTTACATGATAATGATGATCCAACAACAGCCATTACCTTACTACCAGGTTACCTCGAATCATGAAAGTTAAATGATGGGCATGCTGGGCTGGAGCAAGACAATCGTTCGTATGCATTGGATTGGACAACAAAGGAGAATGGGAGGACTAAGGTTATTAGCTGGCATTTTGAACTATTCCTAAATAGTGTACAAGAATCATGCATCGCCTGTGCTGAATGACTCAAGTTACACAAACACGCCCTCTGCATCTTTTGCTCTATTATAGTCATACTACTTTACATTAAACAAAGACCACTTCTCATATAGCATCACCCTTACAGCATATGTAAAACATAAAGGTGCCTGTATCTCCAAACTTCACAATCAAACTTGGGCTCTTTAATAGATCAACGTGCTCGTCGGGGTCAAAGGAATCTTGTGTCAAAGTATGAAGTTCATCGTGGGCAATCCCAGATTTCGCAATGTCGCTACCAGCCAAACTGGATCCGGGGCTCAACCTCTTTCGACGATGACCAAAAAAATATTTTTTGGGCTGTTTGCGACATTGAACGCGAAAATTTCACACAAGGTGCTGTTGACCAAGCCGAGCCCATTGCTCTATTCAAAACCCCAAGTTTCATTGTAAAGTTCGGAGATACAGGCACCTTTATGTTTGTAAGCGTGATGCTATATGAAGAGTGGTCTTTGTTCATTGCCAAGTAGCTGGCCCCTGGCAGAGCAAAAGATGCAGAGGGACGTGTTTGTGTAACTGGGTTAAAAAGTTTGGACTTCAGGGACCATGCATGACAGGTACGCGACCCTCATTTTCAGGTCATACATTGGCAGCTAATAGCCACTTTTGTGCATTCCCAACTTTTGTGCATTCCATTGTAGGTGGACGATGCTCCGGCCTAGACACATTTCCATGAAGTAGGTTGATCCGAGCTGATTTGGTTGAGTTCGTCACACAAGATTACATCGGTTGAGCTACATCGAGCGTGCTTTATGTCCACAGGAATGAAACGTGGGGTTTTGAATAGAGCAATGGGCTCGGCTTGGCCAACTGCACCTTGGGTGCAAGTTTCACGTTCAATCTCGCAACTAGCCCAAAAATATTTTTTGGTCGTCGTCGTCGAAGAGGTCGACCCCCAGATCCAGTTTGGCTGGTGGCGACATTGCGAAATCTGGGATTGGCAAGCTTGATCGTGAAGCTTGCACCCGAGGTGCAGTTGACCAAGCCGAGCACATTGCTCTAATAAAAACCCCACGTTCCATTGTAAAGTTTGGAGATACAGGCACCTTTATGTTTGTAAGCGTGATGCTATATGAGAAGTGGTCTTTGTTCATTGCCAAGTAGCTAGACCCTGGAGAGCCAAAGATGCAGAAGGACCTCTTTGGGTAACTCAGCTAAAAAGTCAGGACTTCAGGGACAATACATGGCAGGTACGCAACCCTATTTTCAGGTCATACATTGGCAGCTAATAGCCACTTTTGTGCATTCCCAACTTTTGTGCATTCCATTGTAGGTGGACGATGCTCCTGCTCTAGACATTCATTTCCATGATTAAAGTAGGTTGATCCGAGCTGATTTGGTTGAGTTACGCTCACACAAGATTACATCGGTTGAGCTACATCGAGCGTGCTTTATGTCCACAGTGATGTAATCTCTCTTTGACCATAGCTCAGTCAAATCAGCTCGGATCAACCTGCTTTAATCATGGAAATGAATGTCTGGAGCAGGGGCATCGTTCCCATGCAGTGGATCTCACAACAATGATGATTGGATAAAAGTGGCCGTTAGCTAGCAATACATGCCTGTTCCTAGATGATCCATAAAGTAATT